TGTGTGTGTGTGTGTGTGTGTGTGTGTGTGTGTGTGGCATCCAAAGTGATCTGTTCGAGAAAAACTTGCAAACAGCATCCATCCTGCAGTGTCGGGTATACTGAAAGCAACGCACCAAATGTTGTTTGCTACATTTGCACTTTTTTCCATCGAGAGAATGAGTATCCATTCTATCCTGTCGGAGGAACACCAAACATACCCGACACTTTTTTCCCTTCCAAACAATCGTTTTGTTTCAGTATGTCATGCAGCTTCACCCTTCTTACTTCTCTACTTCTCTTCGAATCTTCACCGCATTTCTCTTTTCTTAAAGTAGGAGATGAAGGATGTCACTTACCTACCGAGGTTATGTAATCCTCACCTTACCGTACCATTCTCATAACCTCTCTCCTTCTGATGAATCTTTTTTTTAAATTTGTCGACTAAACTGTAAATCCAACTATTACTTCCTCTTTCAATGAACTTTCTCAGAGACCATTAAGTTAGCACACTCCTTGAGAGTTCTCATTGGACGTCAGTCTGAAATTAGTGTTAATACAGCTAAGGCAATTATATTTTCAACCCATGGAAATCAAGGAACTCAAGTTGTTTCACCCTTCTGTTGCATTTTATGATGCAAAGGGATGCAGTGAACTGGGGAATTCTTTAAATCTTTTCTTGTCACTCCAACAATCAATGACGGCTTATAGGGATGAAACTACGGATTCATTAGCGACAAAAACTGGAATAAAAAGTTCGTTTTCATTTCTGGATTTTGCCGCCTGATCAAAAGAATGAATCTCGTCTGAGTCTAAGTAAATTGGCAGCATTTTTCGGGCAACTTTCCATTCCACCTTGAAATTGCTACCTTTCTATAAAATGAAAACATTTGAATTGCAAAACCAGCATGACACTAACGATTTGAGTGAAGAGGTGTTTAAGATTTCCTGTGTGGACTCTGGTTAAAAATTATTCGTTTTATTTGATAATCTTCAAATCAAAAACAGATGATCCATCGGTATTTGTTCATATCATAATCGTGAAAGCGTATTTTTCATGCCATTATCATTAAAATCACTTCAGGAGTGATTTATAGTATGCAGTTCTTTTTCTACCTTGCCGCACTTCTCTCTCTCTCTTCTTTTCTACCTCTGATCATTTTCATTCTTAACTAAAGAGAACGTGAAAAATTTTTATTACAAACAAGAAAAGTATTTTGCTTGGGACAGAAAAGGAATTTCGTATTTGTGCAGTTGCACCGACTCACAATTTCGCAAACAAAGTGCATCTGCCATGGCAGAGCAGAGTTACTCTGAGACATATTGTCCGATGGTCATTTCCTTAGCCACAAAAATATTTGGTAAGATGGATTTTCAGTTGCAATTAGTGTTGTTAGTACGACGGACAGTTTTTACTTTGACTTCAGCTAATTTCTACTCGCTTCTTTTGTGGGTAGATTGAACTGGCTGAGGAAAAAACAACGTTGTGCGACATCCCAGTAGACAGTTTCCAGTGGAAAATCGTTAGAGTAATGCATAGAAATAATTTACCGATCGAATAAAGAACCGAAAGGGACAGTTATCCATTCAATCGAATCGAATTATAATCAGTAAACATCATCTAATCGAAAGTCAGAAATTGCGGAAAATTTTTCATTCTTAGTTTGCACAGGTCAAGAGTTTGACATTACAAAGATTTCCAGCGCCGTTTTTCTTTTGCACTGAGGTGGTATATGATAACACTTCGATGATAAGCTATCAATGCCAGCATTCCTTTGAAGCAACCTTATTCAATTCAACTTTATCATAAAGTTCAATTTTATTCCCTTAAATCATCATCCTTTTCCTTCTTTCCCAAACTTTCAACTCACTGTACAAATTAGATATATGACTGTGCCTTTCCGCGCAACACATCGTAATACGCCAGTTGATCTATCCGAATGTACTTTAATTTAGAATGTTCTCCTGTATGAATCTGTACATGCAAATATCTTACATTCGTGTGTACGTGTAAATGCGTAATAGGAAAATGTGAATAAATTTCAGTCATCGTTAATCAGTTTTATTTTTGATAAATTGTTGGTAAATAGAGCACCGGAAATGCTCAATAAGCTGATTCCGAAATTGCAGCGTGATACGGGATACAGGAAACGGGACGGAACTTGCTTGTTTCCACCGGTTAAAAACAAAAAACTTCAATTCACCGGACCCGTGACTGTTTGAAAGAGAGGTTTAGGAGGAGCGGTGCGGGATGAATTTCCATTCTCGTCGGCAGAATCCCTCCCTCCAGCAAATAACAAAACATTTAATTATCAGAATGAAAGCTCCTCCTCTCCTCTCCTCATTCAAAACGAACGAATAATTTTTTTCACTGTCCCTTTCCGCACCCCTCGTTCCCCTCACACATATTCAATATCCATTTTGAGTGAATGTATGAAAAAAGCAAATTCAACTTTTGCCTTCCCTTTCCCTTTAAGTTATGATGCTCCCTGAAACTAAACTAACCAACAATGTTTTCCGTTCCACGCATTAATCTCCCACCATTAAAACTCTCCCTCTCTTCTCTCTCTCTCTCCCTCCCTCACTCTGCTATCACGTTAAAATAAACATCCCTTATCAGTCACTTTTTTGCATATTTGTTATTTTCTTCACCTGCGAATCTTTCCCTTCTTCTTTTACTGAAACTTATTTATTCTGTTAAACATCATTCCCTACTATCTCTTCCCTAATTACTATTCCCTTCATCAACCTTTCTCTCCTTCTTTGCCCTCTCTCTGTTTACGGTTTTCGCAGCTTCACTTCTTATTGTCTCATGGATGCAATTTCGAAAGTTGTTTATTAAAAAAAGTTATGCACTTCCGGATACGGTAGTCAATGCTCACCGAGTTATTTGTTTCTCATCAGGTCGCTACTCCTACCGGTCGTTGGTCGCTCGGTGGGAAGGAGACACCTTTACCACCCCCCCCCCGCCTTCTCTCTCGGGAAGAGAAAGGAAAGCATTCGCTGTTCATTCCTAACTGTTCCATCTGTAATACCTTTTCTTCTTTCGGCAGTGCGCAATTGTTCATTTGAAAAAGGCGGAAAAGCTGATGATCGATTGCTTTTTTAAACTTCAATTCCTTTTTTCCACTTTAAGGCTTCTCAGGAATAACTGAAACCCAGAATTAATATAGTTTTGTAAACCTGCTGCACACCTATGTCGCCGTCACTCCGTCCATAAATTGTAATTATGCTGAATTATAGATGTTTCATTTTGATCAATTTTGATGCACAATTTGGGTTAAAGATAATTGTCAAAAACAAACTTGTGGGTACTTTTTGAAGTAGAGCGCTTGAGCTCAACAAATAGGAATTTACGATTTAGGAAATTTTGTGGAGGGACGGAGGAGGAGGGAGCTATTCCATCAGTTCGTAATTTCAATTCTAATGTTCATAACGCGGACGCAATACTTTCCATTTTTCACTGGAAAGGAACGAGTGGAATGAGTGTAAAAGTGAGGAACTGTTCATGCAATTTCTTAGCGGAGAAGATCGCATTCGTCACATCGCTTCTCAAAGCTCATTCTCCATTCCTTTTCCCGTGTGATGAGACGATTTGGCACCTGTATTCTTAGCAATGTGAACATTATCACAAAACAGTAATGATACTGTCAAGTAGGACAGTCCTTAATTGCAATAATTTTGGTATTTTAGCGGGGCCGATCTAAAGCATTGACATAAAAGGTCCGACAAAGTAATGTGAAGAATAATACGGAATGATATTATTAACGCTTTTTCATCACTCCTTTTCAGTCTTCTCTCTCTTTTCTGTCCTGTTATGGAGGAGTTCTGTCCTGTTGGATGGAGACTTAAATGGTGAAGTGTTTAACCTCGGACTTGCAACATTTCTTGGAGTTGGAAAAACTTTTTTTATGTTCATGTGAAGAGGTATAGTAAGCGCAACGATGAATTACTAAAATCATTTTGTCGATATCTCAGAAGTAGTACACATGCAACTGCACGTGCTGTACTGAGACATGCGGTCTCTAAATTTATTAAATGATGAAGCTGCAAGGTCTCATTTCTAAGCATGCTTTTAGTTGTTCCCGAAATGGCGCTTTGCAAATTTCTGTAACATTCGGGAATCTCGCCATAAATGATTTAATATTTGAACAACCAATAAATTGGAAATTTTCATTAGCAGTCGACGGATCAACCAATGTTAAGGACGAAAGAGTGCATCGTCGCAACTTTCCACTTCATCGCTGTTGTTCCCACATCGGTGTGAAAATTTTCAAATTTGAAAAGCGCACGAGAATAAAAATGTTTATAACGAAGTGGAAAACGTACCGTAATTATTATTCTGATTATTATTGTGATTATTAATCATGGACGCTGCTCTTTCCCTTCACTCTTTCTCTCTCCTCCGCATCTCATTTATATCCGCAGGGCATTTTCTTACACCTCGTCGTTCTACCTATTTGCCAACAATCCAATTCTATCGAGTAATATTAGAATCATCTCTGACCTTGGCTACCCGCCCAAGTGCAAGTTTATAAACAAGAATAAACACAGAGGGAGAGTTATTTCAATTGCATGTTGGTTAATCTGTTAGTGATGTTTGAATCAAATTTACTTCTTGCTTCAGTATTTTAAATATTAAGTAAAGCAGTCGGCATGAAATATGCATATTTTGCGTGATAAATAAAATCCTTTAATTATTTCGATGCATAAATTAGTAGAAGAGACACGGGAAAGTCAGAGAACAATTCGTCAGTGAATGAAGAGTAGAAATGTGTTTTCACTTCGATTTTGTTTCCAGTATATACAAATTAAAGAATCCCACAACAAAAGCTACTATTGATTCCTTGTATTGTTCGTTCTCGTTCTCGATCACTTGTAAGCATTTTATATAATGTGCTGTGTTCTTGGTTTACAGATCATTACGATTCGTGGAATCTCATTCTGTTCATTTACCTCAAAAAAAAGCAGTGTTTGGCTTTTTTTGCTAATAACGCTGATCTCAAATATTGTTTGTGATAATGATGAGGTTATTTGAATTTTCAATTTACTTTAAAAATTGCCTGAATTTCTGCTCTTTCAAACTGGATTGGGATAGATTTTTTGAATTGAATGTCTGAATTACCAATTTTACTGCTGAAAAGAAATAATTCATTTTTGGAATGAAGAAATTACAATGATTTCACAATGAATCTACCTTATTTAAATCAGATGAATCACTAATTTTCAATCAAACTGACTTCAGTCATTTCGCGATGTTCAAAATTCTCATGATTTTGAATTCGAAGGTAAAATTCTATAACTCGATGTTTTAGATTTGAGACAATCAATGCGATTGCGGCACTGAGTGCTGCTGCCGCTGCTGTCGACAAAATTGGTGAATTTTGAAATTTTCACTCATACAAAAACAGTCAGTTGCAATTTCATGTTATCACTGAGTACCTTGAATGACTTTTACCTGGTGGGAAATGAAAGGAAACAACCGTTGCATGAGCCTGCGGTTTCTCTTGTCGATTAGCAAAAAAGTAGTTTGGAGCAGTGATATATCAGATGAAAGTCTCTATTTGCTATTTAGGCTTCAAACGGGTCTATTACTGTCAGCGTTGTCTAAACCACAACCGTCTGGAACCGCGGAAGAATCATAAATGCGAATGCGTATATGCCAATTGCGCCTGTAACAAATGCATATTGGTTGAAAAAAGGCGCGTACTTAACACTCAGTTGCATGAACTGGAAGACGTTGCGGACGTGGAAAATGAAGTTGGCGTTGATGATCATTGTGGTTTGGCTACCAGATCGAAAGGAGGTTGAAATTTCTTCTTAGATCTGTGATATGTTTCGCAATGAACGAATTCATTGCAGAGGACGGAGTTGTTTGAAATTTACATATTTTCTCTTCATTTCCAGCTAATTTTCTTTTAATGTGGAGAATAAAATGAATTTCAATTGATTTTTTTAAGTAAATTGGTTTATTAATTTGTAGGTTTTCATCTCGAAAGCTTTTCAATTGAAATAGTTCAAATCAAAAAATAAAAATTTGACGAAATGATGTTTTTCCCTCCTCCCAACAAGTTACCTCAGTGGGTATCCCTACAGTCAGTACCATCCCAATATATGAGTAATAATTAAAACTCAAGCTTGGTATAATGTAAAATTCAGTCCACATTTTAAAGTTAGTCCTTCACCCAATTACGATAAAATTAAAATGTGAAGTATCGCAAAGGAAACTTACTGCTGAATTTCCAATCCGATCACAGTTATATTACATTACATTACATCACATCGAAAATTTTGATGAAATACTCTTAGTATTCTCATTGTTGCAAATTTGTTGAAATTTCATTTTATTAGCATTGCCTGATACAAATAAAAATATCCATTGGATCATAAAATTTGATTGACTTTTATATTAATTCATTACTGAAGCTGGAATCATTACTAGTAGCTTCGATCTGGTTTTAAAATCATTATTCAACCAGCTCTCAGTAAACAGCTGATACATTTATAAACATTGGATCAGTGTACAACCAACCATCTGTGCACCATGTTCGCCAATGTATTACTTCGAGACTAGGTTCATGAAAAAATTACTACGTGCTTTGATTGCAGTTTTTCATATCTTTTCGTTTTTCCACTCCAAGTGCAGTCGAGATGTTTAAAATACTTAAACTTGCACTGTCAGATTAACTTTTTTTAAATCGCTGTATGAATTTTTTGGAAATTGGCTTTTCGACTCGTACTAATATACTAATTATTTCATTTGTAATCGGTGTGGAGAACAGGAGTTGTTTTACACCCAGTTTTTGGTGAGAAAAACACCCTTTGCTATCTCTTAGAATTTGAAAGTTTTCTTTTCTGCAATGAGAAAAAAGGCCTGATTAAATAAATCATGATTCTAAATTCTAATTAAAAAATTATAAAAATTAAAAATCGTAGCCCAAATAAATTTTTGATGATTGCAAGATTCATTTTTCTCATTGTGGGAAAAACAATCTTGCAATTGCCATTTGTTTAAGCAAAAATTTATTGGAGTCAAAATTTAGAACCGTGATTTATTTTACGTGTTTCTTTTTGAATTTCTTCCCGTTACGCTTACAAGTTTTCTTTGTTCTTTTTTTTGAATGTGAATTACTCTTGCTATCATTAAGGACACATAACCTGATATCCGGTAAATCTATGGGGGACAGAATTGTTCCTAATAGTTCCTCTTTTTTCTTACGATGGCCTTTGATGGAGATCTCTACTTGGAATCATTTTCAGGGTTGATAAGAAGAAAGATTACTCATTGCCAAACTTTTATATTCATATTACTTATCGACTGGCTTTCCTAAATGTCACGGTAGTAATTCGTTCAAAACTTTCGTCAAAAACTTCCTCACATATTCGAATTGTGGAGGTGAAGAATTTTTAGGAACTATCGTTATGTTTTCCACCATCTATCACCTGCAGAAGTATTTTCATATTTTTCGAACGAACAAATGACGAAAATATTTGTGTAAATAAGGGAAAAAATTGATCGTGCGCTAGTTAGTCGGGCGTATATCCGAGGACGTTCAGTGCCAGGTAGTTTCATCATCGTCATCTGACAGATCTCGTGAAATGTTTGCATTGAAGCCATTCCAGACGAGAAGCAAACCCATACTTTGGGAAAAACATCATTTGCTTGCAGTGGCGCTGGTGGTAGTAATTATAGTTCTAGTAGACATAGTGGCAATGCGAGCTTGCTAGCACTTTTCAACTAATAGCAGTGAGCTACCTTGCAACATTTTAGGATCCGTCTGTCAGCAGTGTTCGCCGAAATGAATTGAAATTTCCCTGTGCCATTTATAAAAGTAATATTTTGTATAAGATGAAGAGATGAGTTAGTTTTTGTTGAATTTCATTTCTCCATTTCAAGTTTTCATTTCTTGCACGCAACACATGTATTAGTAAGTAAAGGTAAATCTCTCTTCTGTGAGTGTTGAACTTCCATCCATCCATCCATTCATTCATTATTCAGGCTTGATCTCCGGAGATTGACGCTTCCCTCCCTTCACTCACCGCTGCCGTTTGCAGTTATGTGTGATATATCCATCCATATAATCAGTTGTTTAATATTCAATTTCTCTATGTCTGATAGGCTTGTTTCCTTCGGAAGCATTTCTATTTCTGGATGAAGTATGTCTAAAAGCTAGCACGAAAGGTGGTGTCATTTTGTTATTTGGCGATAACTTTACTTTTGTTCCTGTCGCTTTGTCTGGTAATGCAAATGTTGTGGAAAACATGCAATAAGGAATCTCTTTTTTATTATAATGAAACATTAATTGTGTTTTAAGGCTCGCTCCTCGATGTATATAAGCCTTAAAATAGGCAACCGGAAAGTTCGTTACATTTCTAGATCACGTATGTGCGCACACTCGTACGTACGTAGTAGTAGTAGTAGTAGTAATAGTAGTAGTAGTGGTAGTAGTAGTAGTGGCAGTAGTGGTAGGAGTATCAACCAGTATTAGCAGTTTATTATTTGGAGAGAGAAAGTAAAGATAAGCGGAAGGACTGATGGGATGGGGTGGGAGGGTAGGCCGTAGCAAAGATGAGTGTGAGGCTTTGCAAGGAAATTCGAGCAGTTTTTTGTTCTGTGTTCAGTAAACAAGAGAAGACAAAAAACATGCCGGGGGCAGGGCTACGACTTGTTTATGCTAAACTAGCCTTAGCGTCGAATATTTCATTCTTTCCTTACGGCGGAATTTGTATAGCAAAGGACCCCACCACTGCTGCTTTTCTAGAACCACCTATTGCTGCTACTTCTGCTTTTTCTTGATATGTGTGTGTTGGAAAATTGTGAACATGAAAAGGACTTGATCTTTTTTCAAAATTCAATTTGTCAATCTCGCCTTTCTTGGACTGTTTCCCTTTCTTTCTTGGTTACTTACTCTCTTCCCGATCCCTCAACACAGAGGAGATGAAACCATCCGCGCTCCTTTCCAAATTCTTGCTTCACTCTCTTCTGAGCTCCTTTAAATCTATTCCAGCAACTACCGCCAACTAACAATAATAAAGTGGTCCGGCTGGCGCAAGCAGTTCATTTGCCTATGTAATTCGATCACGGAGCACTCACCCTTTGCCCCTCGAAAAGAGCTTCTCGATGGCCGCTTTTTCCCATTTCAGTCATCCTCATCATCACTGGAAAAAAATTGAACAGTCCCTTGGCTTGTGGGCTTTGAAACGACCATCAATTTCCTTTGTTTACTTTTCCATCACCAACAAGGGTCACTGCACCCCTTTCTGTCACTTCAACTGTCATCAGTGGCAGTCGTTTTTGCTCCTGTTACAGTTGCTTGGCGTGACATCTCCGCCGTTGGCTTTCATTAGTAACCACGCGGCTTAACGCTTAAATATGGCTTGTTCCAGGAGGACCAGTAAAAGGACGCTAATATTTCCTGCAATTGATTCATCGCGCATTTCACTGCGGGAAAAATTTTAGCACATCGCTTCTTCACAACAACGTCTGTCTCTTCTAGGCACCATCCACACAGATCGACCACTTTTCCTGGATTTGTGAGATACTGCCACTGTCGTACAGTGAAATGCTGATTACTTTGCTGGGCAGTGTAATGGTCATTTGATTTCTCACTCTCACTCTTTTGCTAGTATTACAATGGGATTCGATGTGACACAGCTGAGCCTTGGCTCGGGCAGCCAAATAGAGCAAACAACTTTCCCATCGTTGCCGCGTGTCCAATGTGGGGAAAGCATTCAGCAGTTTGATAGCGCTCCGATTTCCAGTTCGTTTTCCGCAGTACTTCATTCATAATTAATGAAGAGAACGCGGGTATGGGAGTTGCCGTTGCATGTTCGGAACTGTGTCGCATTGTTCCCTTTCTGAAGTTATTTCTCGGGAAAGAGGAAGGAAGATGGGGAAAAGCGAGGAGGAAATGATTGTGGAAGAATGCAACTTGTCGAGGAGAAAGAGAGAACTGAGTGATATCATTGTCTGAAAAATAGTTGCAAATTGACAAAATTTAAATAATGAAACTGTCTGCCATGCAAAATCTTGAATAAAACAATGCTGAGATATGAAGCATACTTCAATAATAGTGATTAAATTGAGTTGAAGCACAGCATTCTAAAATACAATAGTTATTCTAAATATAAGTTTGTGCTGAGAACATTTAAATTTGAATTAGTATTTTTAGAGCGTATACCAAATTGTCAAAAATGCGGACAGCATGGAAGGAAATCGCGACTGAAAGGACACAAACGCGTTTGTCCGTATCGTGATTGTAATTGTGCAAAGGTATCAATTAATTCATTTTATAGTTCACTTCAAAATTGCGTTATTGAGATGTGACGTTTTTGAATTAAAAATATCGTGAAACAGGAAATTAAAAAAATATCGCAGGGAACAAAATTTCTAATTTTCAGTGTCAGGTAGTGAGCGAAAGACAAAAATTGATGGCAGACCAAATAAAAATACGACGGCGACAGCGGAAAGACACATTGCTGAATGTAACACGAGAAAATATAACAGCAACTTTAAATGCTGCCGCAGCAGTAGCCGCATCCGGACCGCTGCCTTATTTCCACAATTTTAACGCACTTCTCTGTATGTGTCTTTTAATTGTCTTCTAGAATTTGCAATAAAAAATATTTTAATTTCAACGTACATATAAATCACCGCTTTAATGCTCTTTGCAATGTTTATAAATGCATGCTGATACTAAAATTGAATGATCGTCATGCCCGAGTTTCCAAGCTTTAAAGGAGCACTTTTTTTAATTTCTTTTATAAATATTTAAATTTCAGACAAGCAACTTCAGCAGAACATGCGCCATCCAGCAATATCATTTCTGCCAAGTCAGCCGCCACCCACAGAAAATATCTTGGAAACTGGCTCCTTCAACAACACTTCCGGTCCTCTGAGCAATTATCTTTCTGGTTCTGCAGCAGCAACTTCACTGAAATTCGGTCAGTCACCACAGCAGCGGCCCTCATCCTCCGCACTACCTCATCTGCAGTTTCTTTTCCAACCACAAGTGACCACTCCAACCACCACAACAACCAGTACGGCAACGGAAAGTGACCTTCCTGCTCTCTCCGTCACACCACCGTGTACACAGTCTGACAGTAACACAAATACCACTGTTGTAGCCAATCCACCGATAGCAATCCCCGTACCTATTAATCCGATGTCAGTTGCGGGAATCACTCCAAATCTTGCGACACAGAATGCTCTATCCAGAACATTGCAACAGCAGCAGCAACAGCAGCAGCAGCAACAACAACAACATCGACAGCAGCAGCAGCAGCAGCAGCAGCAGCAGCAACAGCAACAGCAACAGCAACCGCAGCAACAACAACAGACCGACCTCACCCAAGTAGCCGTAAGTCAGACTTTAGCAAATAATCAAATTCCAGCTTTTCTGGAGAACGATCAGTTGTTCCAAACACTTTTGAGCAACATGCGGCAGTTGGAATGGAAAATTCCCACAGAAGCCACGACGACGACTATCGTTCCGGAGAGTGGCAGCAAAGCGGGAACAAGCCATATGTCAAGCATATTTGTCGATGTTTGCAGTATGTGAAATTCAATCGATACAGAAAAGCGAAAATATTTCAATGTTTCCTTTCTCCTTTGTTTTCATCCCTCTTCTTTTTTTACTTCGATTTTTGTGATAGTTTAGTTTGGCTTTCCTTTTAATTTTCAGTTCAGCTTGGAGCATTGCTAAAAATTGATCTTTACCTCTTCGACATTTTTTCGGATAGGTGTATTCAATCACAATGTTTTAGGCAATGCAAATTTCACTGAAATTGTTGTAATTCTTTTTTGCAATGCACAGGTTCTACAGAATACTTTCTTGTTCCTGTTTACAGGGTCATCATCCGGTACACATTTTAGACCGGTATTTCTTGTTTTATAAGTTCATGATATAAGTATTGCTTACCAGCTTATTGATTGGAAAATTTCTTTGCTTGCCTGCGGGAATACAACGAAAAGTCTCGTCAGGAGATCAGATGAAACCGAGTCGAGCCATTGTCGATACTTTTGCACAGATTTTTTCCTTCACTTTTTCTTTCTTTTTCGGCATTCCCATCAAATTGTTGTACAATCTCCAGGCAGTTTATAGGCATTTGAAAGAACGCTCCACTACCGCTGCAGTACCGCTGCAGTTTTTGTTGTTTTACGCTTTGTAAGTAGGCTTGTCTTTCAGTTGGGATGTCTGCGCTGTTTGTTTTTTCATTGTTAATTAGTGCTAAGCAGCTGGTTTATAGTGTTTGTCGCAACAACATAAAACGACGGAACATGTGTAAAGCAAGTTCTGGACTGGAAGTTTCCCTCAGAAATTTTAAAAATTACATAAAATGAGTTTTCCAAATGAATGCATGCACTCATCCTACTAAAATCTCCGGAATTTAAACGGATTTCGAGCGATGTTTATTTGCATCAATGGCAGTCGAAAACAAACAACTCTCTCCTTTACTGCATGTTCTCCTCCTACCTGCTTACTTATTTACTTACCTATTTAGATGCCTGGGATTACCTCAGTAGTATCCACGTTGACCGAGGTTATCTAAGTTAGCAAGTAACATCTACAAATCTCTTCTTCCGTCCAAATTTTCCGCATGCTTTGCCTGTCCTAGAGATTGTTATTTGCATTAAATCTTCCTTAATCTTTTCCCAATCTGCAATATCAGCTTTCTTTTTTCTGTTTTTACAACGAATATACAGCCTCATCGAGAATGAAATCCTCATTTTGTTTATACCTCATATACATATATTTTAGGTTTGTTTTAGTTTTAACATTCATAATAGTTTTTGAGAAGAATTCGTAGTAAGTACTGATATTATTAAACGAATTGTTGTTTAAGGCAGTGTTCGAAAACGATAGCAGGCATAATCATAGGCATGATTTACAATGACATTGTATTATTTCAACTTGCTATTATCACCTCATATGATCTGTGATATTTGAATAGAAGCTTAGGTAATATAGTTTTCGAACACTGATTTGAAGTAACATAGAAAAGAAGTGTTTTTATTCGACAAATGCAACATTCAGTGCTACTTGCTGTTTGATTTAAAATCTGATGATTCATCTTTGCTTGCTTATATCTCTCCTACCTGTATTGCTTATCTTAATTGAGCAAGTTAGATGTGAAATTTTTTACAGGAAAATAAGTTCTTGGAAAATGCAAAGTTCGAAGTTTCATACTGAAGTAAATTAATTGTAAAAATTGTTCTCGCTTTTTAACGTGGAAATTTCTTATCTTTCCGAAAGTATTTTAATATGTACAGCTCGGACGTTGATCATTGTAACAGATAATGGATACCTGTTTTTCTTATCATTCATTGGTAGGGATGATGTACTGATAAGGTTTGTTAACTTTACAGATAAAGTAAGTGAGCACTTGATTGATTTGCGTGGCTGGAATGATGCATAGTTTTGTTCCATTATTAGAATTTGTGAGAAGAATAGAAGGGTTTGAGAGTTCACGTGAGACGTGAAGGGACGAATGAACTCTCTTTCTAGCTATTCGTTTCTGTTATATAGCTAGCCGGATAACTGTTTGTTTCCTTGTTCCTTTCTGACTAAAAAGTCGTTCTATCATTTCCTCATCAATTCAATTTTCCGGTACAATTATTATTATTTTCTGTTGGCAATAATTTCATAATGAAAAATTGGTCTTTATCGGATAACCAAGTATTATTCCTTTTCAAAAAAGCATTGTTTTTCTCTTCTTGTCACTTTATCTTTCTTTACTATAAAGGTGATGGATCGTTTTATCCTGTTTTACACAGTAATGAATTTCAGTAACAAATGCTGAAAACACTTTTCATCGCTGTCCGGTTGAAACATTGATTCGCTTACCGATGGATTTAGGAGTGGAACTTTTGCTTGGATATAATGAAATATTGCCATTATTAGCTTGTGAACTTCAGTGCATCGCAAGGGTTACTTCTTAGTACTTCGCTCGATTGGAAGTTTTATACCGCAACATTGTTTAAGATGGCGACAGTTCAAAGTGTAACGACGTAATAACTAATATGCGATTCATACAAGTTGTTGAAGAGAATTTGATAAAAATCTGATAACGAAAAGGGCGTCGGCTATATTATTGCGATATGTTTAAAAAGCGACACTTCAATATTTTTTGGCCTATTGGTTTTTGAAATGCTCTCAATGTAATAGCGAGAGCGGGGCTGATTCAGGAGCTGTTTGTCTTATCAGCAAGACACCGTAGGAAGTGTGCATTCATCTTTAGTTCTGTGGCTTGTGATAACTGCTACAGGATGTCTCAGCATTACCATCACTTTAATAAGCACAAATCTCACTTCCCTTCCTTATCATGATGCAGTTATGGTCATCTTTTAGCTGCTAACCATCATTTGTCAGCATTGTGTTGCAAACTTGCAACGCAGAGAGGTCTACGCAAACATTAAAGAAGGCGGGATGAGTTTGCAAACGATAAGTTGAAATCATAATTATCATTGCATTAAAAATTACAATTTCTTGCACGCCTTGCAAATCCCGTTCAGTTTTACATTGCTTTTGCTGGGACGAATTAAAAAATGTAGATGACCTGATTTTGTGGAATTCCATTCGTCTGTCAGTAGGAGGGAATGACAGAAAGACATGCTGATGGGGAAGGAAAAGAAATTGAGAAAAAAGGAAATAGAAGGGAAGCGCAGACTTCGGATAATAAGATTAATTCTAATTGTCTTTAAAATTGAAATGTTGAAAAGAATTGGAAAAGTATTCAGTTCAGAGATTGTGAAGTACATGATGGGAGACCTATTTTACAATAGGACGGCATTGTTTTAGGTTTTTAATCATTTTTCCGACAGCATTTCAAATGTTTGACGTGAGGCATTTCTGTCCCCAGAAAATTCGTCTCTTCATTCTTCATTGTCCGAAACTTCAGATCTTTGAAGTGACACAATGAAAGTTATTAGCGGTGTGTCAGACTCCCAAAAATGACTCTCTGAGGACAGTTCCACTTTTGGGGCCACAATTGTCCTTGAGGAACAGTCCAATTCAGTAATGAACGGATGCAAAGATGTGATCTGATTTCCTGCTCTCTCACTTCGAACCTTTTGTAGAAGATAACACCGGGTGATTTATTCTTTTGTGTCTCTGTGAAGCTATGAACACTTTTGATCAAAGCAGAAAATGTTTCCAGAATCTTCAGAAATGTCTCTGCCTTTGTGACTGAAGTGGTCTGAATAGAGAGAAGAGCTCATCTCGAGAGTCTCCTCACTGACATGAAATAAAGAAGGGACTATGAGGGTGCTAATCTAATCTCCCTTACTCAGTGTTTTCATGGAAATTGAAGAATTGGGTCATCCTTTTCTTCTCCCCAAAGAGCAGAAGATATTATCCGTGCGTTCCGAGACACCGATGACATAAATGTCAAAGGGTGGGTGTGGGTACCACCGAAGATAACGGTTACAAAGGAAGTGTTGCGGGACAGGAAGATGAATTCTGATCATGAAATTTCACCTTTCCACTCCTCCTCCGTTCCCTCACTTTCCAGATTTCCTTTCTCTCTCATTTCATCAGTGCCACTAATTGAGTAATGACGGAAAATTACGATTTTCACCTTCTCTTCGAAATCATCATCCGTTTCATTCTGCCCTACTTTGTCTTTCTTCTAAATTCACACAATTAAAGAAAGAACGTTTCATTTTCATTAATGTATAACAATTACCTATTCAGTTGTTGCCCCAGCACCGATTTAACTCTATTTAAATTAGTAAACATATATCCATTAGAATGTACGACTATTTGAATCTCTTGAATCACTTCATTAGTTGGAAATGTTTATTTACAGTTAATTTGTCGAGAATTTCCGGCCACTAATAAATTCACAAAAAAGTTTCGAAATTCATCAGTATTTCTTATTGCACATTGCAAAATTTTTCTGAAATTTCAGAATACTTTACCATAGCAGCATGTGCTCATATGGTTCTGAAGAAAGGACATTTGCTTGTTAGCTATTGGCTTGTAAGTTTAGTGGTCTGTTGACTTTTAAAATTTAATTGGCCCTATAAAAGTTAGAATTATTTTTCTAAATTTAGGTGGAACCAAAAGCACCATAAGACCCTTAGATTCTGGAAGCAAAAGACTGTTTGGAGAGAAAATGAGGCGCGGTCGGAGATTGTTGGCACTTGTGATACTTTTGGAACTTTTCGTCCTGGGACATGCCACGTTATTCGGCGGTGGCGGCTGCTGCTGCGAATGTAACATGCCGATCCCATCACACTGCGAGTGTCCTCCTCCACCTCCGCCACTGGTCAGTTGTTGCTATTTTACCGCTTAAACGATTACGTCCTGATAAAAGGTTTGAAATTTCCAGAAAAGTTCTTCCTTATCCATATGAATATATGAATTCAATTTCAAAAAGTTAAATCCACCGATTGTCCGATTACTCGAATAAATTAAAAAATTCATTCACAAATTCCTTTAATATTCTCAATTTTCTTAACATTCTCCGCTATCTCATTTTTGTTCTTTAACATACACTTTTCATCTTTTAAGCCGATCTGTCCGCCACCAGTTCCCTGTCCACCACCAATATGTCCCACCTGTCAAATATGTTCCCCGCCACCACCTTGTCCACCACCACCTTTATGCCCTCCGCCTCAGCCTGTTTACTTACCGTCATCCAGTTGTAGTTGTGGCGCTCCAGATATTGCCACTGGCGGCTATGCTTCTCCTATAGGCCGAAACATCGGTAAGTTTCCATTTCACATACAGTGTTCACAGGCACTAAGGATAAGCTATGATAAAATATGAGCTGAGTCGCAAGGGCGAAAGTAGGATTTTGGACACCTGCACATCTCAAAAATAGACATTATCGCAACAAAGGAAATTTTCAATTCATTCCAGCAATTTTAGGGCCAGTGCTAGGCGGATCCTACGATGTTGTACAGAAGGGCACGCAAATTACTGGATTAACAGTTCCACGCGATGCTTCACCTCCATCTGTAGAGCCGAATCATTTGCTGGGACCAGATAGAGATCCCGGCATCCAACAACTGCCTTTTATTCAAAATAGAATTGAGAAATCAGACGATCCAACGGATCTGGACATCATTAGTCAATGTATGAATCAACTGTTGTCGAACTTGAGAGATTCTTTGATTGGGATAGCCTGAAAGCTTAATGAACTGACTCTCGATATTACAATGATTTCAGGCTTTTCAGACAAAAGTGAACATGATAGATGAAAAGCGTAGGTCCTTTCTTGTTTCTTCCCAGTGATTGCTTTACATCCCTGATGGAAGGTTGTTTTTCAACTAAAGTGAAAATCTGTAATTTCATGTTTTCAGTACCACCGTTATCGTCAACAGTAGCATCAGTAACGGAGCGAAGAGCTCATGGAGCCGTTGTGATTTCCGAGAATAAATGCAACAGTGTAGTGCTGCGGGATTTGCTTATAAAGGTCATTTTTATTGAAATTTCCAATAGCGTAATAAAGCATTTCTATTAAATTGTGGAAAAAATAACAAGGACAAGGCTGTTCAGAACATGGATCAAACGGATCCGGTAGTATCGAAGCGATCGATACACAAAGCAGCTCAGGAAAGTATGAAGGAGGACGACATGGACGTTATTTGCTCGGATTCAGGCTTTACTTATATTGTCAGTACCACTGAATATTGTGAAGCGCAAAAGGAAAAAGTTATTTGTTTCGTGTACAAAAAACCATAATAATTGATTGTTCATATTTATTTCTTTTCATTCAAAACTTATCTATTTTTTTACTAATTGGATCTATTCAAATTTTTTAAAAGTTCAATCATATTTATTGCGTAATAACGTGAAACTTTAATCGATACCGAAAATAGATAGGGACTGTCTTTGTCAGGAAAATTTTCGAAATCACACACAGTATACTTCAATCATTATACAGAGATCGGATACTCCAATCTTTATACACTTTAGCACACGATGAGTTAAAGGAAACTATAACTGAATTGATGGAAAGTGCGCAAAAGGAAATTTCAGAGGAATACTTAAATAAGTGTAGAGCAATTTAAAAGAATGGCTGAGAGGCCTAATGTGGAATACTAAAAAATTGACGCACTAATAATAATAGTATATTTCTCAGAATGTACTCAATCTCCAGAAATGTTTAATTTTAATTATTCAATTTTTAATTCGATTTTCTCAGTGACAGTGATATTTGTAAGTTCGTTTAATTTTGTGTGGAAATGAAAAATTGCAATAAGAAGAGGCATTTTTTATCAACAAGCTAAGAAAGTTACAATCTGGAAAATGAGCTCTTGTAAAATCCAAGCTGTGATAATTAATTAATGAATATAAAGTAATCAAGTGAGAACATTATTGGGAATAAGTTAAGTACGTAAATGATGGATGACATTGTTCAACGTTAAACAAAATGGTTTTATAGAGTTTTATTGTTATAAACAGGGAAATTTGCAACAAAGTTTATCAAGGTGAACCATTACCGCACACATTACTTATCTTTCGCTCTCAATATTTTGTTCTTTTTCTCAGTTTCCAAAATATTTTAGAAGCTAAAGGTCAATTAGGAATAAAAGATGTTCAAAAATTGATCTAATTTTTCGAAAGACTTGATCTGCACAATGTATTATTTAGTACTCATTGAAACAATAAGCGTTGGCTACACAACAAGTGAAAAGTAAATTTGCGAAATAGTTCGATTCTGCTTAAGATTGCTCCTGCATAACTCCAATATTTTTTGCTTACATTTACTTCCTCGAAAACACAAATGACCTTTTTCAAAAATTCCACAAACTATTTTATCATCGTCCATATTTATCAAAGTGTCATTATATCACTCTTAGCTGCTATTGCACTTTGCCCGTCCACTCTGATTAAAAATTTGATTTTAGAAGTTAACTCTCCAGGGTTAGGGTATTCTTATGTCATTTCAAATCATTTGGGTTGAAATGACTGACTGCATTAGGATTCTTATTCCTTTGCTACTTTCAGAGCAATTAGCATTGTTCGAAATACCTCCGGTACCTGTAGAGGGGCAAGAAAATTATTCGGAATCTTTTCTGAAATAAGCAAGAATTGGTGCTTAGATTATTTCCAGACAAGACTGGAGTTGACTTGGTCATTACAAACAGCAAACTGTCCACTCCACAACAGCACCTTCTGCGTCCAACTGATTTGCTACTGCAATTGTTACAGAAAACAAAGAGGTAATTATAGGGATATATTGTGTACGCTAATTAATCCTCCATTTGTTTACTTCATTTTCAGTCGTTCCAAACATCTTCTTAATCTTACGGAAGTTTGCTGAGAGAAAGGAAAGACGAATAACCGTCGACATTACGCAATCCTTCATATGTGGATCGATTCTTTCCGCAATCGAAATTACCTTGCCTTTCTATTTAGATATCATTCTTTTGGAAAATTTGACTTTCAAAAATTCATATATTGAAGATTATAATAAAAAATTAGAAATTATTACGATGCTTATTGATATCAAAAAATTAGGTTCTAAAAAAACCCTAGCAGGTCAGCATTTCAGATTACTGCACTCAATAAATATCAATTTGGAGCCACCAATTTAATCTGAAATAAGAATTATTTAATTGTTTATTCAAAACGAATAAACGCTAACTTCTTTCGACAGTTTCAACTTAAAAGTTAATGAGAAAATTTAATACATCAGCAATTAACAATATCGTTCCGGAAATAAAGATTGCTTGATGTTAAATATTCAGCGTTTCTTGGCTTCAAATCGCTCACATTTTTTTTGACTTACAAGCTTATATAAGTATAGAAGAAGCTAAAAGGAACTCAAAATGTCTGAAAAGGCTTAACCAATCTAGAGATTTGCCGAATAATTTGCAAGAAATTTTCCCGATTGCATTAATGACGTCTACTAACAATTGGTATGACACAAAGAGCAAAGTGTAAAAATTTCAGCGTGAAAAATGAAGAAGTCTTGCAGAGATCGTAAATGTTAACAATTATTTTTTGTAAAATGAAATCACTGTTGTTTGAGAGACTATTTCAAGCCAAGAACGCAGCCTTTTACTTTATATTCATCACATTCCGAATGAATTAAAGATGAAACTGAAAAAAAACGCACCGGCGGAATGAGACTTCCCAACATCAGTCGCAATGTTTCCGTCAAATGCTATAAAGAATAGGAAGAGGATAGGAAAATATTGTCGAGAACAAGCTCGAAATTCCACCAAAAATAATCTTTGTACTGAACAATCCAATCAGTTACCGCATCTGAGGTTTTCCCATCATTATAATCTTTCGTTATGTCAATTACATGATTTATCTTATCATATATCATTCATATTCCTTTCCGCACATCCAATTTCTCATTGACCTCACCAATCCTCATGTGGATAATTATCATATTGACCCCGTCCCAATGTATTGTATTCTTACAACTCACATCACTATACAAGGTCTGAGTTCTGCTCAGACGAGGAGATTCTTTCAGTAAGTAGTTTCTGTGAGTCGCAGTTTAGTTACGGCCTAATTGAGCAAAAGCCTATTCGCTATTTCGCTTCAATTATATAAGTTCAATAAACCAATTCTTCAATCAATCCGTTTCGATAACAATTCCTACATCAGTTGCAACACCTTTAGTACCGACACTCGAACCCAATTCAAGTCAAGCAATTAAACCCAAACCAAGCAATTCCCAATACATTCGGGAACTTCAATTGATCTGAACCAATACAAGCCCCAATAGACACAGCACAGTCTTCTGGTGCCACGAGTCAAATCCAAACAATCAAGATCGACTCAAAGCAGTCAATCAATTTAAACCAACCCAATCCCAACCAAATTCACAACAAATATTGAATACGAAAAAATGACTCGAGAAGGAATATTCTCAGGGAATTCTGCAACTACTCTCGGTATCGTTTCTCCTCAACTGCATAATATCTCGCTGAAACCTTCCGAAACACGGATATATATGTAAATGCCACCGAGAGTTCATCTTCAAAAATAACTCCTATGGGACAACTAATTCATTTTTCGACTTCTCGGACCGTTGAGCGGTTGGCTTATAGTGTATGTTTATTATGATACTTTCTCTTTTTGTTTCAGGGTAACTTGCAATATATCTATGCAAGGTGTGGTACGTAAGCTAATGAAAACGACTCTCGATATTTTGCTGATCAGATCGTTCAAAATTTCAGTGAGGAGCGAAGAAACTTCAATGGCGGAAATAACACTTTCTGAATCAGTACCTTCTCCATCAGAGCCCCCTCAGGAAATCATTCGAGGTTTCAAAAATTTTTTTGTTCAGCAATATTTTGCAGGGAACAACTCATCGTTAATATGGGTGGGATTTGTTTACCGACAGGGTGACATCAGATGGAATGGTGCGATTTTCATAATGACAGATGTATCAATAAAGTTAAAAATGAAATATTTAAAAAGCCTTATCCTGAAAATGTTCTTGTTTTGAATAATTTCAATATTCAGATGGAGAAAGAGACAAGGCTATATTGATCAAGGTTTTAAGACAAGTATGCTATCCGTTTTTGTAGTGGAAAAAAAACCAGCTATTCTGGAGTCCATATTTCTATGATGCGACGACGAGATTTCGGGGCAAACACCGAATGCCAGAAATTCATAGTTGAGTTCTGGAAACACTTGAAGTTTGTAAAGAAGAAAATTTTCAGACATTATTACCATTCTTTGTTGCTGGACTGGGACAAATTTGCACTGGGCTATTTTTTGAACGAGCGCAACATTGGTGGTTTTTTTTATATGTACCTGAAGCTTTTATTTTGGTACCAGCCTTGCTTGGCTTGAAAGGCAATCTTGAAGTAACATATGCATCGCGATTCTGTACCCTGGTTTGTTACATATTCTTCAATGAAGACTTCGTCCCCGCGAATCACGGATCAGTACTGATATTTGGGATGACCGCACTAAGACTCCATGATGAGAAAGAGAAGTAAGAAGAGAGCTGGAAATGAATTTTTTTTTAAGATGCTCTCTCAAATCAAGTTAAAAAAATATGACTAATGCAATTTTAGACTAATGCAGGTCAAACGAATAAAGCGAACGAAATTTTTTTTATTGCTCGATTTAATTTATGCCTTGTTGAACTGCAAGCAATCGTTTTATCATTTCTTGCGGCTTTATTGAGCAGTGCAATTAGTTTAATCAATTGCGATGTTAGTTTGTCCTCTCGATCTACTTGTTTGCGTATTCTGGATTGCCTGCAATCAGTAGCATAAGCGGATACTGCAAATTTGCGCAATGCAAGAGAAAATAACTTCCAAAATAAATCTGCATAAAATCCCGAGAATAATTCATTTGACTTAGCTGGCATATATTTATATCTTTTCTTCGAAATTAATTTAAATTGAAAAAATCAGCAGAACTTGGCAATTCCTGTTAAATGGTTGGCTTTATAGATGCTTTTGTTAATTGAACTTTGTAGTTCAAGCAGTCTCATGGAACGGTGGTGCTTTCAAGCGGCGTTTACGCAGCCTCATTATCCTCCTTTGTTGTTGGTTTCGTGATGATAGCTATCGTCGTTTTCTCCCGTCGATATGGCGCCGATCCCGACAACATTGCTGCGCCACTTACGGCAACTTTCAGCGACTTCGTCACATTAATCATGCTAGTAAATTTTCTTCTGAACTTCTTTGTGTACAACTGGACCGCTTTCAACTTTGTTTCAATTAAATTTTAGTTCAAAAGCCTTGTAGATTTCATGACTTTTTTTGAAATTGCTTTTTAAATATCGAATTTCGGGAGTCTTAATGAATATGGATATTATAACGATTGAAGGAGTTAATGAACTTTGTCTGCTATGATGTTTCGCTTTCCGGTACCGAGCACCTTAAAACTGTCCAGTCGATATACTTTCAGATTGGCGTAGGTATGTTAATGGTTCACATATACATCCACAAATTGTACATCCTCAACATTGTAGCAGTGATACTTCTGCTCTGTACAACACCATTTCTCACTTATTATGTCACGCAGGAACCACGTGCCAGGTCCATTCTCAGGGACAGCTCGTTTGCTATCACAGCGGCCATCGTTGTCGGGTGGTTAGTGTTGGTGACAATAATGCATATGTGGTGAAAGGCAGATCGGAAACGTTGTTTTCGAGCTTTACAAAGTTCTCTTCTCTCATTAAGGATTTGTTTTTGCTTTAAATCTGTTTAAAGTAGATCAAATTCTTAGATTAGCTGAAGCTTCATCGGTCTTTTAAGAATTGCGCCACTTTTAAAGATCCAGAAGTTCATGCCGTCTCAGGTTTCAGCTGCAGTGGTTTGCTGCTTCAGTCAGCTATTGTTGTTTTTCCTGGCATTGCTGCGTTTCATCCGCTCATCGCAGGTGCATTTCTGAATCCTTTAAGTCCCTTCATTGTTTGCAAATTGTTATTCGCAGATTTCAGCTCAAATAAATCAGAGGGGAAAAGGTCAGCCATCTCGTAGTGACACCCATCTTGATTATCCAGAAACTAATTTTCTATTCTCTCTGCTTCTTACTGAACAATTTATAGGACTCGGTGGTAATCGAGTAAGTGTACAGTCGAGTCGTCTTGCAACAGCATTACATCTCTCAGAATATTCCCTCGGTAGACTTCCTGCTGGCACAACTATATGGACTTTCTTGAATCCATTACGTTTCTTCTGTTTACGTCGTAAGCGTTTACTTTTCCATTTGCGGTGATTTGAGAAATAACATGAAAGGCTTCGGTAAATATCAAAGAGACCAGTAAGGGAGAGAGATAGAATTCGCTGTTCGTGACAGCATTTTCCGTACAAATGTTAACTTTGTGGAAATAGAAGACCGAAGATTATATTCAAGGATCGAGGATACAATGTCTTCCGTTGAAGAACATTTCCTTTTTTGAAGCGGAAAAGAAGAACAGAAGTGATGCCCCTGACAAATTCTTTAATTGTTTACCAAATATTATCTGATGCTTACAAAACAGTTTCTTTTGACGCTATTTTAAAATATATGCCCTTTTCTGTCTTGTAATAACTGCTAACAAAATATTAGGTTGGTGTAAAACTAATTTATAATGTGAATCCCAGTTCTCGTTATTAACCATTCTGATTAAGTTCAACACATTTTTATAAAATATTTTGACATTTACGAAAGAGTCAGGGAATATGAGAAATAAGCGAAAGTTGGCAATCTACGTCAAAAATCGTCAACCGACATTCAAAATTTAATAATTTGAAACATCAGTAGTTTTTTGTAAGGGAGAACTGAACCCCTTCTAGTGATCAGTGCCGGCTAAATCATTAAAGTTTCATGATCTGTTAAGCACTCTTCTCAGATGTAATGTCGGGATTTAGAAGAGGTCAAACTGTGCCTATGACCTTTTTGATGCAACTTCAATTTTGAGATCCTTCAGAGCTCATCTTCCTTTTAATTACTGAAATGGTTATCAGTAGATTTCCTATAAAAACTCATTTTTCGTTGCACGTCATAACTTACTCGGTTTTGTTGCTTAAGACGAGAAAAAAGGACACTTTCAAGTACTTTTTTATTATCAGTCAACTAAGAGGCTCTCACCTACGAATTTTTTCACGTTTGATTTGTTTGAAAGCCAAACGACAGTACTGGACTCGCATTAATTCATTTAGTTGTAAGAGGATCCGGTCGATGGCTTCTGTAATTATTCATTGCTAATATTAATATTCGATGACCAATCACTATGCCCTTCATCTCCAATATTTTTGTCTCCTTCCTAAAGCTTTAAAACTCTCAGCGATCTATCTCTCATTGCCTTGAGGACTAAATACTTCAGTAATATCTGAAATGACAATAATTGTGGTCAATTTCGAATTCTTATAAGAAATCCCTCGGATTTGTTCTTTATGATCAGTTATTCTTTAAAATAAAAAACAAATAGTAATTACTAAAAGCAAATAATACAATTGAAAGTTGAAAAAAATTACTCATACTCGTACCTCAATATAAATGTAAACATTTGACAGTGTAAAAACATTGCTTTTCATCAATAATAACAATAATAATTAACAACTATAATAATAGTAAATAATATATGGTTTCGAAGGATCATCAATGATCATCCTATCATTTTCAGATTTGGACTCCAAAGTAGCATTTTTGCTATTAGTAACGGCAATCCCATACAATTTTTTGTTCGTCGTAGTGGTCATTTTCACAGCCAAAAATATTGACTTCAGTTGGATTTTTGTTGTAGCCTATGTTGTGGCCGCCCTTGTGCAAGTAACAACTTCCCATGAACTTGGACCTCTCCGGTCAATCATTTGTAGCAGATTAATTGATGAAATTGGTGGAAATCAGAAGTAGTGATAATTGATTCTGATTTCATTTCAACTTGAACAAATTTTGTTCGGGTAATTATTTGGAGATGACTTGATTTAATAATTTCCATGACAGAATTTATTTTTGCAATTTTTAGGGTTTATTACTGTTTTATTTATGCCAAGTGACGGTTTATGGATTGTGGTGGTTCCGGATGGATCCAGATAACAGTTCGGTACCGGTATTGACGTCAATTGGTGACCTTCTGGGCATTGGTCTGCTTTATATTGTCTTTTCATTCTTGCATCGCTTCGCTCCCTCAACTGTTTTTTATCAACAGTATCAAACGATGAATATAACACGACAATGTGGCATTGATTTCTGATTTGAATGATAACTGATAATTTATCCATGTCAACAAAGAGCCAATTCAAAGCATTCTCTTGCAATATTAATGCTTGCATCGGTATCAGAATGCGCTTTATTATCCTTATTTACTTGTTTTACAAGTTCAAGTCTTTAACTGATTGGCCAATATCCTCTGAACAGTTATTTCTGGCAATGGTAATAGTAATTATCATCCGGAAAAAGCAAAGTAAACTTAGGCAAAAAGGATAATCTTCTCTCGAAAAAATCTAATCGTCGCTCACAAATTTTCGTAACTGTTACATACTCGATAAGATGGAAATATCGAAATGATAGGATCCCTCGGATACTTCCAGAAGTGAAAGTAAACAAACGTGAGTGAATCATTGGAGCCAATTTCGCAAAAAAAGATGCTCCTCAGGATTAAGAAAAGTGTAAAATGAAACGAAATGTAATGCTCTTTCTTCCTTCCTTTATGCACACCACTAATTTCACTATGCAAATATACATTCACTTTCATATAAACAAAAAGAGAAGAACACCACTTTAAACATCTGAATTGGCCATTTAGCAAATTGAAATTTTGGAGTGGCGAGTGATAAATCGATGTGCAGAAATTTGGTTCACTTGCTCGAAGTTAATTAATTTCGCCACACGGTTTATTTGTCCTTACCGCCATCAGAACTGTGTAATACTTAACTTAGCTTAAGCTGATTTGCTTCCTTTTTTGATTTCCGGCAAATTTTCATCTTAGTTGTAATTGAAAGATACTTCACTTTCTCTTTGCTTTATCGGCCTTTTTTATGTTATTTGCCGACTCAAAAATAGCCTTGCGTTTAGAATCCTTTTCGACGCTCAAAATAAGCAAACTTATGTTTTCTTTGTTTTTTCTTTCAACTTTTATCTCCTTTTCCTCGCTCATAAATTAGCTGTGGAACACGTGTTTGCAGAGACCAATTACGACCTTATTCAGGGATTACGCTTAGTTATACAGCAAAATCTAATGAACGCTTTCTACTATTTATTTGAGAGTTAAATTAAATTGCTGTTTTTTTAGTTTAAACTAAATATTGAGTTTTTTTTTTGTTTAAATAATCTATATTTTTGTATCCTCCCTTCCACAATGGTGCAAAACGATAATTTCGAAAAGATAATGAGAATTTGAAATTCCCATCCAGCACTGCCTTACTCGGATCAATTAAGCGCATGTGAGAGCAATCGGATTCATGCATAGGCTAACTATCAAAATTAAGTAGAAAAGCAAAGTAAATGCTAAGTCGTATACTTCAAATTTGCATTATAGCTGGTTGAGCCAAGTACAAATTAAATAACAAATAATTCAGCTTTCGACGTCCTTCGTGATTACTAATTTAATTTACACAAAACATCAATGACACCCACAGCAGTTTATGCTTGACAGTTTATTAGTCATTTTTATGCGCACACGTGCCTCACGGAATGGTTCACGGCTGTTTATTAGTTTACTCTGTTCAGATTTTACACACAAAGTACAAGTTCTCAAAGCCGAATTTGTTTTCCGATGCACCTAATATGCTCATTTGCACGTCACAGACTTCCCTGCAAACTGCTTTTCCATCCATAGAACTCAAAAAGAATCCCGTCCAGTTTGATCCACAAATTGAGACTTAAAATCTTACTTGTGCAAAAGCAACCATCAGTCATGCGAATGCACAGCATTCAAAGATTCTTTGCAAATTTCCATCAGTTTATTCAAATAGTTAGTAGTAGTGACTCATTCAACATACCTCTCCCTCATTCTTTATGATTTCAGTCTCTCAGATCATCGAACAATCGATAACTGATAAATTTGTTTTGAATCCACTTGCGCTTATCGTTCCAAAAGGCTTCAAATTTCTTCTTTTGGTAAAATTGTGAGAGGCAGTGCTTGTTATTATATGTCATTCTGTTCTTCGGATGAGGTTGGATAGAGAGAGCTGTCACTAACTCACGTGCTCTTTATTTCGATCCACGAATTTCTTCCGGCAATTACCCCCGAACGTTTAGATCGGTGACGCATTTGACTCTCGCTATTCTATCCGACTTTTTCCGATTATTCCCGATTCCTCTTTCACTTTGTCTGAACCAAAAATTTTAAAGTTCCGAACAAACAAATTTAGCAAGTCCAATTAGTTTCGCTGCAAAGCTAATATGATATTTTGTCTTTTGAAGAACACTCGAAATAGCTTAAATTCTCTATTGCTTTACTTCTTCCGTCAGTTAATTTCTCCCGCATATTTGTGAGGTGCTGCGCTTTCCATGCAATACGTCGAAGACAAATATTACATTTGAGTACTGATGGATGTCCTCAGGTGAAATAAATAGTGGACAGCGGACAGATGAATGCATTTTCCACAGAGATACGTGGTGCATGTCGCTTGCTGAAAATTCCAAATAATTTACTGAAGGCCATCTGTCACCGTCAAAGAATGATGCGGGCGCATATTCCACTCATCATATTTACTATCATAGCGTATTCATCTGCCGATTTTAAACTGAAATTTCCATTTCTTTAATATACGTAAATTAAATTACATATTTCATTGCAGATTTTAATTTTTGCATAACGAACTGATGTATATTTATAAGTGCTAAAAATAACACTGTCCTTTTAGCAATGAAATGATCTTTGCACAAATAAATGACCTCGGTGTCACTGACATGAGCAACAATCATTGTGTATTGAAATGATTAGGATCACAGGCACTACTTGTTTAAAATTGACCCAATGCATCTTAGCTTTCTCTTCTCTTCCAAGCCTTAAGACTAACCGCTCGTTCATCACGATCTAATCCAGCTGAGACATTCAGCAGGGTCAGTTGTCTACTCGTCCGGATACTCCGATGGCACCCGAAATATGGAAAAATAACGAGAACAATAAGTTCTATAAAGGTTATAACGTGCTGCTATCGTTTGTGTCGTGCCACCTGACCGCATTCCTATAGAGAGTTGCTCTTTGGTAATTAAAATTAAGCACCCTTGTCTTTCAGTTTCGATTCTATTTCCTGTCAGTAAAAAGTATACCATCCACTTGAATGTTACTACAATTACGGGTGGAAACCTTCTGTAGCAATAATTATACTTTGAAAGTCATATTTTTCCGGTGACATCTTGCTCTGTACGTCCATAAGTAGGAACAAGTCGAGACAGCATGCTGGAAGATAGCTTTCCCATTAATGGGAAGCGACTAAGAGAATTTTTATTCGACCTTATTATCTAACTTCAATTCCTTCATCCAACTTCAATCACCTTCTACTCGGTTACATCTAAAACAATTAACTGAGGGATAGAAATTTGGTAATAAACTGTTATCGATCCACTAGCTGACACCGCCAATGTAATTAGCCTCAAAGGTGGAATTGAAACACACGGATTGTTAAAATGAAAGGTGAGAAAAACGATTTTTCCAATATTCCTATAAACGAACGGCACTACAAACAATAAGAACTTTAAATATAATGGAAAATCAAAATTGATCCGATATCATTGTTCTCGGTCAACCATCATACAAACGGTGTCGGAGATGGGATCATTCGTTCACGTATTTATTAATCTTCTTTCAACCTTTCAAGCATTATCTCACGTCCTCACTTTTTCAGTACAGATGAATGAGTGACAATTGAACCACAAATCTTTTCAACTGATAAAATTGAAGATTTTGTTTTGTTTTTATGATTTGCAACCGAAAGGCATAAATATCAGCACAGTCCAATTCAACATGCCAACGACATTTTCGTCTGCATAAAGAGCCTCTTGATTGAATAATTTACTTATATATGAATGAACTTCAATTCAACACGTTCCGGGATCGGAATGAAAGAAAACCGATTTGCTAAAGTCATATATATTCAATATTCTTCGTAGTGATATTTAAACTATTGTTTGAAGAGCTGATGAGTATTTGTGATAATTTTGGCATCATTTGAAATGGCAAATTAAGACTGTAACAGAGACCTGAATGAGTTTGTGTTAGCCTCAGTTTTTTCTCATTCAAAAAACAATTCTCAATAATGTGGAGAAGTCGATGAAAATAAAACAAGTCCAACTTTGTATATTTTTATTCTTTCAATCTTGTAAATCATCTTTTAAGTGATGATCTTCAAGATTAGTTGATAAAGCAGATCATCTATACATATTTAATTTTTTTCAAATCATTTAGAAAATTTCTGTTTTTTTATACTTTCGGATTGAAGTCTCCAACAGAGATTTTCGATTGATTATGTAAGTCTATTTTTGTTTTTCTCCCAGGCTTCTATACAAGGAAACCCCGAACCTATTATTTATCTGGCAAACGTCGGACAACTAGAATTTCTACTACTCTGGCCAACTAATTACGTGATGGTCCTCTCCGGTCTACTTGAAGATCGCTGATACATGCGCTGAACCGGATCAGTTTTGGTAAATGCACATTGCTGTATGTTAGAAGTACATGCTGCTTTCTTCGCCTTCTCATTATAGTCACATCAGATTCGACTTGAAGATTACCGGAGATAAATTTTACGAATTTATCAAACCTTATTTCTCATTTAAGGTTTGTTGGATAATAATTAAGAGAATAGTTTCAATGAAATCGGCAAATCATAAAGTGATATGAAGCACCGGAAATTTGTCACACTGAATGACATTGGGAGAAGGAGAAGATGGAGAAAAATTGTGAGTTAGCTAAGCAAACTTCTGGGACGGGAGATGAGAGCAGGGCTCTTGTGAAATTTCGAATTGATTTAGCAGCAAAAAGCAGCTATTCCGCATTTCATAAACGACATGCAAAAAATTTCATTGATACAGTCCCTAAACGAATCATGTGCTAATTATGACCTAGAAAGTAATTTCCTTTGAAATCGGACTGAGGGGAATTGTTGTTTGTCAGCTGATCGTCGGGTCGCTAAGCAATGGCTTCTATCCCCACCTATTTATCGATTAATTGCCCGAAAGAGTCATATCTCTTCTCTTCCTTCAGTATTTGCTTGCTAAGTGGTGGATTGAGAGTAGCAAAAGAGTAAAAAGTACTGAAGAAGGTATTTCCTTGGAGTACGGTCTGAGCAACAAAGAAGGCGGTAACAGCAGATGCAGAGGGCACTCCACAGGGTCAACAGTGAAAACATAGAAGGACCAGGAGGGATAGATGGAAAGGCAGATGGAGGAGGAACGAGTGACCTCCGGTGCTTGCTGCACAGAAGGGGAGGAGGGATGTGTAATGAGTGACCACTGCATAGTCGTGCCTCGTTCATTCACAATGCTAGTGACCAGTGCCGGTCAGTGATGCTAATTGTTGTTGTGTGCATCCATCCCAGTTCCCGTCTTCTCTCATTCCAATGTCCATTTTCTCTTCCATCCCATATTGCTGCAATTCTTTTCAAACTACTAAATATTAATTTTCATTTAATTCATCTTTCGCACCATCTCTCAGTGGTTCATGTCACAATGACGTCTCAATGAAATTCCTGTTTAGTTTTGTTTGTTTCTTAAACTTTTCTTTTTTTGCTCTCAAAACAAACTTCGGCGATTATGTTGGATGGAATAAATAATATGATGATGTGTGGGTGGGTGTGTTATTCATGTTTCTGTCTGTCAACGTCAAAGGTAACGTCTCCTTCTTGAAAGAGGGCACTGACGACATGTCATCACCGTCGTGTAATGTTTATTACCATCGTTGAGATCGCCTCAGGTAGTTAACAATTTCTTGTTTTATGTGTATGTTATGCAATACTGCTGAGTGATACGCCGCTATCGGGTCGATATCACTTCGAAACATTCTTTAACAGTTATCATTTAATTATCTAATTATCATCTCCTCCCCCTCATCATCATCACCAACTTATCATCACTCAGCAGCACTCCTATGACAAATCTCAATGACAGTAGCAGTAGTAAGACGCGGTGGCCTCATAAAAGGTAATTGAATTGAATCAATATTCTTCGATTGCATATGCATATGAGCTCCATTTAATCAGCCGTATGATCCCAGCGGGATAACTTCCTGGCAATGGGAAAACACGCGGATTTCCTGTCAATGGGAAAACACGTGACGATCGACTCAAGGAACAATTTTTACAGTCTTTTAATTTAGATAACTTTGAAAAAGTAGATAGGTAATTCTAGAAAAAAGCGAATTTAGAATAAATAAAGCAGAAATCAAAGTACTGTAAGGTTTCATCTGCTTATAACTCGACTGAGTAACAGTGTCCGAGATAGACATGTCAAAATGATGTGATCTGATTGCACAGAGTAATGATGGAACTCTGTCGGCTATTTAGAATATGAAAAGCAGAGGGAAAATGGCATAAAATCTTTTTTATTATAAAATTCAAAAATTTATTACTTTATGTAAGCTTGTCCCAATTTGTCGATTAGTAGCACTTGGTGTTTTTTTCCGACTGACTAACTGTGCAGGGTGGTACCAATTTTCATATATATATATATATAGCGTCGTATGATTAGAATGATGACCTTATTTCGCATCAATTTTTAAAATTAAGCATCGGTTGATAAGAAGCACACCAATTTATAATTTTGAATGTAAACTTACCATACGATAATTTCAACTGCTTCAATTTAGCAATCAACAATAATTGTAGTTATTAATGACAGCGCTAACAGTTCATCTATGCTTCCATGACGTCATTCACATGTCTTTCGAAGTTTCGATCTGTCAAGCATCAGAAATCGTCTTCAAACAGCCTCCAAAAAAGGATTTAAATTTTTTCAATATCCAAACATATTTATTCCTTCCAGCAATAGTTGTGCTCTCTATTTCACCAGCATTTTGAATGATTTAAGGATTCAGTTTGAATTAAATTAATGGAATACTCATGAACCAAGGAATGAAGTAATCATTTTCTAATCTTCCCTTCTCCTCTGAGTGATCGTCAGCAGGTTGTCTTCTTCAGTTCTCTTTCGGCATTAGAGAATTGCACTTCCCAAATTTCACTTTTATTTATTTCCAAACTTATGATGCCACCAAAGTGGTCATCATTTGGATGAAGAGGAAATCAGTTTTATCGTACCTCTGCCACTCCAAGTAACTTTTCTCTCAGGCCGATCGAAAATGCCCTCTGTATGCATCAAATCCTTTTGCATATATCTTCATACTTTATATTTTACGTCACGAAAACTTGCCGTTAGTATTTCAAAAGGACAAAAAAGTTTATGTTTTAATTGCAGTCAGTCGAAAATGGCATCGATATTTCGTCGGAAGCAATTTACTATTTTTGCGATCTTCTTCCAGGTATGCTATTTACTTGTTCCAAGCTCTAAGGTTTTAATGGCCGAACTGTTTGAAATTTCATGCTTACAATTTGAATCATGCTCTTTGTGCGCCCGCTTCACCATTTTTTGTTGGGAAATTACGCATCGCTCCACTTTTGATTCATTTCAAACATCCCTTACACATGGATGCTTTAAGATTATTTGTTGCAGTCAAGACTAGGAAAGATATCTAAGCTTAATTGTTCTTGAAAGTTTGATCAGTGAACAAAAAAGTTAACAACTGAACATTGGCAATGAGGAGTAAATTTAATTTCGAATAATAAGCGCGGTTTGCAGCTATTAAAAATGATTCAAATACCTATCCATTCTCCGCGAAAAGTATTTCTACTTGCAGTTGTTTAAGCTTGAATTACTTGATGAATTTGTCACTTGTATCGCGCTTTCCCCGAATTTCAGCTTCATTTTAGCTATCAGGGTAGTTACTTATCACTAACCACAAACATTAGCTGACAGCTACGAGAATGAGTAATTTATTTGAACAGAATTTTTTTTTTTATCCGGGAATTGAATTTTGAAGAGATCCATTTTCTTGACCCTTTGCAGTTCATGCCAGAAAAAAGCGAATGTTCAGAAAGAGAGTGAACGAACTCCTCCTTATCGCTGAAATTTTCCGTTCACTCTGCCTTCTACCTCTGTTACCTGTCCCACTCTATTCTCTCAATTATTGAAATACTCGTCTAATTAATGTAAAAGGCCTACTAATCTAACTTATTCGTATATCTCGTCACAGAATTTCTTACATTAGTGGAATCCGAATGAGGTCAAAATTTCTCAAAAAAGATTTTCTGAAACACGAGAAGTTGATTTGTTTCAGAAAGAACTGAATGAATATTATTAAAATTCGCTAGATTCTTTCTGCACGCATAGATTGTGACTGAAGTTGGAGAACAGAATCACCTTTACTCCACTGATGATTGAATGTTTGAGGAGTCGGATTTTGCTACAAAATTCCTTCCAATTTCCAACTCATTTTCTCTGTGCCAATGATTTCTCGCAATATGACAATTCATTGTTCCTTCTCATCCCAACGACAGCCATTTTTCATCTCTTTCTCTCACAATGCCTATAATTTTGAGCGTAACGTGGAACTGCAAGACAGGTTGGTTCAAAGAGCGACAAGTCTGGCGGTATCGCTCTTTGAACCAACCTGTCTTGAGACTGACTGTACTTAATTATTGCCAGCGCAATCAAACCTCTCATTGAGATTTGTACCATCGAGGCTTCAAAACGGGGAAGAGGAATGTAGCAAAAGAACTAGTTTTGGAATTGAAATTTCTAAAAGTATAACGAAAAGTAGCTAGAAAGGAAGTTAAAATTTGCAGGTGCTATTTCTAATTCTTTTCGCGGTGTTTGGACAATATTCAAATAATGCAATGCCTGGTGGCTCTACCAGCACCAACTTCATCAACACCAATTATCCATGTTCGTTTGTTTCCTTTTGTGCAGCATGAGATTTGAAGAAATGGAGGTGTTCAGAGTGAAAGGAGTTTCAGTATTCCAAGATGTCCATTTGATGACGTTGGTCGGCATGGGATTTATAATGGTTTTCTTACGGCGATACGGTTTGGCTGCTCTCTCAATTAACCTCCTGTTGACCTCTCATGTTATTCAATGGGCACTTATTGTGCGCGGTTTCTTCTCTTCTGAGTTCGCCAATGTTGGACGTTTCGCGATCTCTATCCTTGAGTGAGTACATAATTTAGTTCTATTTGTCAAATTAATTGGCCAGGCTTCCTCCAATGTTAGCTGTTAGCAAATGGAAATGAAAAAATGAATGAACTTTTGCCTCCTCTCTGAAACAGAAAATTAAATTTAGCTTAATTACTGCCGATTTCGTCGCTATTACCGTCCTCATCACGATGGGTGCTGTTTTGGGGAAACTTACTCCGGTGCAATACATGGTGATGTCCGCTATCGAAGTACCGGTGGCAGTTGCTGTCGAGCATTTGATCTTACGTTATCTTAAGGTTTCATTTCATCAAATTAGATGAACAGCTGGTTTAAATCTTACTTTTGTGATCTCGAAAGATGGCAGATGACAGAGGCCGTTATGTTTAAAGTAAAAATCGATGAATAGGTGATCGACATTGGCCGATCTATGGTGATCCATTGCTTTGGGGCATATTTCGGCTTAGCTGTGGCAAAAGTGATCAACAAGAAGGAGATGATTACGCATCAGCATGAGGGTTCCAGCTATAATTCCAGCATCTTTGCTATGATTGGTTTGTTTTTGTGTTGATAATTTTGTGTCTGGGAGAGCAGAACGAGACGGAACAAGCTGAAACTGTCATTGCTTTTCAGGTACCTTATTTCTATGGGCATTTTTCCCGTCATTCAACTCCGCTCTGGCAATTCCCGAAGATTCTCGACATCGCGCTATCCTGAACACCTATTTAGCGCTTTGTTCCTCCACCGTTTGCACTTTTCTTATCAGTCAGCTTCTTGATCACGAGCATAAGGTTCTCTAGTCGAACTTGTTATTTTTTCTCTCTTGCAGTTAGATCTTCCTTACATACTTTTACATTTTCACTACAAAATTTTGTAGCACCGTTTCTCGATGACACATGTATCAAACTCGGTTCTTGCTGGTGGTATTGCTATTGGTACTGTTGCAAACATCATCTTGGAGCCTTTTTATGCTCTTCTGATCGGCTGTTTGGGCGCTTTGCTCTCGGTTCTTGGAAACAACTACATCAGGGTTTGTTTCTTATCAAACTACGCGGTTTGCTTCTCTCGATTCAACTGCAATCAGGTTATTTCGTATATGCAAATGTCATGGGAAAATAATTTCATTTCATTCTATATCTGAGTCATTTTAGCCATTTGGAGTTCGAGTCTTCGGAATTCATGACACACGTGGTGTTGGATCGATTCACGGATTGCCTGGTAGCAACAGTTGACTTAATCTGAATTTTTAAATTTTCTTTTCAAAATACTATTTTAAATTCACATTTACATGTAGTAATTCAAAGTGATTGATATAATGAAGCGTTTTGAAGGGAGCGTCTATTTCAGGTATTTTGGCAGGCGTTCTTGGCTTCATCTTTACGACTGTGTATGAGCCAACTCGTTACGGAACCGGGTTCAATCTTCTCTTGCTCCTTTCACTTACACACTGCTAATTATAGACAAATTATCAATCGTCAATTCATGTTTGCTCTTTGATGTGAGTATTAGAGAGATAGCGATTTGCATAATTGCAGGAACGGAACTCACATTTTTGCCGCAATGAACAAGGACGACGAAGGTCGTGAGATATTTGTGCAGGCTGGTTATCAGCTTGCGGCTCTCGCCATCATCTTACTGGTTTCGATCATTGGCGGAATTGTCACCGGTAGGCTCTTTTATACTCCAAACCCTCATCACAGGAATTATGGCACCTTTTTCAGGACTTATCCTGAGACTCAACTGCTTCAACCGCATTCATGACAAGGAATATTATTCGGATGGAGAATTCATCGAACCACCCGAGGACTACGATTTCACCACCAGAGTAAAGCTTCTTATCTGCTTCTCATACGTGATCTCGATCACTCATTACCTCCAAAAATATACTGTATTTGATTGAGATCAGTAAATAATAGTTCATGATGTTAATCCTTAATACTTTTTGTAAAAGGAATCCTTTGCAGATTATCTCAAAAATCGACCACATCGAATTAACCGAACATACGGCACTTAAGGAATCGTCTTCTTCTGTCAGACCAGCCAATCCCTGAGAAGAATTAATTAACAATTAATGTGATCTTTAATGCTTCATTACGACTTCTGCATTGTCCTGTTCATTTTAACAATCAAACAGTAATTTGCACAAAAAATGGTTTGATATTCAAATTTTAGCTTTAATTCCGAATATTCAACCTTCATGTTTAATTCTTTCAAGATCAAATTTTTTTTAAATTTCAAATTTAATTCAAAATTCTATACAGTCTCCGATTTCTTACAGTTGGCTGTACATTTCGTACTAAAAGTTTCTTATAACACTGAAATTTTATATATTTAATTCTTATTAAAAAGGTAATTAATTTTGCTCTAAATTCAATATTTTCAGCATAATTGACTTTCTCTTTATTACAGTTCAGTAAAAAATTACACCTGAGAATCTTTGGTCTTTTTAAAGAACTTTGAAATGGGTGAAAAATGATTGCTTAGCCTCTCAGATAGGTTGACAGTCCAACAGCCAATGGGGTTTCTGATTAACTTCCACGCATACCGAAAAGAAAGCTCCGTTATGGGGTCACGGGACAATTACGTGCAGTTTATCGAACTGTAATAAAAAATTTCATTTGCTAAATTTTATGAATAACTCCAAAAAAGTGATATATGCTTCCAAAGTACGCGCAAATGGCATTTACCTGAGCTGTAAAAGATTTTTTAGCTGTAAGATTGAAATCAAGTTCAATTATTTGCTATTTTCGTCGCACAAATCGAAATAATTCTGTGAAAAATTAATTATATCTTAATTATTGTTTTTTGTTGAAGGTATTTTTAGATTTATTGGTTCGGTCTGTGTTGACATGCTTATTTCATACCTCTTTTCTTCATATCTCATAATGTCCCATTGAAAGGTGTGTTGCTTAATGAACTGCCTAATTTACGGTTTTGGAGAAGCAATTAAAATAGGAAGGAATTAATTGCTGAGGGACTGTAATTGTCCGTCCACCTCTGCTTGTTCCTCAACTCACTGTTGATAGTAAACTCTGCAGAATAACGAGGGGGAGAGAGAGAGATATTACTCTCGGGAGGGTAATATCTCTCTCTCCCTCGTTATTTGGATTACATTAATATCATTTCTGGTGCTCACAGTAATATATTGTCAACCTACTATTCTTTAAATTGGTTTGAATCCTGATCAAGCTTAAGGCTTAATGGCTTCTGTTGTGTCGGTAAACAATCGCAATAAAGAGAGGAATCTAGAAAGCTAAGATTCTTTCTCCCTCGAAAAATATGACGTCTTACGGAGGGCGGCAACTGCATTCTATCAATTCAGTGGTTCTCAGGAAAATATGAATGACACTGTTATAAATATGAACTGCACATCAGCTCTGAGTGATTACTCATCTTTCTTGCACAAGTAAATGAAGACAAAGTATTGTTCTGTTCCACAGTGATGAAATGTGCACAGCTTGAATGTATGAAACATCCCAGAGAACGGTATGACAAGGTGGTACGTACAGGAGATCGGATCATTGAAGAAAAATAAATTTATTAGAAAGTGCTGACAAAAGAAACTGTGAAAGACTAACAATAATAAGATGCTAATCAATCTAGCATATTTAAAGGATTCTGATCACAAAACTTGTAAAAGGTGGAAGCGAACATCGGAGAGGAAGTTTAGTAAAGTAATTGCAGAGAATGAAGGATAAAGGAGTGAATAAGTATGAGAAGTTATTGTTGTTCTCGAAGAGGAGATAGGCTAAATATAGTATGCTAAAATGTAATACAGTCGTTTGTGGTGATAGAGCACATTTTCCGGAAGTGCGGGTAGTCGGGGAGAAATTGCAGTGCAGGTGATGCCGGAAGTTCGAAAAGTGTCTCATTTACATTTCCGGAAAGTGGATAGAAGAAAAGTGCACTTGAATACTGCAGTGTGAATGGATGTGCTCCAGTATTCTTCACTTTAGGGGGCGCTTCCATCGATGTCTCTGCTGGAAAGATTCAGCTTCCCGTTAGCCTTCAGGGATATCTGTTTGTAAAACAGTTATTATCTAATTTGTTTACATACTTGCTAATCTTGACAAAAAAGTGCTATAACATCTTAATTAACCAGCAAAAATGAAAGCAATTTCTTATTGATTTTGCAATTTTGAAATAATTTTAAAGCATCGGTTTTCAGAATTTGATGAGATGCTTTCCATTAATCTCAAATTCCCACAGAGATTACTTTAACAAGTTCGTATAACACTTTTATCCGTCAACAATTATCAATGATTTTTGTAAAATATAATGTTGACAGCCCTTATGAATTCTCATTTAAGGAAATGGAACGTTTCAAGATATTTCATCTCCGCTTAATGAAACTTATCATTTGTTTCGTTGTAAAAACGGACAGTGAACATTAAGGAATAATAAATTTGATTGAAATTTTCTATCATTCCTTCGGTGACTCTCGCTGAGCATTCATTCTTGTCTTTGAGTTCCGAATTCCGTGCCACAAATAATAGCAATTACATTTCTTTCAAACAAATATTTGCTTTGCAGAAGGATGTGAATAGTACTCGAGGTCACATGACGAATTTGCAATGCGAAACGTCTTTTAAAGATCAGGTTACTCTAAAACTGGACTATTTAGCAAGTTTTTCTACAGCTAGCCATACTAAAATTGATTCATTTATTTATCTGAGAGATTTAAATTTGATTTATTGTAAATGATGAATAAAAAGGAGACGGTTATTATTGGATTATTGGAGACTTGTAGCACTAGTTCTTCGAGAATTATTCTATTTGAGGGGAAAGGCGAAATATGAAAAGTTTTCAACAATAACCGATATGATCATATTTTGTTGAATGCACTCTTGAAGATAGTAGTAAGATATAAAAGAAGAGCTATTTTAAAGGCTTGTTGATATTCATTTCGTCACTTCTGGCTTAATAAGTAGATTAATAATGTGGAATGAATTTGCGCTAATAAATAAAATTGTTGTAGATTGCGTTAAGAAAGCTATCTGAGAGAGCCATCTGGCCAACGGGCTGGTGACAGAAGCAGAATTTTTTAGAAGTAACACTAAATAATTCATTATCGATGTGGATGAAAATGAACTTCGAAAATAGACTCTTTGCATCTTTTTCCATTCATTTAGCTAAATATTAGATTCTAACATTTGGTGCGTATTATTTTAGAAGTACCACTTTTACCGTCTTCTAAAAGGAATACCGAGATTTTTCCTCGACAACACCAGTGATGAAGAAAATTATTGCGCATTGTGTTCTCCCGATCACCCGACAGTGGCGGGCGAGTTGGTTCTCCTGGTTCACCAGGTTTAATGTGAGAACATGGAGCTTCTAGTCTGTTTTAGAATGTTTTCTCAGTTGTCTGGTAAACTTCATGTCCATATAAAAATTATAAAAATTTTCAGGGGCTACTGGAAAAACCGGATTGCCGAGTCGATCAGGAAAAATTGCACTACATCAAATTATTTACCAGGTTTACTTGGAAAAACAAGTCCGCGGGATGAGTTGGCATATCAGAGAAAAAAAACAAGATTTATCAAGGACACTACCAGGTGAGGTAAAGATTCGAGATCAACTTGATTAAGTGAGTGAAATTCCTGGTCGCGAACTAATTATTACAATTATTGCACATCTAAAAATCGAAAGAAAATACCAAAAACCAAGCTATATGCAACGGGCATGCCACTGTAGTTGGAAAGAAAAGGAATGTTAATAAACCGTACATTTTTGTCCTTCAACATCTTTAAAGTACCATCTGAACTGCACTTTCACATTATCATTATCGAATCCGAAAACGGGAGAATCAGGGAAATCAGAAAACATCCTCTCAAACTTATGAAACGAGGACAGATTTATAAATGACAAGAAAGCGCAGCAGATTATCTCCGAAAAGAGAGTCGAATGTCTATCGGAGTGGATAATATCAGATCAGTCCACTGACCGTTCCGTGTCCGAGAAAGTAACGCCGCATTGATATTCTCTCTGCTATTGTGACACGGTAAAAACATAGCACTTCTTACCGTATCATTGCAGAAGACTTTCATTAATTTGCATTGCTATCATTAGCAGCATTGTTTATCATCACTGTGTTAGAGAGGAAAAACAGAAGCAGTCTGACCATGGAAGATAACTGTTAACTGCTATGGATTGAAAATATTCAACATAGAAATAAACTGTTTTCATACGCAATGAAATGCTAAAGAATTCATTGCATATGAAGATTTTTATAAAGAAGGGTAAAAATTCGATTTACATTCACTGCTAGCGTTTATGGGAGGAAAGGAAGTATTGGGTCTTGCTGAAAAACTGACCGACTCTGATTAAAAATTCCAGAAAAGGAAAAACTGCGGCACAGAAACACACTAAGTGGAATTTTCGTCTGTTCGTCTTCATTAATTGGCTGACTTCTAATAAATAATTTTGAAGATAAAACGGTCAAAAAAGCATTTCGGCGTGAAGGGAGGAGTATCAGATGGAAACCTCTGAATCGGATATATTTAATCCGAGTATGGAGGCGGGCATTCGCTGTTATTATAAGTTTATTCATCGATCGATAACTATTGCAGTAACAGTCAGATAGAGCGAGTGGGACCGAGACATCTCATATGGCTGAGGCGGATGGTCATCATTACCTACGAAGGTTGGAGAAATTTACAAATGTCCCTTTCTTTTCCTGTCGACGCTTTCTCTTTTGAAACATAAAGCGGTGAATATTGTCACTGATATTTTAATTCGAGCAAATGATGAACTCCAAATTTCAACACTTAAAGTGGTACAATAACAGTTCGTTGGGACTCCGAAATGGAAAAGGCTTGCTTGGGAAGTGGCACAATGCTTTTTAATACATCCGTCACATACCAATAATACTTCAATATTAATGCTTAGCACCTTTATGTTTACTTTTCCTCGGTTTCTGCTTTATCATACTTTTCTTCTTCTTCTCACCTCCTTCCGGTTGTGATTCATCCGGCTGTTGCTGCTTAAAAAGGGAAAAAAGTCGTTTAATCAATGGCCATGGCCACCACCATGTCGGCGGATATGTTATCATCAGACAAAGTTACCATCTCTACTGCTTTGCTATCAGTATCACTGGATCGGCTGCTAATCTCTGGGTCACTTGTGGAAGTCACTTGGTTTCTGATTTAGCCAAAAGAGTTTTTTATAAGAAAATAAAAAGTAGTAAATATACAAAATGAAAGCAAAAAATTAGACTTAGTGTAATTAGTAATTATCAGTTAGAGTTTACTGAACACTTTGTAAATTTCGGGGAAATATTTCTTTCCCCTTTGTTATTTCACAACTGCTATTTCTGCGTTTCAACAGCCGCTGCTGAGAATTGAAGTCGCATTTCACGTTTGAGCTTCAAAATTGTAATTCATTTTAAACTAACCGCGGTGAAGTTAGGACGAGGTGTGCCGGTGATTCGTTGAAGATTTTTAGAAATTTCCGCCATGGACCATCGGTCGTTCGGATTGTCTGACCAACACTTTACTTCTATAACGCGACGCATTTGTGCCGGCACACATTCAGGTAATGGCATTCGGTAACCTTCTTTGACCTAAAATCCTCTTCTTAGAACCGCCTCAACCTCTGCTAAAAATGTTCAACATCCGTCCCAGTAACTGTTGTGTTGTTGTGCTAATTGCTATCATTACGAAATGAATGGAAGCCTACCCGAACATTGACCTCGGCAACGGTAAAACCGGGATAAGGCTCCTGACCGTTTGAGAAAATCTCCCAACACATAATGCCATAGCTGTACACATCGGTCTTCTGTGTGTACATAGCTGTACGCAGTGTTTCCGGTGCAAGCCACCTGATCGGAACCCGTTTTCTTGGATCCATTTGGTACACTGTGCCCTCACGTGTTAATCCAAAATCACTTATTTTTATCTGAAATTACTAGCTGCAACATATTATCTTAAATCTTGAGAATGATGGATTTCAACTTCTATTGGGTAAGCATTGTTTTCAAGAGCACCTTATTATCACCAAAGAGGCAATTTCGTGCAGCGATATCGCGATGCAAAACAGGTTTCGCATGGAGATATTCAAGTCCCCACGATGCGCCCAAACACATGTCCATCTTTTGCTCCACCGATACCTGATTTTTTTGCAAATACGAATCCAATGCTCCTTTATTTGCCTGAAACAACCAAATTGATTCACGTGTTCACACACCAAATTTGGAATTGCATAATTAGAACGGAACTTACTGAACATTCTAAAGATTTCTCACTTACCGAAGAGGGAGTTTAAATCTTTCTTAAATGCCATAGAAATACATCTATCCATTCTTACCAATTCCATAACGATCATTAGAGGTTCCTGGCCAGCAGCTACTCCATAACACTTGCATACATTAGGATGATCGAATGTTCTGTGCAGCCGGGCTTCTTTCATGATTTCCTTGATCTGTTCTTTGGTAAGTGCTTCTAACTTGGCCTAAGAAAGAGCAATGATCGGGAGAGGTAGTTACTACAAGGTAAAAATGCTTATCTTCCCCATTATTATTAAACAGACAGGGTATGAAATTATCATCATAGAAATAATTACGAAATGTTAAGAAGAAATACCAATTTAATAGCGACATCAACTTTGCGACCGTTTCGAAGTCGCAGACGTCCGAGATGCACTTCACCGAAAGCTCCTTCTCCTAATTTCTTGGTCGGTTCCACGTCCTCGTGATGTAGCTCCCAACTCTGACGCAGTATCGGCGTGGTCAGGAATACATCAGCATTCTTCACCAAACTCTCGTGTTTATTCAGATGAAAATTTATCATTTCAGGCACGCTATCAAACCCATACTTCTCGATTGTGTATTTACCGTTTGGAGTGCGTTGTATCACATAATGTTTAATCTAAATTTCAACTTTCTCTCTTAGTACATCCAATCTCGTAAGCGAAATCTGTTACTGAAAGCATACAGAATTGTTGGTTTCCATCGGGAAGGAACATTAATCAAACACGAGAACAGGTGATGCAGTCATCATCTGTCACTGTCTGATCATTTTTACCTCAAATCCTCACGAAGCAAAAACCTTTTGAACATGTAAAGTGAAATTGTCCGTGAAAATGTAACAGTGAGCTTTAAAGGTATCTTAAGAGCAGGGCTGAAGAAATGCGACAAAATTCAAATCATTTCAGCAATGAAAACAAACCGTAAGATGATTCATCCCCCCCTTTTAGAAAGCTTTTGTCATTGATTTTCTAATCCTTTGTTTGAAAAAGTCACGACGGACAATGATATGATAGAAGCTGATAAATGATAAAAGAGGATCAGAGCCATACCCCGAGCTCCTCTTTTTCTTCCGATACCATAACTGATATGACAAAAGCACGTGGCTGTCCCGCGACAGGTTCCGTTGTCCGAACGATGAATTCTCCGTTGTTACGTAACATCATTTTGATGTCTTCACGTGGTAATAGCCCATGATAGTACTGCTCGTCTGCTAACGTCTTATCAACCATAATATCCTTCAATTAAAGTCTTATTCTCACTCTTCACGTTTTGCCGTCTTTCTTTTTGTTGCGAGGTAATCTCACGGAGATTACCTGAAATTACCAACCTTACACACCACCAACCAATTTCAACTATTACAAAGATGAAGAATGGAGTTTTTGTCTTTATCGACTCATTTATATGCTTTTAATTATCTGCTAACGACAGAGTATTCATATTTCACTTCACATTTTCCCAGTTTTCTTCAAAGTTTGCATAAATTAGTGGTGCGTGCTTCTACTGCATGCTGTTCCTTGCACTTCTAATGCACGTCATTATTAAAATTTGCGTCGAGTGACCGCTGCTTTCCATCATCATTACGGTCACTAATAAGGTCGGATTGGTACAAATGACGAGCAGCAAAGGTCTGCGAACAAGTCCTTCGAATAATATTTGCCGATAAACGCAAGCGCAAAGTTCTTGTAGCATTGGCTACTTTGACCGAGTTATCCGTGTCCCAACGAAAGCAATTTTATCACATTATAGAAATTTTCTCCCAAAATATTTAATTCAAGCATTTCATATATTGAATTATGCGAGATGAATAAATTACTGAATTATTTAGTTAATCGAACTCTTAGAAGTAATGCTATCAGACCAATAACCCGAAAGCCGATTAACATTACAATTAGGACAATTAAATTGTTTAGAATAACGGTCTGTGAAGTGTCCATTCCCCGACGTTCCAATATGCCGTTCCCCGAATATGCTGGACAGTAATTGATTACACTGGTTGCACCTTCTTCACATCCTGGAAAGCAAACATTGTTATTGATAGTGGTGATAAGAAGGACTTCGATTTGCTGCTTGATAATGACTCATTTTTAATGATTGAATGAAATATTTTTTTAAATATAAACTGTTCTAGTTATTAACTTTATTGGAGAAGTTAGAGATCACAAGAAACTGTCTTGAGATCAAGATGAGGAAAAGTGTCCAACGATTAGCGATCTTTATTTAGAAAGAGGGATGAGTTCGAATAATTCAGATCTTTTACATTTTGGTCAGCGTTTTAAATTAGCCTGCGAGGAAAGAAAATGTGACTTTAAGATGCAAATAGACATTTCCGGAAATGAGATAATTGTTGAGATGTAAGGAGGAAGGAATGCTTCACTTCGAAGTCGATTACCGGGTATCGTTCTATAATTGAGCCACTGATTGACTTGCAATGCTTCAAAACCGAATCGAAACCAGGATATGTATGATATGAACTGATAATAGATAGGAATGGAGTGGAAATTGACATAAAAGCCACCGAATACCAAATTTGGCAAGATAAAGCAAGGCATGTAGGTGAGGGCCAAGCTGTCTTCTCCAAAAATACAGGCACCGGCGTATGCTGAAAAGTTGATTCGTCTTAGAATTCGGGACTTTGGCTAGCTATAGCAATGAATAAAAGAATTTCAATTCGAAGTTTTGAACTCCAGAACTTGAAATATTTAAAGACCAATTTGATTACTGGGATTCCGACAGAAATGTTCTAAGCGTAGATAATGAATTGCACTGAATGATACACCTAACTTTAAAATATCATGAATGTTTTCTAAAACTTATGCTTCCATTTAAAGACGTTTAAATTCTCTTGTGAGTCCAAAATCCAAAAAACAAGTTTAAAACTTTGAACTTTGAAAGGAAAAGCGTTGACAGAAAAGTCAACAAGCAACTTCCCAATTGAAACTGCCAAATTTGTCAACACAACAGTTATTGTGCAATAAGTGACAAACGCTTTTACTGCCAAATGAAGTCCTGTAAATTAAAATGAATTGGAATTTAGTTTGAGATGAAAGTCAGAATAACATTTAGTCACTTTCACTACTGCTGGATATTTACAATATAACCTTTTCAAACTGTTCATCTCTTCCTCGTGCGTTAATAATAGAGAAAGCAATTTTTTCAACTCACAGGAAATTCTCACTTACCGCTCATGAAATACACAATAATTGCATAGCAAAGTGGAAGTATGGTATATTCCGGAAGCTGAAACTATTAGAAATTATGAAAGTTATCTCTCTAAGCTTCAATCAATCTATTTTTCAAAGCTAGTGTTTTTTCTGGGAAATCATTGAAATTCCAGAAAATACAACTTCAGCAACTGATTTCGCCAGGTAATAAGCTTGAGCGCTATAAATTCTTGAACAGCAATGTTCACGTAAAAATATCGGTAACTCCGACGTGATTACCTACAACATAAATTAGAGGCATTATTTGAGGAGTGTATCAGAGAAAATTAACGTATTATTTTCACCAACGGCAATAAATGTATGGAGGAACATGGATTGATAGGATAGGTAATTCAGGAAGTCTCTAAGTAGTATTGAAATATTGAACAAATGTTGAGGGAATAAATTTGGTAACGTAAAAAACTAACGCTGATTGATGGAAAGAGGAAAATGAAGTTCATGTCGCGTACGGTATTGTACAATATACCTTCCAAATTCATTATAGTTGGACCAGTTATCTGTGTTTGAAAATTTACCATCCCTATGACCAATGCAGTGACCTGAAATTTTTCAAGATTTAAAAGAATGTCAAATTGCTTGCAAGGAATGGACAAAGTGTTGAATCTCTCTCTCGTTCCCTTTACACATTTTCCAAGCCTGCGCTTCAAACTCAATTAACGGTGTCCACTTTCAGTTTACTTTTTTGGGTATAACGCAATTAACAAAGTATAACGCACAATGACTTGAATGAATTTCACTTTCAGCAATAAAGGATCCCGCATTATTGTCAGGAATGATCGTCGCACGAGAATTAGGAATTGGGATAAAAATGAGACTGCGTACCTTAAAATTCGTATTTAATCCGAAGAAGTTTATATTTTAACAAACATGTATATTTAATGCGAATAAATCAAAAAATCAATTCGGAAATCACTTTAGAAATAATTTTTGATGCAATGCACTCAAATTAGTAATCAGAAAATGGATTCATAAATGGCGCAGTTGTCCATTTCATTCCTTCATGGCAAACTCGGTCTAAAGATATTTTAAGATATCAATTGCCGCCTTCCTTCTTCCGACCAAGGAATATTCTCACTAGTAAACTCACATTTTTCTCTTTTCTAAATCTTTATTTCCGATCATCTTCTTCTGTAATTCTTGGCCACGTGACTTTCTGTGAAGCATCATGCCAAAAGTCGATTTCTCAAATTCGATTCGAATTTTCTAAAGTTTGCTATGAAGATATTTCATGCGGATTGACTTAAGTATACTCTTCTTCAAAAATTTTGTTTGTAAGAAATCATGTATTTCCGATTAAGTGCAAATTATAGAACTTTAAGATCAAAGGTCGGTGCTCGTGATTTGTGATATCAGATAAAGAGTGTGCTGTTTAAATTAGGATATTGAAGAGCTTTTCCTACAACACTTAAATAATGCTTTCAATTTAGAGAGAAACAGAAATAGGCCGGAGAAAATTATTGTCGAAAAGGCTCTGTTTAAAGGAAGGGAAACTTAAAGTGAAGCATTGCTTTCAATCGAGATGAAAGCCTCATCATTGCAGTTTATGAGTTTGAACCTGAAATAACCGAAATTAGACAAATTTATTCAAGCAGGATTGCGACACTTACGTCTACTCTTGTTTGACATTCCTGTTCATTCTGCATGACGGATAAGGTTTTAATGATATGGTCGGCTGGATTATATGTTTCAGGACATGTGAAGCCAATGCTAAACTCTTGAATGATTTTTCATATCACCTGACATGTTACGTCAAAAAATCGGACATGAACCCATCTCATGTCGAACTTATTGATGGAAGAAGAATGCCGTTTTTATTGAAGTTATTGAGAGTGGGAAGAATTGAATGATAAAGTGATAAGATAATTGGTGACAGAGCGAACTTTTTGAAGAATTTGCAGACTTTTGTGACCGGACCGAAATACACAACCTTTCCCATTGCCATGAAGCATACGCTGAAACATCGAAAGCGTAATCCTTCTACTTCTAAGGTTGGCCATGCTAAAACTGCCTTTATATCGGTTGCCCTAAATGCTTAACGACCTTAACGATTTAGTTTGTCAATCAGATGGAATATTCTTACGAGTTGTAAATGAATCAACCATTTTGCAACTCTTAAAACGAACTCGGTCAGTTAAATGGCTAAATTAGTGAGAAAGTTGTTCAGATACTTCACCTGTTATTCAAACACTGTCCACAACGGTAGCTATTGATAATGTCTATAACTTTCATGCACACACTCTAGAGAATTCAGAGAATTCTTTGTCAGAAAATCAAGAGATTTAGTTCTCGTCACTAACTTGTCAAACATGTTGAATACTTGGCTGGATGGTTGATGGATTGTTGTAATTATTGTTTTTCCTTTTTTGGCCATATCTTTCAGACAATTCACAACTTGTACGGCCATAAAAGAGTCTAAGCCAGATGTTGGCTCATCGCAAAATAAAATAAGCGGATCGGTAAGAATCTGAAATACTCTTTGGCCTAGCCAATATACAGCTGGCCTTTCGATACCAACACATATAAGACAAAATTTGAACGAGAATACGTCATTGCTTCCTGCTGTTCTCGTCCCTGCCCAAATTTATCATCACTGGTAATTGGGGATTCTGTATAAGGTTTCTCAGAGAACAATTCATTTAAATGTTAATGGCTTGCTTCCTTTCATTATCTGCGCGTGGCATGCATGCATGTTCCTAACTGCTGGTAAGTTAGAGCAAGCTAAGTACTAGGATGAACGGTACTTACTTCACAGGCAAATGCAAGACGTTTACTTTCACCACAGGAGATGCCTTTAAGTCGATTTGTAACCCCAATCAACGTTGTTTCGCACTTTTTAAGGCCAAGCTGAAGGAAAAGTTACTTTGAAAATCTTAGAAAAATGAAAGATATGTCGGAAGTAAATAGGTTAGTTAGTCAACGAATTGCTTAACAAGAGGAGAGATATAAACAGCTAATTAAACAATTCCACAAGCTTTCACCGCAGTAAAAAATCTGAATTTCTTTTTTCTCGCAGTTTATTCTCATATGCACAACCGTTTCTCTGGCAATTCAGTAAAGCAATTAACTGACCTCTTTGAGTACTTCTTCTACTCGCTTCAATCGGTCAGCTTTCGTTGTAGTGTGACCCATTTGAAGTTCAGCCTGAAATGATCTAAGAGTATTGTGGGATGGATGAAACTTCTATCTTCGCTCAGTGGCACGAAGTTACACATTAATCTCGGCTGGAATTACTCTCCAATAATGACAAAACGATAGGTAATGTCATTTGCGTCTTCCAAAATTCATTTCATTTCATTGGATGAAAAGAAGCTGCACCGAATAGATGAGCTGCTCTCGCACAGTCAAAGTACCGATGAATACATCGTCCTGATGCACATACCGCGATATGCGGTGCATGTCCGTTGACGAGAGCTCTTCACCGTTGACCAATATTTTGCCTAAATTTTCAGTTTAAAATTTCATTTTTATAAAATTTTCTAGCGGCTTCCTAAAAGTGAAGAAGCACAGAAAGCAAAAATAAACCAAAAAGTATAATAAGGAACTTATTATACGTTTTGGTTTATTTTTTACTACTACTACTTATTATACTTTTTGGTTTACTTTTTACTACTACTACTTTACTATTTTACTTTGAATAATATTAACAATAATATTCCAAAACTGCTGAGATTGAAAGCTTTTTACTCCAAATTGAAAATCACTCCTTTCTGAATTTAAAATTAGATTTATTGGACAGCTTTCAGAGCTTCTTAATTTGAGAAAGCGGCGCAAGTTGAATTTTATTGACGATTAATTTTTTTAGCGAGTCATCTCAATACTTTAACTATCATTTTATTTATCCCAGAAAAAATAAGAAATGACATTTTTCAATTTACATTATTACCTTTCACGTCGACATTGCTTGATACATTCATTGTGAGTGCATTCAGAAGAACAGTTTTGCCCGTCCCGCTGTAATCATGATTAGTGATATTCATTATCACCGCATTATCATTATCACTATTAACATCAACTCCACTTAACTCTTCTAAATCTTTTTTAGTATTTAATTTATTCGAAGCTTGTGGGTTTCCGAAATAGAGAAAAATCATGCCTGCTTCCCATAATTGCAAGTGTTGTACCGGGCATTGCATAACCGGAAACTATAAAAAGAACAGATAAGTGTCCGGAATATTCTTTCTACAGATGTCGCATCAAAATTATCAAGAACGCTGCGAATTTCTGGCTCTAAAAGGTTGCTAACTGACCTTTATTAAGTATAGTTTTTGTCTTTCTTGATTCTCGGACGATTTTGAGACATTTCAACAATGATTTTTTGGCAAGTGGTACTTTTACTGTGACGTCTATCCAAGTAACACTTTTACCTTCATTATCTAAAAAGCATCTGATGAAAACGTCTCACAATACACAATGTCAAGACGATAATAACTGAAATTGGCCAGATTAAATGAAGTTATCCGAGTTTAGCATATCGGTCAGTGGTGGAATGATAAGTGATAAGACTTACTCCACTTGTCAGACCCCAATGTAATTGGCACTGATACATCCTTCATCAAATGTTCGCTATCCTTCTGTGAATGGATCTGCACGTTTACATACAACTCTCATATTAAAACGAAAAAATATCAATGAGTGAGTTTTTCATGCACAGATTTGAAATTGATTGATTGCATTAAATTCGGTAAAGTTTAGGAAAAGATGAAGAGTGGAACAGATTGAACGAACTTCGTCAGCCTCTCCATGCTCACTTCTTCCTTCTGTCTTTTTGGCCAAGTCAGCAGAATCGGTCATCTGTGATTTGAGCTTCTGTAAAGCTGTATATTCAAAAAATGATAATTAAAAGATTAGCAGAATTAAAAAAAACTGTTGTGAACAATAAAAAAATTGTAGATATTTCAATTCAATGGTGTAAGAAGAACAGCGGCGTGTAGAGGGAACTTGCCTCTTCCACTTCATTTTAAACACAAATTTATCATCGAAAACCCTTTTGATTGAAAATTCCAACTCGAAAAATGGTTCTAGAATTCGCGGAAAACTTTGAATTGATGAAAATAAGGCAAACATAACTTGTCTCTTCTTTGAGTCACCGCTTTACACCACTTTGTCTGCTAACTAAACAAATAATGAACTGAAACAAGCTTAGTTTTCTTTTCTATATGCAACTCACCTCTCGTAAAGAATTTGCATGTTGGCGTCCAATTCTAACACTTTTGGCAGTACCGTTACGATCGTCATATTTTGCTCGGCAGTTATTGGTGGGATCGGAAAATCGGAGTAAGGAGAAATTCATTTCTCTTACTTTTTGAGTCATAGGTAGAAAGACTGTTTAGATGACTCTTGGAAATCACTAATACTTCCGAAGAGTCTCATTCCTCATTTCTCTAATGTTCACTGATAGCAGAGATATGTAAATTTCACTTACGTATCGATGGTATCGGTAAAAAGGTAATAAATAGCTTGGAGTTAGTACTGAAAATCATTTACACATCCTTGGACCGCCCGCGGACGGTCGGGCTAAAACCGCGTTAATTGGAGCACAGTTATATTACAGTCTTTTTTTATGCGTACATTGTTTTGGGTGGCGCGAAAAGTGCTCGAAGAGATAAGATTGTCTTCAGTGCTCAATGTACGACTCATCTGTCTGTTTGAATTATCAATAAGAGTATTGTAATTCCAGTGAAATGAAACAGGAGCGCCGGGAGATTCCTGATCCCACCAAATCCAATTAACGGTCAATTTCTGAATTGCTACCTCTCACTTTCTAGTTGTTACCTTTATTGCATATTAAATATCAAGTTCTTATTAAAATATATTCATATTAACCTGTGAACACTGGAAATTTTCACGAAACCTGGATTGAACACGTCAATATTACCAGTGAACACATTTGCTTCACAGAAAGCAATCAGATTTGCTAAATCAAATCTTGAGGCACTTATAGGGGCAGAAATGGCGGAGAGTGAGAAGGACAAGGAATTAAGTTTTTTTCTATTTTCCTTTCAAATTAATTAGCGCGCTTCAACAGCGGGCTGCTGTGGAAAATGCTAACTTTTGCTTAAATTAGATTTGTTTCATATGAAAGAGCGTATATGAGCGGAGCGCAAAGCAGCTCTTTGGATCAGTTCCTAGCGGAAGTGTCAAGGAGAAAGAGAATCAGTAAAAGTTGCGGTGCTCATCCGGAAGCACCAGCAGTCACACTGCCAACCGAATCATCCTCAACAACTGCGGTTCTCTCAACAACACCCGCATCAACTCACTCCGCTGATTGCCACTCCCTCCCCGTGGTACCATCACCCTCATCACTCTCGACCTCTTCACTCGTTGCATCAACAGCGAAATCCACAGCGCAACAACACCTCAATGGTACTGCAACAACAGCTGCTGGGAAAAAGACCATTGCAGAACTGCGCAAATTGCAACTGCAAGCTCAAAGCAACGCCACCGTCATTCTCAATAGAAATACTGCGGTACCATATCGTTTCACCCTTCAAATTTCGTTTCGTTTCCGGAAGTCAAGCCCTATAAAACTACAAGTTTCTTTATTTTTCGTAAGAAATTCATTATTGTAGTCCCAAACTTGAAAAGATTGAAGTCACGTCTTCATTAACTCTCAATTGGCAGAGTATTCATACGATCTGGAAATCTGAAAGTGAATTGAAAAATATTGGAATTAAAATTAAATAGCATCTGCGATTTGGTTGCAGATTACAATAAACCGCAAAGAATTCGCGCAAATTTCTCCATATTTTCGAGCTGCATTTTATGGTGGTTTCTCGGAAACAAAGTCTAAATTACTGAGTTTTGATAGGACTAAGGTTTCTCGAACTTTACATCATTTATGCAGTTTCAATGGAAAGAGCTCATCATTCACAAAAATTTATAATTTTAAGAGAATTTTTCTGACTCTGTCGTATGCACCTCAATATCAATTTCATTTTAAAAACGTAAAAGTTTTCTCTTGACTGAAGTACGCACTAATGACAATCGAGTAGGCCTTGCAGAGTGAAGAGTTCTTGCATTGTTGTGCCGTTCTCAGCCAACTTATGAGTGAAAATAAGTGGGAAGTGCCGGATCTACAGTGGATGAGTCTTCAAAAAGCATTTGAGGTATAATTTGAGGCGCGTATGTTGACATGAAGGCAAACGTCGGTTTACGTAACTAACATAAGAAGGCACATATTCATTGGCATATTTCCATCTTTTTTTAGAAGCTTTTACAATCAATCCAGAAGAATGACAATAAGAATGTCATCTTCATTATATTTAACAGGAATGCAAATGTAAGAATCTGTTAAATTACGTGATCAATTATGATTCCATCACACCTTTAATTTCTAGTTTTTAACAGATATTAGACATTGCTTCCTATTTGTTGATTGATCCATTGCTGGCGCTTATATCTGACGTGATTGTCGCCAAAGTAAATGCTAATTCATTAGTTCTGGCATACCATAAAGCAGGTACTTCACACTAATGAATTTCATTAATTTTAAAATAAATTTTGATTTGCAACAGATGCTTTAAAAGCAATAGAAAATTGAAACAAGCTGAATTTTATCCCGCATAAATCTCGTCAAAAGTGGAATGAACAGAAGAAGGGAAATAGGTATTTCATGCTGTGAAAGATACGAACAGTGCCTTTCAGAAAATCGCCACGTGCCGTTAGCTCAAAAATTGTGGAAAATAATTGTTCGTCAATTTGATCGATTGCTAGCAAACAACACTTTTCTTGCGTCAGTTTCAGGATTGAATTTGTCCTTTTCAAATTGATTATTGCCTAAATTAAAAAACAGTAATTCCTGACAAATTGATATATAAATTTCTTTTTTGTTACATCGAATATTATTTCACCTGTGAGTGCTCGTAAAACGATCTCACTCATTAGTTCATGATATCTGCCATTGAAAATAAATTACAACCAGTCTTTTTTCTTAGTTAGGTTAATTAGTTAAATTTCTAAAAACGTAGCACTAGTTACTTGCGATATTCAAAACTGTACTTGTGGCTAGGATAATTAAACTTTGAAATTTATTTCTCAATCTTCCAAGGAATCACTCACGAAGAGTTCAATTCCAGGCTTTCTGAAACAGAAATCCTAAAGTTATTATACGACAGATATTTAAATATCGACAAAAATGAAGAAACAGCAATGGTTCGAAAATGGATTACGGTTGGTTTATCAAAAGCACAGAGAGAGCTTTTTGCAGTAAATCTTAAAAAATGGAAAATTTTAGTCAGTTTACACAGAGTGAAATGATTTGAGGTCAATGATTATGATGGCGGAGGTGCAGTGCGCTTGCGTGAGGAGCTCCGTGGACGAAATGATACTGTTGGCTTCAGTGAAAATGAGCCACGTTTGCCAAATTCAGTCTTACTTGCAAGTGGTAATAACTTCATAACATATGATTTTTCCTTTCATAGTTCAGAAATTCAGAAAATTTTCGTAAATCTTAAAGACAGTTCGAAACGTCATAAAGTTGATTTTACTAGGAGGTTGGTCAAATGTAGGCCCAACGATGTTAGTGGAAGCGCTCGATTCCCGAGCCCAAAGATGGGTGCGTTCGGAGCTCAAACTTTTTGAACTACCACGTGCTTACCATGCTGTCATCAATACTGGTGAACATTTGTTTACCATTGGCGGTTTTAATGGTGCTGAGTATTATCGGTCAACGAGAAGATTTGGTTTAAGTAATCAGGTAGATTCTGCAAATTCATTTTTCCCGGATCAGAAATTAATCAAAAATTAATGAAACAAATTAATTGTTGCTCACGATGAATACCTTATGGATTGGTTTTCGTTCAGAATGCTCAAGCTCTATATTGTATTTAAAAATTTTTATTTAAAAGGGAGAAATCCGAGGAACTAAAAATCTCAAAACTGGTTAATTTGCAGGAATGTATAGAGGCTGCACCAATGTATGACCAGCGGTGCTATGTTGGATGTGGTTTGCTGGATCCGGAACGAATTATAGCAATCGGTGGCTATAATAACCACGATCGTTTGAAATCTGCTGAGATTTTGTATGTACCGAAGAATCAGTGGCATCGAATTGCTGAAATGAACGTTAGAAGGTGGTTACTTTAAATTGAAAAAATTGAAGATTAATTATTGAAATGTGAAGTGAATTGTGCTAAACACTGAATCTTCAAATTAATTCTGAATTTTTCCTCAATTAATCGCCTCTCTCTGTCTCTTTTCTTGACACTCTGCAGAAAATATTACAGAAGTGACGGTCATTGTGTGATAATGAAAAATGTAGCATACGCGATCGGTGGTTTCGACGGAATGAACTGTCATTCGAGCGTTGAATACTACGAACCGGAACGTGATCGATGGTTTACAATGAGTAACAATATGACGAGTCGAGTTAGTTGCCCTTCTAACTGAATCTCCGTCAACCGAATATTCTGCACGGATCATACGAGTCGTTTCAGCGCTCAGGTGTTGGTGCAGCTACCTTGGAAGGAGTTATGTTCATATGTGGAGGTTTTGATGGTACCAGTCGTTTACAAACTTGCGAATTCATTGACGTGAGGGAAGGAAAATGGCATCGCTTGCGATCGATGAATCGACCACGGTTTTAAATTTAATTCGCACACTTGATTTCAAGTTCATGAAATGGAAATTATAGAGTTATCATGTTGATGCAGGATCGAAACTGTTGGGAAGATTAGAATTCCATTTTATTTCAGTTCGAATTTTGGTATAGAAGTATTAAATAACCAAGTAGTGGTTGCCGGAGGCTATGGTGGTATGGTTGGCACGATAGGTGAAACGGAAGCATATGATTTTCGTTCCAACAACTGGATCGAGTTACCGACGATGAACTTGCGACGTTCAGCGCTCTATCTTACTCGAGTGGACAATCATGACATCATTGAGGCGTTTGTTCGTCCCAAATATGCTGCTGCATGAATTATAAAATGAGTGGAGACAAATTTCTGTTATGCTCATTACAATCGCTCCATCAATCCTAATTAGGCACCGAAAAATTCACGCCAAATTTATTTCAACTTTCATTCAATTTCTGCATTCACTCTGCAACGTTACGAGCAATGGATTGTTAAGTATTTCCAAACCCACCATTCCAAAACAAATTAATGATATGTGAAGATAGCATGCAACTTCTACCCAACAAAATATTCAATCAATAAACAATCTTCACTGTCAAACTTCCTCATATTTTATGTTAATTATGAACCTCCACTTTACAATTATCAATTCTGAAAGTATGAAGTTTGAAGAGATCCAGTTAACTATTAGCAGAAGCGAAAAATTGGCATAAGAATGAGAATTAGTTGCGTTGCTGAACTGCTTGATGCTTGCAACTGCATCGTAATGCTATTCTGAATATTGTTGAGACGTTAATGTACTGCGGTAAGTTAAATGTGAACACTTTTTGCTTCGAGCTTCCACGTGCTGCACAATTTTCGCATGGAAATTCCAGTAATATATAAGCGAACAAGTGATGCGATTTCGTTTTTTCGTAGCGTGCATGTTCTTCTGGTCGGTTGTTTCTTTGTGCATGCTCCTGTGGTGTGCATCTGTCAGTCCAACACCCACAGGTGCAAGCAGTCGTGATGATGTTAGTGCTGTCACTCTCGTGAGCTTCAGCTTTCCTTTGAGGACAGTTCCTCACACTTCCTCACACACACATTCTACAGTGAGTACCTTTCCGTCTCAGAATGAACCGACCACATTTTGTACATTTATCACTTACAACAATAATACACCGTCATCATTGGATATCAACGACAATGAAGTGGAAGAGTGTATCCGGGAAATACGAAAGGCAGATTGGAAAGAGGTACATATAGTATCCGATGATACGAACAGTGGCATGAAGCAATTCTTTTATATTTTCGAAGAACCGTTCGGTCAGTTTTCCATTGGAAGCATAAATGCTAAATGTAACAATGCTTCAACAATTTTATTCATTCATATACAAGCTGTTAATACGATCCAAGTAAGGATTTTGAGTTAAGTTAATAAAGTGTCGCTAAGTAGGAAGGATTATACACCACTGTCGCGTAACCACGTCCTCTGCGCTAATTTTCAATTCTAGGACTTTAAATACAATAGCTGACCCTTCTGTCCATTTCATTCATAAAGCAATTTATGGCTTTTCAAACATAAAAGTAGGTTGCAGGCCCAAAGAATACCACCTGCTTCAGCAAGAATACAACAGGTGAAATATACAATATAACGATAGCGTGTGTGAATTTCACTGAACCATCAGGTCTGCCCTTAGCAGATATTTGGAAGTCTTGAAGATGTTGCTAACACCTGTTTGTTGAGCCGAGAGCTATGACAAAGCGCTGACACTTTCCGCTGTCATCATTCACTGCAAACACCTTTTTTTCAGCCGCCTTCAATGACACGACAGAATATCATGTAAGTTAATTCGGTAATGTCATTGACATTGTCAGCCTAACCCTTATTAATTAAGAAGACAGATAGAATCATGGAGTGCCTGGGGAAATGATGAAGGTCAACCAGGCTAGATACAGTCCGTGTTGTACTTTAAAATATTTGATCAGTTCAACTAATTTCTCGAGCATGAGACAAAATCCTATTTCAGAACTGGAACATTAGTTCTACGGCCTCATATCCGAACTATACATCCACGATAATGGTTGTCGCTTTCTATACATCTGATGTGATACAGTCTCGTTTAATAAATGAAGTTGCTTCAGAAACCTTTGCCGGAAAAGTGGATTCGGATAGTCCGCGTTGGACTGGCTAGCTTTTCCGTATTTCTTGCCGCAGTCATCGTTTCCGCCATCTTATTCCTGCTTGTCGTTCTTCTCAAATGCATCCAGCGGTTGTTGCTAGTCAGACGAATGCCTCCGTCTCAATATTCAATTATCAAGCATATTGCTGCCGAGGAAGGAATTGTGAGGTTTTCATCAATTCAATGCAACTAAAGCTTCTGAAGCAAGAAAATTTATGTCGAGATGCATCCCCTCAAGATAAACTCCAATTTACAGGAAGATGTGACGCAAGAATCGAGCCGTCATAGTTCAGCCGTGCATTATCGACGAAAAATTTCCGCTTCACAATTACTGCATCTAAAAGATTTACGTCTGTTCGTCGGATGCTTATTTTAAAAGACGACCAGCACCATAAATTCTCCTCGCTTTTTATGTGGCCACTATTTATTTATAAATTTCGATCCTTCTCTCCTTCACATTCCTTCAGCTGCTGTTTTGATGGATCCTATTAGCGGGCGGGTGCTTAAGAAACATGCAAATTGCAGAATTGCGCAACTGACTGCAAACTAGTCATTATGCGAGTGTTGATAATTGTTTAAGAGAATTGTGTGAAGTTTGAGACCCGTACCCGTGATAAGAAAATATTTCCAATTAAAGCAGGAAATCCGAGGGCTTTTATCGACATTGGAAGGACAGTATGTGATTCTGATTAAGAGTGTATATTTGAGCAGAAATTTGTATAATTTCTGCATAGATATTGGTACAAATAACAAAAGTTTTGGTAACATTCTGTTCTATCAGGTTTAGGTGCATATCATTTCGAAAAGCTACGTGAAAATTGACCTCGCGCCTGGCGCAAATGGATATTATAAATGTTAGTTAAAGTAAGACGCGGTGGTGTACCCTTCCTTTTCGCTTAGGAAGAAACTTTAATCAACTGGCGGTGTTTGCTGCACAGGCGTACACCTGTAGTTTGCAGTACTTAAAGATGAGAAGAGACCGATGAGCGACCTGATGATCCGAATTAATATTTTTTTACAATGATTGAAACACAAACAAGATGAATTTCAATAATCTGCCCGGAACTATGTTGTTCAACAAGCGCCTGCCTCTATTCGCCGATAAATTTAAGAGAATTCTGTAAATTCTTTTCCAGTTTTTTGGCACTTTAATATTTGGTACTTTTAGAATTGATCAGTTTCTTGATCAGCGCAATCTTTGTTCCTCTGATCAGATGGTGCATTTAAAAACTCCAAGGGTCAACACTTCTGTAAACCAAATGAGTTCTCTTCCATGATGTCATGAAATTATTGGCTGAGAACGAACAAAATAGTGTTTGTACGAATAATATCATATTCAGCTACCGCACTCTCAAGCTACCGCATTTTTCAGCATTTCTCGAATCGGATGAATCATCTCCTCACCATTAAGGAAATCGGCGGTTCAACTAGAATTACATGCATTAATCAACATTTCATTTTGCAATTCGTGATCTTCACGCTGAAATATTGTACAGGAGAGAAGGATGTGAGACTGACCTCGAGGTGCCTTTCCGTCATCAGTCTTTTATGTTGCTGAGAGAAAGCTGAACATGAAAAACTCGTTGTTTTTATCGACCTCAAAAAACGAACATAGAACGAAACAGTTGTGAGAATCAGACTGAATAACGTAATGCCACGTGCCACTCACTAAATATTAAGTTTGCTGCGTATGTTCTGCAACTCCGTATTATCGGGCAACAACAAATAGAGGAAAAAAATTCAGAAAAATTGCAAACAGCAAAGAAGAACATGCGGAAAAATTATTACAACCATATAGAACATCAAAAAATTTAGCGAGTAAAAAATAGCTAACAACGAGAGGAAGAAAGTGGAAATGTGTCCGGAAAGCAATAAAGACGAAAGCCGGAATGAGAGAAAGTGTGATAAAGTGGAACACTTATGATGGAGAAGAAAGGAAGGATCAGACAAGTTGTGCTTATGCAAACATCGGAAAGTGACAAATAAAGCAATGAAATCCTGTCCAAAGCAATACATAGCATTTTCTGCCTATTACAATATGACAGAAATTTGCAATCGAAAAAGAAAGCCAGCATTAAAATTTAGAATTGGTAGCATATGTTCCGACAAGTTCTGCACCTCAGCAGGATAACAACGGGTTATTAACTTCTGGCTAGAAATTCTTGCTCGATTGGTAAAGGCTGCAATCCAGTACTACTTATAGACATTTTTACTTTAAATCATAGTGATCATATTAAGCTGTTATGACCAACACTTTTTTTTCCTTAACCGCGTGTGGCAATTGCAACATCTTCAACCGATCCTATCCTATGGCTTTTACGAATGTCGTCGAAGATATCACAAGTTCTAGTTTTTCTTGAATAACATGGCAATTGGTGATGAAAATGAGAGGAAGCAAGGCGGAAGAAACCTTTGCAAACTCACAAAATAAATTCAAGAAATTCCAGGGAAGGATCTTCCAAAACACAATAAAGGAGACGAGAATAAATAGATCCACGAAAAATATATAATAAGACTAGCTTACTCATATTCGTATTATTATTAAAAAGATTGAGGAATTTCAACTCCCGTAACGCAATTAAAAATTCATGAAAGTTAGCTACAATCAAATTTCAAAGAAAAATAACACGAAGTAATAGTTTACAAGTTTACAAAAACTTCACTAATTAAATGCCAGCAATTAAAAATCTCGAAGTTTTATATGGAAAGTAGAAATGCCTTTACTTCTACGCAAACTTACGCAGCAATTAATAATGTTGTGAACACCGCACGCTAAAGCAAGTTGTCGTATCGATATGACGACAGCAATCCACAGCTGAAGTTGCGGTTGATATCGCTTTGTTATTTGATAAGTGATTATGATGTGGTGGATGAGCCAGGAGCTGAAATGTGGAAATGCTTGGAGATGTTGTAAGAGTGCCGCTGCAGAGTGCCGTTTTTCTTATCAAAAGGTCAACCAGTTCAGTTTTACCCTCAGCACTACTCATCTCTTCAGTGGCTGCTACTCCACCCCACAAGACGAAAAGATAGCGAAAGGCTTACCTTAGTCTGATCACCAACACGAACCAACGGCTTATGGGAAGCTTTCCTCTCATCGGAATATTCACCGTAGTGACAATAGTCCCAGCACGATTCGCAATAGTACTGTAAGCAGGTCATGTCACCGCAGAAATACGGCGCATAGCGACCGGCGCATTTTGCACCTTCGCACTCGTCGCACATCTGCTCGTCAATTACGTAGGGCTTTATTTCGACCTACAATTCGTGAAATCACAATTGATAGGCTTTTATGGAAAAAGAAACTGTTGGTTTGAAGTATGCGATTGTTGAGAGGTCGTTTCTGCTTACGGCAAACGAACGAAAGCGCTTTTTGGTACTGGACCGGCTATTCAGTTAATGAATTGAGAGGTGAAGGGGACGTGACGTCGATGACAAGCAATAGAAATCACCCTTTTACTCATATCAGCGTGAGGAATGTGCACAAAGCGTCCACTTATAGCTGCAATGAATGACTGTTCAGTAGTGAATGTAACACGTGCTGCTCCCTTCGGGTACTTCAATTCCGGATCAATGTCAATCCCGACATAACAAACTGAGCCATAAAGATGATCCAGAACACGTGCCAATTCTCCTGCAATGAGCATTTCATAGGCAGAACAAACACTCTTGAAATCCTGTTCACGCTATCATTAAACGTACGAGCTTTCGTCGGTCGAGGCACGCCACCTATGAAAATAGTTCGTCGTGGATTCAACGGCATCTCCTCTCGAAGCATGAACTCCATATCATTCAGACGCCATGGTCGCACTTGTACCTTAGAATATGAATGTCTTCTTATCGGGTTGGAGAAAGTACGTGAAACTCAACTAGTAAAAACAGTAATCTACGACTAATGATGTTAGCGGAAAAAATTTCACCGGTTTGTCACGCATCGTTGGACTAGAAACAAACAAGTAGTATTTTTCATCCTCTTTGTGACATCTGTTCACTAATAGTTGCACTGAGCGCTCGTCTTCAAACACCAGGAACACGTAGCCCGTCATGTAGCGTGCTAGAAATGACGTGTAATTACATCTCAGTTACTGCTGATTAATGCATACAAGACATCAACAAACCTGTGGGTCGTTCCTTGACACCGTTATCAGGACGGCGTGGCCAATCAACAAGCACCGGACCAAACTGCGAAAATGTTGATGTTATTTCCTCTGGAAAAGACCAATTCGCAAGTAATTGCAATGACATAAGTCCTCGCTCATATCATCAATCTATGCTAGTGATTGCTGGTCCAGAATGACTGCTAGCAAAAGTCACTCAGCTCCAATCTACTGACACCATTTTCCAGTTATATTTCTTGCTCACGATCCTTTATTTTAAAATTTCCATTAGAATTTCCAATTAAGGGAAAATTTCTCTTCACCTTCCGTAACATCAATTGGAAGTCCACCGACAAAAACTTTGCGGGCGAAAATTTCAAATGATTCATCCATAATGAAATACGCTTCCGGAGTAGACGGAACACCAGGGTTACGTGGTGAATTTCGGTGATCATTCGTTTCCGCTTTTGCTGTAATAAAACTGATGAATCATTGGTCCCAAATTTCTTTTCTTGAGCTTTTCGAAAAAGTTTCATTTTTTTATCCAAAGATATAATTTAGCCCTTTAACCAAAATGCGACAAAACAGTGCAGTTATATGTCTTCGAAATAAAAATCTTAATTAGAAAAAATAAGAGCAAATTATTGTCTCCATCTCTCAAGACTTCAATGACAATCGAGAACAGCTCTCCCTGAACATTTGCGACATGCATTTTCATTTGAAATGTTCAAATCAATTACCGCTGTTACTGATTAACGGTGTAGAAGACCATGAAGAAAACGTTTTGCAAGGTTGATCACGTGGCGCAAGCACTGTGCAACCGTTTCCGCTACCATTTTCACTTTTATCGCCAACTTTTAATGCCGAAGCGCTAATGAAATTGAGATGTTGTTAAGATAGAAGGGAAAGAGAAGATTAGCATCTGAACTAAAAAGCACGTCCGTGCAGAAAGTTGAGTGAAGTAGTACGCTGATCCTTATCACTCTATCACTGTAAGACGATGTTGTCAGCGCTAACGATCAAGCACAAGTTTCTAAAAAGATTTCATAATTCCCGTTCAAAGCATTTGCACTGTGCACAATGTGAGATACCTGTAAAAGTGGTGTTGCAAAGAGCTGGCACAGGAGCTGGATGAATTGGTCACACTTCCATCCGAAAGCGATTTTGGTGAACGGACATCCGATAGTACACGTGGATTAGCAATGATTGGTGACACCTTAAAAACAGCATACTTGAGCGTTTTACAAAAACCATTTTTCAATAGTTTTAAAAATTAATTGAAATATTTTTGCAGTGAAAAACTGGCTGGTTCCACTCTCTTGGTAGAGGCCCTTAGAAGCCTTATCTGTCAGTGTCATGAAGGAGACAATGAGAAGGTTTGAGAATGCCTAGAACTATCTCATTCCTTCTGATAAAAGAACTCACTGGATAAGTCGGTTGTTGAAAGATTGGCAGTGATGGCCGATACATCCGATTATTCATCATTGTCATCCTTCTTCGTACATCTCCCTCTAATGCCATCATCCTTATCACTTCACTGTTTGTCTGTAATTTTATTACAATGTTCATTCCAATTTTCCTAAATTAAACAAAAAATAAGGTAAACAGGAAGATTGCTGCACACTCCTTACAACGTACTATGAATTCATTATTAGCAAGATAATAATGAATAAAGAAAATACCGAACTGATAATGGGCTTTAATTAGATAATAAATTTTCGGAATATTGCCAAGAGCGCTCGACTTCGGCAGGAAACCGTGAACAAAATTGCTCCCGTAAACTTCTAAAAGATGATATTGCGATAAAACGTATGCAAATTATGACCTATGGCGTCACCACAAGATAGCAAGCTATTTTAGACAGGATTTCTCTGAAACTAGCTAAAATAGGTTCTAACTCAGTTTTTTAGTCCCAAGAGCGACATTCCTAATGCTGTTATGGATATGGAAGACATAGGAATTTAGCCGGTAGTCAATAAACAATTTCAAATTTACTATAACTCAAGAAACATGCTAGCACAGTGTCCAATAAGAGGGTAAGCTCAAACGATTCAAAGTGAAATGAAGAAGAAGATGGAATAGTTATATCCAAGAATGACTAAATGCCAAAGAAATACTGAAATTAGCTGTTGAGAAATTATTATGATTCGGGAATGCTCGCAGGTTGGAGAGAGGTGAAAAGAAAGACATCATTTTTCTTCTAAGGTCAATAATAAAATGGAGCCTCCTACAGCTCCTAGTCGAGATTCACTAACAGTACTGGAAGTGAATTGCGAGCATCGCATTCACCTGAAAGAAATGTTTATGCAAATAAACACGGCGTGATTTTAATATGCTAATTCAAGTTAATTTACAATGGGAATTTAGAAAATTAAGTCAAAAAACACTTGAAGACAGAAATGAAGTAAGTGGCTGCTCATTCCAACTTTATTGCTGCTGTATGGATGACAACTTCTTTAGTAGACTGACTAAATAACAGTTTGTAAAATTTGCATAACTGGAATTTTAGCTCTCACACATCTTTCCAGTGAAACAGTAGCTTTGCTAAAAGGTAGAGTAAAGTAAGTGACTGCTTCTCTAACTTGCTGCTGTCTTCTTTAGTAGACTGACTGAATAACAGTTTGTAAAATTTGCATAAATGGAATTTTAGCTCTCACATATCTTCCCAGTCGGACAGCAGCTTTGCTAAACGAGCATGTACCAGACCGAAAACAGTATAACGTGTATTGCTATTCACCATTTCACTTGTAACATATGATACAAGTTTTAAATGAAAATTTGAATGAGAAGAAAACTGAAAGTGATCTTCCTGTTCAGTAAGTGTCTTCGGATGTGGAACTCGTTAATGATCTGTTTAGAGCCTTTATAACCCTTTACTCTGACCCCTCTCACACTTTCATCCTTCCTAGAGCTTCGTGGGTGGTCTGCGTGTATTGATGTGTGAATCGGAGCTGTCTCCTTCGTGAGTACTGATTTTGATAATGACTCGGGTGTTCAATGATCACAATAGATCTCCGTTTACAGCAATCTTTAGCTATCCCAATGTTGACAAAGCGGGCAAGGAGCATTCACATTTCATTGCTATGAAAATTGAATTTCACTCATAAATATTGAAGCAAATCACAATGAGAGTGAGTTAAGCAAATAAAAATGACCGCTGGTCGAAGGGAGACATACTATGCGACACTGCAAATATCACAGATTCAAACTGTCGTCGCGCCAATGAGCAGTTTTGATAGCAACGGATGAATGCTGAAATGATACAGCACCCATTTCACGTCTTCATCAATTTGATCATTATCCATATCTCAGCGATCTACCGAAAAGAGATATACCTGAGTGGTCCGCTTAAAAATCGCCTTGTTCCATGTTATCAGTCTCGAACATCTGGATATTTATATCTAACGAGTTTAACCATTTCGTTACATATTCCATCTTATCCGCTGAAATGTACCGATCCACTCTCATTGCAGTCAGTGATCGATGATAACGATACCCTTACCAAACAAATATTGCAAAATCTCGTAAACGCACGTGCACGTAGTCGAATCAAACTAAATGGTTCATCGTTGGTGATGTGATTATCTTTGGGATTACGGTGAGACACCACTCGAAATGGATTGATGCGGTTGTGACGCACTGGACATGCAGTTGGATTCAAACAACGCTTCGCATCGTCAATTTTAAAAATACATTTCTCACGTGTTCGGTAATTGCAGTCCACCAAATTCCGGAGTATGTTCAGAAAATGCTGACTGAAATTATTGCTTGTAATACGACGATTGAATATCATGTTGATAAAATAAAGGACTGAGCTGCAAGCACGACCTCATCTTACGCAGTGACGAATTTGCACGTCCTTGCATGCGAACTCATCTGCGCACTGAAAATGTTCATATCTGATCATCACAAACCATGCAGATTTCCCGACAACCATTGGACATTTGCTAGGTGCTGTGGTGTGCAAATCGCATGCATAGCGAAAATTTGATAAAATATTTTGTTCCCAACGTGAGTTCTCCTCGACATCCGTCTCCACGATACGTCCAATGACGGCAATCATATCCTCCACGCATATTAAGCGCTCTGTACGAATTGACGTCGTGTCTCCTGACGTTTCAAAGCGAACACACATTTTAACTTGTTATAGAGTAAAAGAAAATTGCTCCTTTCTCTTCACTCCTTTAACCTTTTGCTAATTTTGATTTTTTAAAACTCGAAATTTTACTTAGACGACTATTTCAGCGATGATAAGCTTACGTAATTTTCTTTTAATTACTTTTCAAGGCAATATCACGTTTTTGTTTAATCCAGGCTAGGCTTGCAGCCAAAGTTTGGTATTGAGATGCTGGCACCAATATCAGATTCGCCCAGCATTCCTTCATTTCATTTGCTATGCGAAGACATGCATGATGAACATTTAAATGATTCGGCGTTTGTGATAATTCAGAAAAACCATTTTCTAAAAACACCAACGGAAGACGTTTTTTTAATTTTTAAATATGCAAGAATGATCCTGAGAATTTTATCTGGAACATTTAAAGCAGAATTAGTTCGAATTACTTTTTAAAATTTTGATATTGTTTTCAAGCAATTCTAACAATGTATTGGAGCCATTAGAGAATTTTTAAATTTAAACCGAGAAAATGTACCTGAAATTCGAGAAAATTGGTAAAACTGATGATTGGTGGGATAATCATGACGTATTAAAATACGCTCACTGTTGACAATTCCCTCATTGAGACTCATCACGTAAGTGCAAATTTCAGCCGGTGGACAAATTAGCTCGTTATCGCTCTGGAAGATGCAATAAGGCCGAACTGTCAGCAGTCCGAATCTTTTCTGAGCCAGCACTTCCGTCTATAATGAACTTCTCATTCTACTCCATTTGTAATTAATCCTAAAGAATAAAATATGGATGAAAGTGTTTTTATTCACGGGCTCTTCTGCTAACTTTGCTTGCTTCAGCTATGATACCGTTTAGCACTGATTTGCAGTACCAAGCACGGCATACAACGGTGAGGTGAAGAAAAAAGCGAACTAAGTGAGGTAATAGCTTCTTCAAGCAGCTTTCCTGTGCTGCATCGTGTCATGCCGTCATCATATCAGCGAATTTTGCGCTAACTGATGCAGAATATTCGTGGCTTCGGAAGTCTTGTTTTACTCTATGCAACATGACAAAACACAGTTTGAAGAATGCAGCATTTCATAGTTCAGTATTGCGGTATTTGGTAGAGCATGGTGCAGAAGATATTAGTGCGTGCAAGAGAGATACAATTCAGAATGGTACAGCAAATTACTCGAACCATATCTTCCTTTTCTCTCCAGACCAACTTCTGATAAATGCTTTGGCGGAGTGATTTACGCTTTGATTCTGTAAGTCGATAGGAAAATGGTTTCGGTTGTAATGATAATTCCAGTTTGGATAATGGTCGTCTCTTTGATTTATTCATAATTGAAATTGATTGCATTTGATAAACTTGCCGCTCATACTAAATTGAAGTTTTAAAATATAGAGGAGGCAGATGAAAAATTTAAATCTGCTTTAAATTCAATGACAGAATTTTAAATTCAAATTACAACCGTTGTAGCAGATGCAATATTTTCCAATCAGCAGTAGTACAAACATATCTCGTTTGGTTGAAAAGACCTGGGGATGAGGATGAGTCCTTCCTTTTTATATTAACTTACCTTAATCAGAATCTATTTTACTTGTTATTTCTCATTGTAAATTTAGTCATTTATTGCTATCTGCAAAATAACATGACAAATTTGAAAGCGCTGAATGTAGAAATGGGGATGATATGAACCAAGGATCCATGATTACCGGTGCAAGCAGACACACTAACGGTCGTGTGCAAACGCCGTGGTATCTATAAACTGCTGGAAGGATAAATGGAATAACAACGTGTAGCCAAAGCAAAAGCGCTTCTTTAGAGAGGCGCAACTCTTCACTCTCGATGTGCAGGGAGCTGCAAGTAGTTGAGTTGCATATGCATTTGTGCTATGCCTTTCTTGAGAAATCAGCTCAACGTGATACCGTGCTGATCAGATATAGTTCTTCTACTGGAAAGTATGCAAGAGTATAAGTGTTGTTTTCGCACGACGCAAGTTGTAGTGCAGCAGAAAATATATACCTCGTCATGACGTCGACTGCTTTCGCTACGCCATTTGTGACGTTCCTCTTCGCTCATCAATTTCCAATCCCGTGTAGCTCTCTCGACCAATTTCTTGGCCGTCAGATGCATACCTTTATTCTCTGCCGTGTAGAAAGCTCTTCGAGCGTCGGCGAAATACATGAAACCATTGGAAGAACGCTTTTTCGTCATTTTCACTACTTCCCTGAGATGCTCTTCCACGTAACACTATTTGCTTTCGCTTCTAATTCAAAATGGATACTCACGTCGGTTTCAGTTATGATTGTCTGTGTCTTAAATCCCGTTTGTTTCATTTTTACTTCAGAAATTCAAGCATCCGTTCTTCCGTGCACACTTACGACTAAATGAAAGAGGAATGTGTGACTGACATCAGACAAGCATTACAGAACAAATTCATCCTTCCTGTCCCTATGGAGCTCGTCGATGGTCATGTCGTCAGTGAGGATCACCTCAGCACAAGGGGGGTAGCACAGATCACGTTTTACGACGATATGCCGTCTCATTTCTAAAATCGGCTGAATATACTCAATGTGTCAAGTGCTTATTCAAGTTTCAACTGATCTAAAACATCGTTCACAGACACACACACCTCAGAATCCCGCTCCCGAGCCACGCTGCACTGCAACAAACAGCAAAAGCAACCTGCAAGAAAGGCAACACTAAGACGCAATGGACGAATCCACACTGCTTAACACATTTTTATGCCATCTCCATTGGCGCACTTCCACAACTCTCTTCAAATCTCCTCGCATCTCACAACACAGCCATCACTGCCTGCTGCGTACGTGTGCATTTGCATGTATTCGTACGCTGCAAGTACGTGTAGATCTGTACTGTTACTTGCGTCCCCATCTGTATTTGTGTTGCATGTGTCCCGTGCATGTATATGCCAAGTGCACTCTCTAATCAGTGCAGCATATTATACTAATACACTTCAAACGAGAACTGCAAGTAGGCGGTGCTTAACGTAGCGAAGTAACGATATAATGACGGAATACGTGACAATTAGAGGGTGGGACATCGTTCATTCACGGGCACTTAGGAAGGTGTACACGTGTTAGGAGATTTGTCGCTCATTCTCAGGTTTCTCTGCATTATGTCAAGTACGTGTTGTTGGTGGTAGTGTATTCCATTGAATACTTTTCCCACCGGAATTTGGACATCGAAAGTTCATGTTTACTATCGGAGTTTGAGTTCTGTCTGCAGGGAATAAATTATTGAAGAAAGCGGAAGTGCTTACAAAATATGGAAACGAAGCTTTCAATAAGCCATTGTATAATAAAGAATCGCCAATTTCTAGGGAAAATGGAAGAAAGTGGCAACGGCGAAATTCCAGCCAGCGCAACGTCAAATAACTCAACTGGAACTGCTGGATGGTACGGTCGATTCCGGGGAATGATTGCAGACGAGTTATCGTTAGTTCTTCCTTTTATATGTCTTGAACCTGCACAATTTAAGCTTCCTCACGCGAAAATTTTGACGAACTTTCGAGACCTATGATTTGTAGTATCACAGAATCATTCAATAAAATATTTTTCTTGGAAATTATCAATTATATATTGAGTATGTGTCTGTTTTAAGTATGGCATGGTGATAAAGACTTAAACTGCCAGCGTAAAGTCATTCGTGGTGATTTGATGTTTTTTTTTTTCAGTCCAGAATATATGAAATTCCTTGTATTGGACTACTTGATTTCCCAAGGATATAGAGAAGCAGCAGAATATTTGTGCGAAGATGCCTCCATACCATTCCCGAGAGATGCGATTGAAAATCTGGATCAGCGGATGCGTATTCGTGACGACATTGTAGAAGGGAAAGTTTGTATTATTAACAGTTCTGATCATTAGCTTCTATCACAGCTTTTAATTTCTCAGTTGTTTAATTTAAAGTGGTATTTCTTCAACTCAAGCTAAGGTATCTCTTTTATGCCTTAATTTTAATGAAAAAAACACTACTGTATCCTTGATGTAAAAATTAAATGTAGATTGAGAGCATGTATAGAATAATATAAAGATTTACATTTTCTGAATTTAGAGGTGAGATAAAGTTGATGTAACAAGCGGTCTTATAATGATTCTTAAATTTTCAATTTCAATTTTTTTAGATGTGGTCCTATAATGATTCTTAAAAGTTTAGATACAAAATGCAATCGAAAAAGTTGTAAAAATTGTGCCCGATTTGTTGGAACGCAATCCAGGTCTTCATCTTCGTTTACTTCAGCAACATCTCATTGAACTTATTCGCAGTAAGATGGTGGGTTCAATTTATTTTCTTTTGCTGATTTCGTCTTTCTGAACTTTCGGTTCTTTGCTGAATATCATGCAGTTTGAATTGAGAATTGAGGCGTAATATTTTATTAACCGAGAAAAAAAGTGGTTCAGTTACAGAATCTGCATTGCTAATAGTTATTTTTTTGAACTTCTTTTCCTGCTTTATAACATTTATTTTACTACTTTGAAAATTTCAGCCAGCAACATGTGTATGCATTAGTTTCATGTAGTCATCAGTTCTAACGATGGTCATAAATTAAGATTGGTGGGTTAATGGGTAGGATATATCGTTTGTTCGTAATAGCTAACATGTTGATCACACTACCAACATGTTAACTATCATGAATGAACGAGATACCCTATTGGTGAAGCAGAAAGTAGATTAAGCGGGTTGTTTTAATAGATAGCTTTGACCTTAACCCTGGCTATACCGAGATGAATGATGAAAGGAGGAAAATTATGGATTCATTGTATATTTGCCCACAATTTAGGATTTTCAGGTGGAGGAAGCCGTTGCTTTCACGCAGTCTATTGTTGAAAAAGTAGATGCACATCCTGAAATGGAAAAAGAAATGCAAAAGGCTTTTGCAATGATTGCTTTTGAAAAACCTGAAGATTCGCCATATACATATCTGTTAGAAATGAGTCATCGTCAGATGGTTTGTCATTGATTTCTTGTCATTACAGAATCGTTTTTAGGAAATAGCAAACTGCTAGGGGTTCCAGACAATGCCCATGTGAAAGTGGGTTAGGTTTTATTTTTCTAATCACTTCGCGCATTTCATAATTGCAGGTCATCGTAAATTAGGTAAAAATGTAGCTTTTTATATTATTGTTATGCTCGATTCATCTGATAAAATTCCTCATTTTTTTAACGGTCCATTTATTTCTTTCATCTTCATCACTTCTTTAGTAAAGTGTCTAATCACAAATATGAAGCTGAAATTTTGCCAATGTTGCTTTGATGGATTTCTTCTTTAGCTTTAAAATATAATTAGCGAAAGTTATTCCAAATAAAATGGCCTAAAAATTGCTTCTGTTTTAATTCTGTCCATTTTTATCGTTTACAGGTTGCCAACGATGTAAATAGTGCCATTCTCGAAGCTCTGAATAAACCGTCTGCACCGAAACTAGAGAATCTTTTCCGATTGATTTTATGGTCCAAAAACGTGTTAAAGCATAACGATACACCGGAAAGCTTAGAACGACTTTTCAATGGACAGGTAGCAAATATTTGATCATTTATGGCCTCTTACTTTAATTATAAGATTAATCAGTGTCTCGGAAATTTCCTTTCCTTAAAAGTATAAAAATATGAAAGTATGAAAGATTTTATAAAAACTATCCAGCGTTAGAACCTTTTCTTTATGTATCTAACACGAATCCTAATTTCTTCCAACTAAACTAATAATTGCTTCGTAGATTAGGATTATTTTTGAACTATTCAATATCACTATAAACTTAAAGGATATTAGATTTTTTTAATGTATCTTGACTTACCTTTTTCAGTGATTTATCAATATTGGAACATGTTGGCTTCGTTCTGTAATGTTGAAGCTGCTGTGAGTACCTCAAATTTTTATACACTTTGTCTTTCCGAAGCAGGCAAGCATTCTAAATGTTAACGTTCGGAAATTCAAAATTTTCTGTACAATGAATTTTTTTATGACCATGATTAGTTATATGCTTTTTCTGCACTATTCCCAGAAGATACTAGTAATTTTTCAATTTTCAACTTTGTTTTGAGATTTTTTTGACACTTAGAATTTGATTATGTTTCTACATCATGTTGTAAATTTTGCGTGATCAATAAAATTTTTTCGATCATTTTTTGGCCTACTAGGATCCTAAATATCTAGTCATTCATTTCCTTGTTTCGAAGTTGTCATAACTCATGTATATTATTACTTATAAAATGCGAAACATCGTAATATCCCAGACTTTGTTTAAAGGTACTTGGAAGTGACTTCCATGATGAGCAAAATCTGTTAGGTGACTGGAAGACAAACTTGGTCCCTGTAAGTGAATCAAATTGATCATGGTTGAACGTCGATGATTTTGTTGCACTGTGTCGTCAATCTTATGGGAATTGCAAGGTTTCCTTGAGGGTTCGTCTACTGCTTGCCTATCATTCGTGACGCATTTTGCATTTCATCGAGAAGACGTCTTATTGGTAATTAGTCATTTTCTCTCCTCTCTTTCTCTGGATATATGTGAGGTCTCGTTAGCGGAGTGTCTGCTACCATGTCGTGATAAAGCAGTCATCTCTCCTCCTCTTCAGATCTCATTTCTGAAGCAAGTACACAGTTCTGCACATCTCATGTTGTAAACTTGTGGATGTGTATTCGTTATATATTAATGTACTATATATGTATATAATAATACTTTACATAAAACAATGATCGGGTTGTTAATCTTGTCGCTCAACAGCAGACAAACGACAGGTGCGGTAGCGACAGCACTGTTAAAATCCGTAATGACTGGCTACTGATTTGTTGATACCGGAAATGCGTCTACTGACATTCAATTCTGAGCGCAGTATTGTCTCGCTTCTTCTTCTTTCTGCTCCGTTGCTCGGTAGGTGTGCAGCTCTGACTTACGAGTGATTCATTGGATCGGGTATTTCCTGATAGTGCATTCTCGTGCTTCTGCCAGATTTAACCGGTGCTGTTTTTGTTGAGCCCTCCTCTATAAGATCAACATGATGCTATCTATTATCATTGCCTTATTCTTTCGAGTAAATCAGTTTACGATCTGTGTAAGAAATTATGTTTAGTGACAAGGTTATGTTTAATTTATAGATATTTGAATGTTGCATTTGTATCACCCAATGGGATATTTAACTAGAGCTTTTATCTCTCCGTAGTTATCAGTATTTGATTATCTTCATTTACAGAGATTAGAATGATGAAGCAGTAAGTTTGGCAATTACAGCTTCAATTCTTTTAGGCATTTTGGACGTTTCATTTTCAAAAGAAATAATCTACAGAACAAGTGATGGACATTGAGCACTTATAAATTGCGGTGGATCGATTGGTGATACCAAAACAGATGCAACCCAATGTTATATTTCCCTTCACACAATTTCCTTTCCAACGCGTTTGCAAGGAGAAGGAAAATATGAGATTGGATTGCATTTGTTGTCAGGTAGCGTTCAGTTTCACCTCCTCTTGACGGATGAGTGATTCAGACTATAGCAACTGCCAACTAATTTTTGCTCTTCGTTTCCGTACTGCGATCATTTTTCGTCGAAGTTGAGTAACTGAGGAAAGCAGCAACTCTTCTTGCCATCCTTTAACTCATTCTCGTGCTCAGTCAGCTGATTTGTTCTCTGTTACAACCCTGAAATGTTTGGTAAAAATATAGTAGTAAATGAGAGGTGCGAAATAAGCATTCCTGGAAGGGAACAACTTCTTCAATGGGGAGGATGACACTTTTTCAGTCTGCTTTCGGACCACTTGACCACAGTAGAGTGGATGCTTTTCCAGGAGAGTAGTAATGATTTTCTTCGCCTTTCATGATCCGTTGTCGCCACACTGATTAGCACCGTGATTAATCCTCATTAACTCGAAATTGTTGAGTTCACGAAATGTGAGCTCTGTTGTGGGGAAGATTAGTTGAGTGTAAAGTGCTCTCGAGATTTGAGGTGTGAGCCATTTTTGGTCACTGCCTGTAGGAATGGAAATTTCTGCGCTACTCTGATTAAGTGAATGGTGAAAGGAACGAGGTGAACCGCTTCGGGTACCGAGTGGTGGGCGTTGTGGGTGGTAGTGGTGGGGTGGTGTGTGGTTGTGTAGTGAAGTGGTGCTTCCGGAGTTCGGTTGGTTGGTTGGTTTGGATGAATGGTTCGAAGAAGGCAGATCGGGTGCAGGGAGAGAACTAGGGCCAGCAGCAACCACAACTGTGCCCCGCTCTGAACAGAAGTTCACTTCACACAGCTTGCATATGTTCTGTGTGCGGGATCGAGCGTTTATTTTTGGAGTGTGCTGTCTGTTTCGCATTTCCAATTGAAATGCGGCACTGAGTCGGTTAGTTGCAGTTGCCGTGTGTGTAAGGAGGAAATCCGCACTGCTCTCTGATAGCTTCTCTTTTTCTTCCCTTTATCGTTGATAATCGAATTGACCCATTTTTTTCTTTGCAACACACGCGCCCGACCTCCTCTTCACGGCTAATTGATCACTGTGCTCTGCTCTCCGTCCCACTGGGACTGTAACTCAGTTCTTTGACATTGATTTCCGGGCATGGAAATGAACCCTCTTTCAGGCCCGGTTTCCATTGCAAATCTCTGGCCCACTGACAACACGTTTAGGTTTAGGGAAAGAATTGAATGTGGGTAATTCGGATAGCTCTGATCAAAAAACCAAACTTATTTTGGTTCCCAAAAGTCCTCTTTTGTTGATTAATGTTCTCAGTGGAATGCTTTGAAATGACAACCTTTGGGTGTACTGTCACTTACTGTTTCATATATAGGTTAAAACTTGCTCAGTTTAAAAAACTAAGCTGACTTATTTCTTGCGCTACACTCTCTTAAACAGTCGCTATCTTTATTGGAAGTGCGTTTTTGAAATTTAATACATATTTGATTGACTTTCTACTATAACTGTGCAGTATTTAGATATGAATTTTGCCAAATGTAAATATATCCTAACCGTACGTCTGCGATTATTTTTATTCCATTTCTTGTTGTTTTAATCTCCATTGTATTTTTTTAGCAACTGATGCTATTCTTTGATGCATAATAATTAATCAGATAGACGGAAAGGTGTAACAGAGTGCGTAATATTCAATTTTATAAATTCAAAACATTTTCAGGCTCTTCATCTATCAATAACTATAATTAACGAGATTGTCGTACTGTCCTTCCTTATTGATCTGTTTTTTATCGATTTCTTCATTACTACTGTATAATGGTTAGTACTCTTCATTTCATCTTTCAGTTTTCAATATATTCTCATTGATTCAGGAAATTATAGTAATAATGGACCTATTTCAGTCTTTCATATTTAAAGGTTTCCTACGAATTCAGAGAAGTTTACGCTATGGTTTTCATCTGATAGGTTTCAGGAAAGTTGCATAAGCAACTGGATATTACATTACTTTTGCTGGTAACTGGTATAATATATTCTTGGGGAAAGACTTTTTTCTCCAGAAAGAACTGAAACAATTTTACTCTCAATATCCACATCTTCCAATACTTTGTTTTTTTTTCACTGTATCACAACGCAGTCAGAAGAGTCAGATTAATTTTTCATCTAGCACTCTGACTACTTTTGAGATTATGTGAAGAAGTTTTTTACCTCATTTCTTCCAGTAAGGAGAGTGAACGATCTTATTTCTCCTTACTTTCCTGTCCACAAGGCAATTTTCTGACTTTTTCTTCTCCTGCTTCCTTAAATTTATTTCTCTTCCCGGCAAACACTAGGAGGTTACTTTTTAGAGAATATGAAGAGACAGAACTATGCATATTTAATATTACCTATTAGTATCGATAAATCAAAGTATTGCTTGTTATTACTTGTTTTTATTCTCCTAACTGACATTTGCTCCCGGAGCTTTACTTCCAGGACGTTTGTTGTGGTGTGTGTTAAGTGATATATGTAGTTGAAGAGTGGCTGTCGTCGTTGTTTTTAGCCAGACAGAAGCACACGCAAACATTATATTCATTTACAATATATCATCTTGATAAGAAGTTTTTAAATTTTTATCAGGTCAGATAAAAATATGGATCGGTCCATATTCTTAAAACTTATATATATGAGCTCTTCCAAGTGTTCTTATTGATTTCAGATTGTTAGAGAAATAATTTTGTGTATTTTGAACATTTTTTGCATTGCAAGAAGCATAAAAGTGTTTCAGAAATTTTTGAATGGATTCACGGTAAGAGCCCGGTTTTTTGCAGCCTTCTGATAATAATAAAGTGATTAGGATCAGTGGCGTCTTTTTATATCTGTAACAGCAACGGTGTGGATTATTAGGCTCTGTAATAACTGATATTTTTTGGAACTTTTACAACACTTTTCTTATTTACTACTTAGTATTGGCTAGAAATCGTTTTTTTCCATATTTTACTTAAAGTCTGTTGAAATAAATCAATATTTGTTTGGAAAAAAGTATATTCTTCCAGTATTACATCCTGTCATGGAAACATTCAAGGGGCAGTAAGTGATGTCTCATTTCTTGTACTGATTTTTTATACGGATCAGTGAATATGAATAAGCTACATGCAATTACAGATATTTCTGAATTTAGCCATTTTTATTTGTGATTGATTAATACAATTACTTGATATTAAATAATTTTTTATATATTATTTTTACAAGTATTAATTAAGGATTTATTGTAGCTCTATCCACATTGATTCTTTTTCTATTTATTCACTTATATTTACAGAGCTTAAGATAAGCTTACCTGTCATTATTTTTATGAACCACAAAGTAAGTGAAAACGCATGGTGAATACATTATTGTAATCACTAGTGACTTGTTAGAATATGAAGCGAATTTTATAAGAGTTTCAACTTCCCAGAAATGGAGATTCAATTCACCGGGAGTGTTGAAAGAAATACAATTTTTAGTGCTTATAGCTACATAAGTGCGGAAGTTGTCGATAAAACTGCTGAGTGTGTGTTGCAGTGTTGCTAACACATTCTCTATTAAAATCGCTCACTTATCTTAGTTATTTTTCTCTTCTTAACAGTTGATGTGTTCTGTTTTATTGCATGTATTTTTTTGTCCAAATTTTCTAGCCTTTTTTTCTATGAAATGTACTTTATCAATTTTGGTTCTGTTTCAGTCAACGTCTGGAGTAAGCGTTAATTCTGACGTTCAGCGGTCATTTCAACGCCTTTCCGATAGCAAAGAATACAGATATATTCTTTTCAAAATAGAGGTTCGCACTTTGTTTTCAATTTCTTTTCCCCCTTATTTCATGGAATTGGTTTATTGAAGCACTATCTATGCAACTATCCAGGTAAAGTGCGCTGTCATACCTAGAAATACCTATTATTATTAATAGACTAAAAGTTGTGACAAAATTTTTCGGACTTCAGTAGTTACCGCTATGGAAAAATAATATAAGAAAATAACTTTTATGAATATAGAATTTTTCTTAATATGCTTTGATGCATTTGAAAAGAAATGACAAGTACAGCATAACAGTTTTTTATGATACAAAGTATAAGAAGAAGAAGGAGAGATTTCTGTTACAAATGGCCATCCAACCAAGTTCTGCGACTTCTGAGAGAGAAACAGGATAAAGGATCATGATGGAATGAAGTACCATGAGCATTATTTTTCCATAAACTTTTGAACAAAAACGTAACAGATAAGGTATACCCAACTTACTTTCACTTTCTACAGGATCGTGAGGTGGTCGTTGAAGCTGCAGTAGCTCAAGATGAATTAGATCTTGCTGTGGATGATTATGAAACAAATTCGAAAGAAGCATTTGGGCGATTCGTAGAAGATTTGAGAGAAAGGACGGATAACTTCAAGGATTGTCGATATGCGGTCTTTGATTTCAAATTTACATGCTCGAGAGTTGGTGCAGGGACCTCAAAAATGGACAAAATTGTCTTCCTTCAAATGTTAATTTTATAACAGTATCTGATTTTTACATGTTCACTTTATTTGCTCGACGCTAAAAATTTGGGGCAGTCAGCAGAATGAATGATGTTTTATGGAGATATTTGATGTTTTTTTGTCTTTATACGTATCGTTCTAATTCGATCAATTATAGATGCCCCGATGGTGCATCAATTAAAAAGAAAATGGTCTACGCCTCGTCAGCATCAGCAATTAAAGCATCACTTGGTACTGAGAAAATCATTCAGTTTCAGGTATTTCTTATACTTATCATCATTATGTACTCCATTTTTTTCGACAAACATTTTAATTCATTACAGTTTTAAAGGTAAAAGAAGCTAGATTCTAATTAAAGATATTTTTTTCATGCACTATTTTGTTTGATTAGTTTTCATCCCAAATACTTTCTTATTTGGCTGTTGGAAAAGCAATCATGAGACGGTCAATCGAGCACATTAATTTTGATGTTTGAATGATGCATGATTATATTTTTCAGGTATCCGATGAATCCGAAATGTCACATAGAGAACTCATTTCAAAACTTACTGAAAAGTATGGCGACCGATAAGTGCTTTAACTAAAAGTTTGGTTCATGCTATACCAGTGACAAAATTAATATTGCATTTCATTTCATATGTTAACACGGAGTGTTTTTGCCCTATTTCTAACCCAAAATTAACATTGTGGAAAGTAACCTTCAAAATTTGTACTTTGGTAAAAAATTACTCGTCTTTGAACTATATTCATGAAAATATTTATTTAAATTTTTCGAATTTTCATGTTGCCTTCTGGAACGAAAAAATAGATAGGACAGCTTAATTACCAGCAGCGATCGTAGAAGTTATATTTATTGATTTTTTTAGTCAGCGTTTTTAGTCTATGTAGCGATGATGCTTTATGATTGTGGTATTTTTATCTCTTAGCTTTTGCTCAAGAGAAATCACAATAGTTTTTTCAAATTCTACTGAAAGTATCATTTGTTACCTTACTGCAGTTTTCAGATCGTTTAGTTGACTATTTAGGTTTTTTATAGGAACAAAATTTATTTCGTCCAGAATGGTTTAAAGCTATTTGCAATTATCACTTTTCGTCTTCTTATAATAAAATTTTGCCAAATTTGTCAGGGAATCTTGAATTAATCGATGACGGAGTAGTGGCTGTGGTGAATTATTGATGAGAGAAGAAAGCATTGAGAGTTAATTCTATCTTCGTAATGAAAATATATGAAATTAATTTGAAAATTTGCATTTACTGAAGTTCTGGAATAATTATGAAAGAAAATTTTGAATTTTTTTGAGTAAAAAGTAGACTCTTTTTTTATTTTTCTTTCGCTAATTCAACCATAATTTAACACATTTTTTGATTGTGTCTACTTTTTAGTAGTGTTATTCGTTTTTATATTTTTATCTTGTTTGCAGTGTGTGGTTTGTTTGTTTACTTTTTTCATTGTTTAAATAAACATCGTCGATAAAAAAATTTGTCTTTTTCTAACGATTTTAGCATTTTCTCCCAATAACAACAACAGCAACAACATGCAGAAAAAAGAAAGCTAAAGCAAATTGCATGTTGGATGATAGAGAGATTGGTAATTCTCGGCAGCTTTATCAGCGTTCTTCCAATCAAAATATAGGAATAGTTTTTTCATCTCGGAAAACAATTCATATGTTTTGGGCATTTTGCAATTTTTAAGTAAATCGATTTAATTGATTTTGCATTTCTGATCTGAAATGGTATCCTCCTTTTTTCTCTTATAGTAAATATAATGCATTCATGAGTGAAGATATAAGGCGTTTTACGATTTACAGGTTTGTGACGGTGACAAATCGGGATCTGTTATTTATTGTTGGTGGGTAAAAGAGCACTAAAAGAAAACGATAGTCTGTTTCGGAGCATTGTTTGGTCGGGAAAAAATGTGACTAAATACTGCAACAAAAATATACCTGATTAAAATGTTTAAAATGCAATTCTTTTGTTCACCGCCCTTTCTCTATGACGATGTCTCTTTGCAGTAAGGGTTTTTCAAGATGGTAGATGGAATGCACTGATGTCCATTTCTGTATGTTCATGGAGTTTAATCCTGAATTCCTGGTTTTATCCTTAGCTTTTTATCAGTGGTGTAGAGTTAGATTTTGTTTTAACTCCTGTAGAAAATTGCAATACGCAGTTTGTTTTCTTTTGTAGGCATCAGGTGTAAAAGTGGATGCAAGTTGCAAGAAAGCTTACGATGAATTGCATCAGAAGCACCAGCATTCTTATATAATATTTCGAATTTCGGATGATGATACGACAATTATCGTTGATAAAATTGGCAACAAGAATGCACCTTATTCCGAATTCGTCGAGGTTAACTGCGTTTTCTGTAAACTGTTGTCGATTAATTAATCTCATGAAATTTCATGTTTCGTGAATTGTTTTTGAAAACTGATAAATGTTTAGGTTGCTCACATTGTAGGGCCACTGGCATGAAAACTTTTACAGCATGTCAGTGTTTAGAAAATAAAAACTGAAGAAATTTATCGGTCAGCAATTTATGTTCAACCATTGCAATCCTTTGACCTTCTCCATCTACTATCGTTTCTATTGTAGATCTGCTCGCATTTGCCTATCTATTTACCTTATCTCCTGCTAGTATTTATTTATGCCAGAAAATTTAAAGAGCTTGAGTTTCAGGAAATTCGGAAAAGTGTAGGTGATGGTAAGGAATGTCGTTATGCTGCAGTAGATGTTGAAGTGCAAGTACAGCGGCAAGGTACAGATGCTGCATCGCGGCTTACTAAAGTTGTTTTCGTGCAATAGTAAGTTACTAACTATCATCCTTCAAAACCAATATTGAATGTCGCCAGTGGTTTTCACCCACACATGAATGGATCTTGAGTGTCACAGTTTCGCTTTCGATTTGCTGAGGATGAGAGGGTCAGAGAGAAAGGATTAATTTATTTAAGAAGTAATTAATGTTGCTAAATAGAGAAGGTTTGTTAAGGAGAGAAACCTTGGAGAGACTGTTCAGGGTACCTCTTTACCATATCATTTTGCAGCTGTCCGGATGAAGCGCCGGTACGTAGACGTATGTTATATGCATCCTCGGTTCGTGCTTTGAAAGCCACGTTGGGCTTGGAGAGTTTAATGCAAGTGCAAGCAAGTGATATCTCAGATATCGATGAGAAGGCAATCAAGCATGAATTGATGAGCCATCAGCGTACCTGAACAAATACTCTTACCACTGCTGGTGTACGCGTTGCTATCTTCACGTTACCTTTCTTTGTTTACTTCATGCAAATTTTATTTATTTTCTCGAAATAACTTATCATTTTATCGAACAATTGCAACATAAAGACATATTTTTCATTTTATTGCACATTGGTGTATGTTTTTTTGCTTTTGCAAAATGTAACAGGAATAAAGGAATTTTTAAAGTTTCTTTTTTCAGGGCTAATTTTATGTCAATGCCGCGCACACACGTCACTGATTTTCAAGATTGAGATAAATGCATGCATTGTTATTGCTTTTTTATGCCTTTTTAAAAAATTTTACTCGATCTTTCCTTCTCTTCTTTTCAGAAAAATTTCTTCAGACAGTGAGGAGGATTCTGAGAGTGGAAAGTTTTTAGGTTAGGAAGAAGTTTGTGGAAGATAATTTAATTTCTATCACCGTTTTTTCCGGTTGTGGTGTAAACTTTGCCCTCTGCTTTGTATCAGAATCGTCTACCAAAGTGCCACCTCTCTTCGTTAATACGTTAGTAACGAGTGTGTCTACAATAAATCTACGGATCTATGCCTCAAATCAGCAGCTGTTGCACAAAATGCCATCATTATCGGTGTTAATCTCACTCCACTCTCTACACACCCATAATCCTTCGATGTCCTATACCCACCTGATTGGTTCCTATCATCTGATCACTTCTGTTTTCCTCCCCCCAGCTACAGATCAATAATAATCAGTATGGAAATTGTGATTTATTTGACTTTTCACAGAAAAGAAGTGGCATCAGAGAAGATTGATTTTATTTCACAATCTTCAGTGGCTTCACTGCCGATCTCTGTTAACGTTTGTTTGCAAAAACAATGCAACTAAAAAATAAAAAAATTCAATAACTTCAGGGATTTCGGGAAAATAATCAATCAATAAATAAATGTATGAATCGAGAAAATTGATGCTTTTTCCTTGATGACCATTTCCAATTGAACTATATGCAATATATTTATTTCTTTGATCAAATCACTTTAACCACCGCTTTTCAAAACTTTTATAATTCAGACTGAGTGTACAGAACACGCAGCATTACACAATGATGGTCACTCATGAAGTTGCAAATATTGCTGGAAAGAAAGAAGCTGAAAGCAAGTCTCTCATAAATTTAATTTTCAGTCATTGCTTGTCGTTCAATTGCCAGCAGAAGCTGTTCATCTTACCTATCAAACTTGATAATGAGACAGTGACTATCGCATGTAAGCTGTTCGATTGGAGGGATAGTTGCGGTACAAGGAATGACCTACCTCAGTAGTCCGAAGGTCAATTGAATAGCTTCTTTCCTAACTATAAATGAGCATTCACAACATTTGACCACAATTCTCAATGGTAATTGTGGCGGTGGTGCGCCCTTTCTGTGCACCGTATCCCTCCAGAATACCATAGGACTCCAAGCGATCCAATGTATCGAAGCCATCGATCAGATTGCCGAATGCTACATGATAGTCGTTCAGCCTGTGATAAGAAAGAAAACAGTTCATGATAGAAAAGCTTGCTACAAGCATTAGAAGGTAATGCACATTTCAACCACAATACATCGCATCATTCGAGGAGAATTACAATGAAATGGAGGAGAGAGTTGAAGGGGAGATTTACCACGGAGCCTCGTCGAATGTGATGAAGAACCGTGAACTGACGGTATTTGGCCATCCATAGTTATCCATCGATAGCACTCCGCGACTGTCGTGTTTTAGGATGAAATTTTCATCTTCGAAATATTTCTCGCCAAATATCGACCGTCCACCACTTCGGTCAGCATTGTTTGTTTCGAAGTCACCACTCTGCAACAGATCACTTTACTTATTCTCGTCTGACTCCGGATGTGTTTACGGATGGAAGGAAGTTTTAAGTGAATGAACAGCATTTCCAATAATGTAACCACGCAACTTACGCATGCACAAAATCCGGGGATGACACGGTAGAAAAGGCAACCTTTGTAGCCAAATCCCTTTTCACCGGTGCAGAGTGCTCGAAAATTTTCACAAGTCTTTGGACAAATGTCATCTCTCAGCTTAAATAAATTTACTTTTATTACAGATGTATTTGTAAATGGAAAAGAGATAAGAGAATTAATCTGTTTCACTCATAACTTAAAAAATGGACACAAGTATTATTATTATTATTATTATCATCATCATCATCTTATGTCCGAAATCGAGTAATACAACCTGAAAAGTAAGCCTTCCGATTGAAATCCCTCCAGCGGTTAAATCGAGGAAGGTTCGGATTGGGGTAGTTGATGTTGATGACATCGATATAATAATGCCTGCTGCTGTTGCCGCATCCTTTTTTCCATTTACACGTTTCCCTGTAATGAAGCCAATTTCGATGTCCTTCCACTTCATTTAATTCTCTCCTTCTCCGACATGCTCTGAGAATACCAGTTCAATTCTTCTCCCGATCATGAACTCTGCTCTCTTCCCTGGGAAAAGATATATTCATTACTTTCCACATTTCAACTCGTATTACGCAACACATATATGTGCACTCGGTGATTTGATCCCTTAATGACCATACCCATATGAATAGCGGCATATGGTCAATGGCAAAAGGTGAACAATGTCCACTTATTGATTCCTCCTTCTAAGACGCTTTTTTTCTTTTCAATTCATTACTTAATTATCAATCTTTAAATCTGTTACGTTAAAACAGTTTGGAAGATTGATGTGAGCTGCTTGGAGTTTTTTCATCTGTTTTGGTTAACTGTTGCTGGAACGAATGACTACTGCAAGGCAGATGGTTATTTAATTTCAATAACCATTTTGAGAGGCACAGCTCAAGACTCTTATTGTTAGGGTACTGTTTAGCTATTTCATTCTAATTCAATTTTCGATATGGAGCCAAGTGATATTAATGAGCAATAAATTTCAGACTGGTTGAGGAAGCAGGTGATGAGGGCCGTCGATAGAAAACAATCTGATGAACACAACTCGGAAATAATCGCTCGAAAAATAAGGGCCCTTCGCAAATCGCAAAACAAGAGTGAACATGTCAACAATTTATCACCAACTCCGAAAAAGAGACGGAGACGACGAGACAGTTTTCTTGAAGTCAAGTTTGTTTTATTCATCACTGTTCCCAAAATTATCGACTTTAACGTGAATGATGTGGATTAGTTATACAAGTCTGCAATGTTCATGGCTGCAATTTCAATCAAAGTGATTTCTTTTCATTTTAGAATGTGTTCCTTAATGCAAGCAATAACCGATTGGATAAATTTTAAAGTTGTAATTTGTCAATTCTCATATTATTTTAACAAAAAAAACATGTAATAGCTGACAACGAAGTAATCGTAATGATAAGAGAGTGGTAAAATGAAATTGAAATTGTCGCAATTGCCGACAGTCTGATGACAGCCTTGAGCTTTGCATGCTGTTGTTTTTGTTCACTTTTGATATTTTTTTTCTCTAAATTTATGGATTTTGTTGAATTTGAGCTTCCAAATTCAGTAATTAAACTGTTGAATATCTCTGTCGGTTGGAGAAGTAATATCGTTGAAAAGGCACAAAATTCATAGTTCAGGGCGAAAATTCACGACCTGTTGCGGAGCACAGTATATCATCGCGGTCATCGTTACGATGTTCGTGCTGCCGATCGAGAGGCCATTCAGATAGAGCAAAGGCTTATGAGGTCATGCTGTGAAGGCACTTCTACTGATACTGCCATTCGTCGACTGAACCTCAATAGAACAAAAATTTCATCAAAACAAAAGCAAATAAAAGGAAGATTTCCTGAATCAATTAACTGATGACAGTAATTGCCAAATGCTCGAATTTAGAACGAATTGCAACAGTTCCAAAAGATCTTTCCAAAACTTTTGATATTCTTCGGTTCATTTGTTTTGTGACAAAAATCGATGGTTTCGACCTCTTTGATTACTTCATAGCTGATCAGCTCCAAAAACCCAACAATTTCTGTACCATCCAATCAGTTCTCTCAATAACATTTTCATCCATTTCAAATATCACTGTCCTCTTTCTTCGAAATCTGATCGCAATGACTAATCTCAATCACTGTAAAATTGTTTCTGCTCTCTTATTGGAAGTGTATTTTGAATTTGCATATTCATTGTTTGTATGTTTTGTATTCTGTCATTTTGGCATATTTCTCTGTTATTTCTTGATATTGTTTGAATTGATCGCTGTAATTTCACATATAGTCCTACATATCACCAATGTATTTAACGGAAACGGAAATAATACTGATTTTACACTTAAATAGCTTCACCGGATGACTCTAAACCTTGTTTAAGGAGGAGTCCCGAAAAACAACGCATCCGCCATCTATTCTGTGTCTAGCATTTCTTCCATAACAATCCTTATCCCTCCTATGGCTATTCATCCCTTCGTTGTGATTAGATTACTTCAAGCTATCCAATTCAAAAAAAAATTTTATTAAAAGTAATCTTTTTCCGAAGGATTTTATCTCTTTTCTGAAAATATAATTTCAAGAATATTTGATCAGTGGCATCACCAGCAGGGGAAAATAACTAATAGCAATAAAAAGTAAATTGTAGTCGATGACCGCACTTAATTGGCTGAGCCACTGCTAATCGCTAGCAATTTTTTTAAAATTTCTATTTCTCACTTAACAAAAATCAATCGAAAGATAGTTGTGAACTAAATTCAACTGCACTTACTCTTTTATGAGCTTAACAGGAAATGTTTGGTGGTGCAAAAGGTACAGTAACTCTCATCATACTCTCCTGACGTGCAAGTAATTTCATCAGACTATATCATTCTTCGATTCACGCAAAGAACGAGAAATCATATGAGAGTAAACAAGAAGTTAACAGTTGGCAAATTATGGATAGGAATCTGAAGAAGAAAGACAATCCTTCTGCTCCTCGGCCACATCGCATGTGAAGCACGGCTTTTGACCGTGCTGCACATTATACCTTTTGGATTTCTTTTATCACCGGTCCATTGCCGTCCATCGCGGCACTCTTCTGATGAACAATTCATCGATCTGAAGAAACGGTAATAAATTCTAAGGTGATCAAAAGCAACTGCTCTAATGCGTCTAGGAGTAGTGGGAGGGCAATATTTACAATGCAAAACACTTTTTCTTTCCTAATAGAAGCTTACCGATCTCACATCCTTCTGCAATATCGTCTTGCACAGCCAGTCGTCACAAATACCACAAATCGGGATCGTCTTCCGAGCTATCGCGGCGTGTGGGAGATGATCTCACAGCAAATATTAATCTGTCAAGCATTTCTCATAAGAACTGTCTCAAAGCTTGCATGAAAAAAGACTGATGAAAGTTTTGGGATGTGACTATTAAGGAGATATTCTGACGTATCCTCGAACGTCATTCGCAACATCATTTGATGTTGCGCGGAGTACGAAATTACGATCCGGCAAGCAAGTAGTATGGAAAGGTGTCTCGCACTTTGCTAACTAAGTGTTTATTGATTTGTTAAATTTCCTAAATAAAACATTTGACTTAAGAGTATATACCGAATATGTAATCAGACAAAAGGGTACAGTGTGGGCTGAGCCGGTGATCGAAACCGGGACCTCTCGCACCCAAAGCGAGAATCATACCACTAGACCACTCAGCCACAACGGATTTCGATCGGCAATTTCAGAAATTCCCAGGGAATCGAGATTTAAGGAATGGAAAGCGTTGTGATGAAGACAGTCAGTCCACCGAAATATTGAAAATTTGACACCGTACGTTTTACACAGTATAAGGGTGATCAGGCGAACTGCACGCGTCGGCGCTTGCTGTTCCGTCAGATAGAACGGAAATAATAAACACAGAGGAAGTAGGTCCGGAACAAATAGGAATGAGTTAATCATTAGTTCATCGTCGGAAATGATGCCAAAGCGAATATCAAATCCGAAATCGTAAAGGTGAGCAAGCTTGATAAGCAACTTCACTGAGTCATTGCTTTGATAATCTTGTCTGGTTATCAGAAGGATAACTCGCTTCTAACTCTAGCACCTTCAAGAAACACATCTGATACATCTCACTGATTCCCATGCAACATCTTTTCAACCAAACCGTATTTAACCGATGTCACCCGTCAAATTCAATTCCCGGCGCTCATTTATCCGGAATTGAGATCATTTTTTAGGCGGAAGAAAGAGCGAAAAGATGGATGGATCCGAGAATATTCTTCCTTCCTCATGATATTTATTCCATCCTTTCACATTATCCTTCATCAAAATAGATTCATTAAACTGTTTGCTGCAATAACTGGGCTCTTGATCGAAAAAGAATTAATATATTCAAGTTAATATTTAGTATTAAATCATCGCTATTCATAATATTAAACGTCTTTCATCGTACAACTAAGAGCTTAGCTGTAATTGAGCACACTATAAGATACTTAATGCATGTAAGATAGCTCTTTGAGCCAGGTCTTCTTCAGGATGAACTGTGTGTTGAGAGTGATAGTTGAATTCAGCTCCATTTAAGGCACACTCATTTTTCCAAACTAAAACACTTTTTAAACTGTAGCTCTTTATTATTACTTCCGCTTCCGTGACGCAGCAGAGAGAGAGAAATGGACAAGAAAGGAAACTTTAAAAAGGAATTTGATGAGCAAGCAACATTCATTATAACTTTATTCTGCACCAACCTTTGACAAATCTTCCGTCTGTTGCAGTGGTGTGATATGTGGCAGGTACACAAATAAAGCAATAAAGTTTTAGTGAAAGAATTAACACGAAACTCAGATCAATAATCGCAGTGAGACACTTAGGAGATGAATTTTATATTCATTTGACGAGAATTCCACTTTCGATTCACTTCCTGCAACTGAACAAAACAGTCGTTTGCTTGAGTCCAAAATTCCTCGAGATGTGGAAATGAAATTTGTTGGATCAGGCATTCTAATCAGTAGTTATCGACAATTCACAAGCTCTGTTTAAGGACCTCGAATAAATCGCAGTGGGGCGACGTGATTCATATTAACTTGCTGCTACTCTAAAATTCAAGCACAGCAAAATGTTTGGATCCATCATGTAAAAACTTGGACCAACTGGAGATAATCATACTAGTTTTTAAAGATAATCTGTTTTCTTGGCAATCTATGCAGGTCTAGTAACACTTAGGTGAGGATGATGATCTTATTTCTGGAATTAACTACAGTCCAATTTATGGACAGGTGAGATTTTTTGAAGCTTAAGAATAATGATCGCTTTTTTCAGCAATAGATTCAGAATCTTTTGTTTGCTCAAACTTTTTGTCATGAGCTCTCAGTATTAGGTGCATTGACCACAATATCTGTGCAATTGAATCTCGTCGGGTTTGGCATGCATGTTTAGATAAACAAAACATTTAATTGCTAAAAACTAATTCTGCTTTGTAATTTGGCATGATTGTTAAAGCTCCTCCGAGTAATGCATCATTTGTCAAGCAAAATTATTGAATCGAAATCTGAGAACTTCATTGCAACGGGGACACTGCTAATAAATGAAAAAGTTCCGTGACAAATTGAAAGGTGCGCCGCTGCAAATGCGTCGTCACCTGTTCATCTCGTTGACCTTCTCTTCCCATCACAGCTGCTTTCTTTGCTCTCTTCCAACTACCTGAACTTCATTACAACCAATTTGCTCTCAATTCACGTCATTTTCTCCTCTTGTGCTCATCCCCAAGTCTCTCAGTACTATGGGCCCTGCAAATCACTGGCTACTAATTGTTATCTGCTCTTTCCACCTCTTTGAAACTGGAAAAAGTATCCATCTGGAGCTATCGACGGACACACCTGTAACTCTGCCTAATAGACATGAGCAAATTACAACTGCCGTGCTAGAAACCGGACCGGAGAAAGTGCCACCTCAGGAAATTGATCATGATATAGACGTACCAGCTGGAATATATTTTCGAATCAGTCAAAAGGTTTGCTTGAAATCTTTTGATATCAAATGTTACTTTTCATAAATTTTAATCAGAATTCTTTAGGCGAAGAAATAGTTACTTCTTTTGCCGCTGAAATAATAAAGAAAAGTAAGCAACAAAGTAAGCAACAAATCGTAACATTGTTATTCTGTCCGTCTCTGAATTAGCATCTAATTAAACAGTGATAAAGCTTATCTTTAGGGTGTGGATTACATCACAGGTTTGGCTGCTGAGGCGTTGCCACAGTTGCTTGAAAAATCCGAAATGCCAACTATTGAGCAGCCACAAATCAAAATTTCACATCTAACTATCGATAAATTTAGTAATCCAACGATAAAGGCTAAATTTCTTGCGAATACCGGTGAGAAAATCTTTGACCCGTTGAGAAGATTGTATCCGACCAACAGAGTTTAACTGAGTTTAAAAAAGCCATCAAGGATCAATGGCTCTCAGCTGCTTTCACGGGTGGTAAACTCATTTCTGCAGCAGAAATGACTTTAATCTGACCCTGTTATCTGACAGTGAAACCCACCGACAGCAGACCTCTTCCGGAATACTCCTCTCCCCCTTCACAATAACAGTGCATAGCACATCCACCGGATAGTGTCTAAGCTGACTCCAAACTGTTCCCAAATTAGTTGCACAGATCACTGTCCTAAAGTACCTTCCGTTCACCTTTTCATTAAAAAACTTTCCAGGTATTGCAGCGTATGTATTCTTACCTCAAGTGATGCTCAACGCGGTCTATGACGCCTCCACCTTTTTCAGCACTCATAAAGGGAAGTTGAAGGCTGACGTGCAGAATTTAAGTGTCGCTATGGAAGTGCACATCAGTCGGAATGAAAGCGAAAGGTTGAACATTATTGAGGTAAGCTTTTGCTTTGGGCGGTAAATTTTTCCACTTTGAACATATCGGCAAATTAAATTAACCTTTCTCAGTTCTCATCAATTGCTGTTTTGTCACTGCTCGACTCCCTGCGACAGAAAAGGGATGTGATTGCCCAAAAGTTCGAATCATTACATTCATCAATGCCTCTGTCCACATCCACTGACCATGGTAATGCGCATTTGTCACTAAATAAATATAGTCCCCTATAGACACCGGTGTGCAATGTCATCTCTGATCTTGTAAGGATTGTTTTCGCCGGCGATATGTCGACCTATCTAAACTTGCTGAGGTATGCAATTTGTTCCTATCATACTTTATTATAATTAGCTAAATTTTTAACCCACCAGTTCATTGGACTTTTACCGGTCAGTTTTATTCAGTGAATCATTTCTGAAAAAATAAGATGCCAAAAGTTGATTATCGTTATTTTTGCTAAATACTGCAATTTACAAGCAGGTCAATAATTGAACAATCAGTAACCGATGTTCTCGGGAGCGAACTTTGCCAACTTGCCGTAAAAGTAGGACAGTTCTTCGAGAAACAAAAAAAACAGGTTACTTTCATTTCATTCTAAAAAACTGCTGCGGATTTCACGTACAGTCTCTTTAAATTAAGATTCTGACCACTACGCCTATTCCGCAATCGACGCAGCCACCTGCACCGACGCCTACATATTTATTAAAATTCGGTGAACTACCTGAACCAGCTCACGCGAAACCAGTAGAAAGTGCTGAGACTGAAAATGCCTTCTATGAAACATCCAACGAAAAGGTACGAATGAAATGTGCCACCATTATTTTTACAAGTTCCCTAAACCATTTGTCACAATTTGTAAAGCTGTTCGTCTAAATTTTTGTCAGTAATCATAAACTTCAGAGTGCTGTGTGTTCAATTTAAATTTAGCTGATATTCAAAAAAAGTGAAAAAGTGAGCACAACAACTGCTTCATTCAAAAAAGAACACAACTCAAAATTGTTTGTGCCTTTGTAGATGGAAGATAACGAGGACTTGGCAGCAAAATTTGCAGCCGACTTATGTGCTGAAGACCGGGTCGGCATGGATGTCTCCGGCGATTCCACTTACTTGCGGAGGAGACGTGACCTCCGTTTTGATGCGACTCCTGAAAGTGGACGTTTTAATCCATTGTTGAAAGACGGTCTCTGGGCACCTGACTTGACCTTACTCTACTCACCAAAGTTCTCGGATGAGGTAGCATGTAAATTATTATTCTTTTTTTCATTTTAGACTTTTGGAAGACCTTTTAACAATTCTCCGGCAATTGCCGGGACCGAGATGATTTTCCACATATTTCGAATGGTGTGAAATGTTATAATGATTAAAGCAATATGAATTCCTACTTGCTAGGATGTGATATTCGGGCTCGATGCAGGCATTGTATTTTTTGGTCGAAAAGCCAAAAATGTCAATCGACCGAACATGCTCAATATATCAGCTTTTGGTGATCAAGTTTGTATTCATCTAATTGGCTCATTTAATTAAAAACAGCAAGAATTTTGACGTTTAGAAAATTTGCCTTTTATTACATATATGGGTGATGTAATTCTGGGAAATGACCTCCAGGTCATTTAATGATTTACTCTCGTTGAACATATTTTTGAGATGTTTGGTGTGATTATCAGCGAATATGTACCCAATACATTTTTCGCACATGTCTACGACGAAGATATGGGAGTGTTACGTGAAACATTCCGTACTCATAACTTGCCGAAATTCATAAAACCGATAGCTAAGTTGCTTTGCGCTCGTTGTGAGCTCCAATTTATTGTTAATTTAACCAGGTGAACCATTCGCTTCAACTAATAGTTTTTTATTTTGAAATACAAGAGTATCTTTGCAAATACTGTCTGAAGATCGTATGATATTGATCCACCTTCCGGATTAATTTTAAGCGAATGAACTATGGTTTTACAAATTAACCAATGTTAACTACGAGGATGATAGGTGATAATATTTGTCGATTTCCCATTGTATCAATGGAATGGAATTTATTTTACAAGATTTTTTTTTTGTTTTGACCGTTCTATACAAATAAATTTCTAAACTGTTCTAGACGACCACGTCTTATTATCAGTGAAGGAGGTGTTAAAATTGATATTCAAGTTGATTTGTTGATTTTATTCATTGGCAAAACACAAAGGCACAATATTGTCAATGCAAATGCTGAACTTGATATAACGGTAAGCTGATTCACTTTGAAATTTTTAAGTCAGAAATATTTGATTTAAGAACAGTTTCTGAAATAATTAAAATTCAAAATATGAAGTATTCGACGACTCTGACAGGTATACGAAGTAGCTATATGAGATTATCTTGAGAGAAATCATTCAGTAGAGCGGTCAGTAATGTGGAGAACAATAGGACTGGATTCAGTCAGATTCTGAGATAAATCCTGACTTCATAGTCACTTTATCCAACCCAATCGTTTGGCAGAAAGAACGGATGAGTTTGATATAGCAAGGCGTTGCCAAGAGGAAGCATATCCTTGTTTAATCTTTATATTAGCGTGATCCATGTAGCAAGGAACTCTTCCATATAATATTTAACCGGACTTTAAGGTTCGTCCATATCTCAGACACAGTCGCTTATATGGTGACGTTGCACTGACCGGTGTGGACATCAAAATAAAAGGGGTTTGTTTTTTCCACCTTTTTCGACAGGAAAAATGAATTGGATTACTTATGAACGGAGTATTTTCTTATTTTAATGCCATGTAATGTCTTCATTTCATTCCTTTTCATATGGGCATTGGTGGAACATTTGCAAATGCGATTCGTAAAGCACTGAACAGTATAGTGCCCAGGAAACTTTGGCCAAAAATAAAGAAGCGCTTGCGGTTTGCGTTCAATCAACGAGGTGAAATGATTTTGGAAGTGTTAGCCGAAAGGAATAAAAGCCTCAAACCACTTAATCCCACTACTGCTTCAGGCACTCGTTCATTTGCATATAGCCAGTACCAAATTCCTTCTCATTTCAGGCATCAGACTACCAGTGATGTGTGGTGTTGAGCTTGAAAGACCGTCGCTAAGTTACATCGACCATGCTGTCGTAATCGATACAGATTTCAGGTTATTTCTTTGAACTTCCTTGTTCCAGAAAAAGAATCTATGAGCTACGCAATCACACTTTGCAGTTATGATTTACCGCGGTTCATCCGGAAGTTTAAAGTGTACATTAATGCGGAGGTCACAAGAGCAAGGAAGAAAGAGCAGATGGAAAGTGAAGAAGACTACTGATCCGGTCCAGATTCAAACTGGCTGTGAAATACACTCAAATAAACATTTACTGTGTTCGTGAGCACGAGTTCTATCTGCTGAGCTATCGTAAACTTCATGAAAGAACCAATTGCAGATTAATATGCATAACCAATTCATTTATGTGAAAAGAGAAAACCTTTATCTCTAAAAAGCTCTTTTCCTCCAAAAAATTACAGTTTCAGGAAGTCCTTCCGTACCCCCTACCTTCTTTTGATTTCGGAATCAAATAGCAGCGAGCTTTCGCTGAAGTGTGACACAGTGTCTTCCAAACTGTTGTGAATATCAGAGTGGAGTATGGCATTTTAAAGAGGATGAAAGAATGCTTGCAATGACACGTTTAATTTGCATTTCATCAAAACCAAATAGAGGCATGCAACTGACAGTTGAAAATTTGATTTCATTATGTAGCAATTATACAAAGCCTAAACAAGAAAACAGAGCCTCACTGCATCATCACATTTAGTAATACTTTTCGTGATCAATCTGAAAAGATATTCTTTTTGCGAAACATTCCACAACATTTCAATTTCTTCTTCCGATTGCTTATAAAATTGATTTATGATTGGCTACAGATAAGTGTCTATCGGATCAATAAACGATTTAACTGAAGTTAACGTCGCGTAACCTCCTTTCCTACCATTTCATTTTAGGAGTTTTATGAAGTTATAGCGGTTAACATTGAAAGTGCAAGTCGAATTTTGCAAAAAAACTAAAAATATTCTGCAAATTAATATGCTCTAATATGGAGATTTATGTGAATAGTTAAAAAGAATTTAAAACTTACTACTTCCGACGTGTATTCTTGTGCGGTAACTGTCGACACGATTCGGTTCTGATGGGTCATATGAAGTGCGAGATGTCACGGGTGTTGTATATGTTTGTGAGTATCTGAAATTGTCGGTGCAAAAAGGTGTGACTTTGTATTGATGACAAAGTCTGCATGAAATCCACAAAATTTACATTGTTGAACTCTCAGCTCTTGAGAGAAAAAAGTTTTACTTGTCTCTGAGAAGAAACTGCATTCCGATATCCAGAAGAAAAAGAACAGCGCATAAAAATAAGAAAGCCTGAAAGGATATTAGGAGTTATTCGAGGAACTTCTGCAACTCACAATTCATCAGTCCATTCATCAATTAAAATCTATTTTTCAGTTATTTGGTTCTCGTGTTGCAAACGTTTAGTAAAACTCAAATCAGAAGGCTGGCACTTAATACTTTACTTTCTTAAAATTCTTTGACCCAATCACATTTGAGTAACTTGGTCCTTTTCAATTAAATTTGGCAGATTTCAAACAGTATGTCAGTACCTCTAAATTAGAGACTTATGCACCAAAACTTACGCTTCACATTCGTTCAGTCTCGCAACACCCTCACAATCCCAGTTTCCTTTCTTGAAGAATAAATTGAATTAAACAAATGATTTGAAAAGTGTGACTGAAGAGAAAAAATTTAACTAAATTTAAATTTTGCAAAGAAAGTATGGGATAACAGGAGTAAGAAGAGTAGATAAAAAGTGTTGCAAACCGCAGCAGCTGCCCATCCTTTGACGAGGAATAATATATCACAGTTTGGCAGATTCATACAACCGCTGAATTGGCCACCACCAATTTGTCTAATTAGCGGTCCCATATGGCTGTAACCGGTTGCATACCAGGTTTCCACACCTCCAAGAGCCAGGAAAATCAATACTGATACTGTCGACAAACATATTTGCTGAAAACAGAAATCTCCGGAAAATGTTCTCTCAAGAAAATCATTGCGATATCATAATGACACTAAGCAATCTATCTGTCACTGCCACTCTGTCAGAGAAAGTGAGAGGTGGATGGGAGGTCAAACGTATGTTACTCAATGTCACACAACACTCGAGAGTGAGGCCACATACGACATGAAGTAGAAGCAGTCGAATGGCAGGTTGAGAGCAACTACAAGTCTTAACTCGGGTGCCAGTGATGAACTGGTAATTTTGCTGCTTTCTCGTCCATAACTTGTGGCCACGATCGGAGCGGTAGCTATTGAAAGCGACATGCAATGATAAGGAGGGAGACAGAGTGACAACGATGGAAATGTCCACGCCAAGAGCTTTTTTGTACAAAATGGTTTTGACTCAATGAGGTCAGCTAATTACTGCGACCTCTGCCTCGCGGTTGTTCCGAGAGGCACTAACCCAACTTTCGCAGCCTGGAAATATTACAAACTCACCACATAAAAGAGAGCCGCACCGGTAGCGATCTGAAAGCAGCTCAGTCCAAGTGGAGGTAAAGCAAACATTATTGCAATTATGACGATTGCCAATTGACCCCAAACGCTGCAACATTTTGATAATAAATGACAGATAAGATAAGATATTGGATCCCTCAGCAATCTAAATGCTATTCAATTGTTTCTCCTTTGAAAATCTCTGAGACTGTTGAAAAGAAGGGAAGAGAAAGTTTCTAGCTAAATAAAAACATTTCGTAGCAGATTTCAGCGTCAATCAAAATTCGACTGTCGATTATTAGCTCTGGACATCGGTTCCAATTCAACGTTATTTTTCAACAAATTAAATACTGATTTTTTTATATCCTTGTTCCGATTTCTTCTATCAGAACCACATCTAAATCGCCGACTATGACTGAGTGATTCTGAATAGTAAAGAGTTCCACAACTGTAAATATTACATGAATGGTGCCCAACATGTAAGCATGCATCAGACTAAAGGAACTGTTTCAAAACTGAGGAAGACAAAGTACCACTGGACAGAACTCACTCCCGAACATTTTGCTATACCATTCTGCTCACAACTAAAGAACGGAAATGGATAAGTTGGCAGTTTCCGGATATAGCGAGCTTTTCCCTTTCGAAATTTAACTCTTTCAAATATCAGTTCCTCCGAATTGACTTATGCAGGCTAACAATGATGGCTGTGAAATACTCCGTTCATGAAACTTCCGGGGAAAATGTAATCTAAATGATGTCCTTTGAGAAGACCGATCCGACCTCTCAGCTAAGTAAGTCTCTTGGCACGAGGGTTTTGATAATGACAGAGATGCCTATCCCTGTACAGGCAGATCTCGCAATGTAAACACAGGTCAGGAGCTGTTGCACTTCACAAACTTTACTCTCATTTCTCTTTTAAAATGGGGAATGTCCCGTAAAGGAGTAGTTGAACCAGACAAGGATATCCCGAGATAAGTCGGGTCGAGGTTTTCATGAGGAGAAATAAATTTGAGAGTACAAATAAATCGATGTCGCGGAGAACAATTTAGCTTAGCTCAGAAAAAAGCATTGATTTCAATAAATTTTGCAAAAATTGTGCAAATTGAAGGAGAAATGATACTTTTGTCCACGATGTTGGAAGTGTACACCGTTACTCCATCGGTTGACACCCATGGGTAGAAAATTCTCACTCGGACAGATCTCATCAGTTGCTCGAATATCGTTGATGTATCGTGTGTAGCAGACACCGGGTGCAGTGAAAATTAATATTACCGAGATGAACACAAGTAGCTGAAACCAATGACACTGATAATATGGACCAGTCTTCTTTAGAGAAGAGGTCAGTGAGTTCATGAAGTTCATGCAACAGGAGTAATTAGGGAAGCAGGGAGATTTAGAAATGAGGAGTTTCTGAAGTTGAAAATAGAGATGAGTCGGAGATAACTTCGTTCCATCCAATGACCTATGAAGTTGCTCTTCCCAAACCTCCGAACGAGTACGGCGTTTCCTCTTTCCTGCTATTATCAACATTTTTTGGAACAGGAATAAATTTTCTATGAATTCTTGCTCTCCATGGAATGGTTTGTTATTGACCACATCGACGAGTAAGAATGCAATTTACATTTTTCAAATTCACATTCATTCTCACGTGAACAGCCATTCAGCGAAATGTTTTGAATGTTGAACCATTCATTTATGCGAATTTTTTGTTGCCTAATTGAAAGATGAAAATGACTAAAGAATTTTTTGAGTTCGGAATTTTTCAAATTTCCTCAACACAGTTGCATTTCTCCCTAAGTTCTGCTCTTTCGAGATATGCGAGAGGACAGTGTGTCTTGAATTAATTAATTAATTTCCTGTGAGTGCTAAGCAGAGGAACAAATGAGAATTGAAAGTCCTCTAAGTGCCAAACATTCAACTAAGAAAAACGAAAATAAGAAGATAGAAAACAAAATGACTATCATGCAATGCTGACTGCAAATAGTGCAACACATAGACAGCATATGAGTAACATTGTCAATAAAGTCAGATAGCACTTACCAAAATAAACATTCTGATGAAGGCAGAAATACCAACAAACAGCGAATGCGGTACCATCACCTTTGATGAAAATTTGAAACTTGCAGGAAAACTTTAATTACAACTGGCAAATCTCAGTTAATTATAGTATTTAGCAACAGTGCTGATCCGGTGACTTGCAAAAGTGACGTATCCTTCACAAAGGGCACAGTGGCGTACTACACACGGTCGGGATCCTGAACGATAGTTCGGAATTCAGATGACTACGATTTTCGGTGCACTTAGGTTGCATTTAACTTTAAGACACGATATTTTAATGCTAAATGGTAAAAAGATAGGCACATCTTAAGACATTTTTAAAAGCATCTTCATTCTTGCAAAATGATACCACCTAAAAAAATAGTTCCACCTTGACCTAATCAAACCCAACCTTTATTGTTGAGGGTGAAAGTTAAAAAGCATATCATATCAGAAGGAGAAAGAGCATATTCTCTTCGCGTAAAATGAGAAAGAGGTGCAAATGTTGCAGCAGCTTTGAAATGATAATTTCGCAAAAACACGCACATTTATACAATCTGTAAACTTGTTCTGAGGCAACGAGTAGCACAACAAAAGCATTTTGTGCATATATACAGGAAAAGGCGGATGGAGTGCGGTGCGGTGCGGTGGTATTACCGACGGATGGATGGATGGATGGATGGATGGATCGTCTGTACGTCGACGTCAACAATCACAACAGCGACCTCATCGCACCGTCTAGCAGCAACAGAGGGACAAAACTGAGCATAATAATAATAATAGTTCAATTATATTATGATGATTGGGAGATGAAATGCGCGATCGAATGCTGTGTGCGTGCTTACACTTGTCAACTTCACTTTCTCGACCCTCACCCGACCACCTCCATCTCGTCGTTACCCATCGCCTTCCACGGGAATATAACGATTAGCAACACTACTGGTGAGTGATTGGTCACGGAAATGTTGCTTTGACACAGTAACATTAATTTGAACGGCTAGCAAGAGTCTCCCGATGGACTGACATCTATCGTATCCGTGTCTCCAGCTCTATCATCAGTGGGACTTGACTGTTGAGGCGAATCTAGTTTTGCTTAAATTAACTGCTGAAGCAATTTCTTCAGCTATTATAGAGAAGGTCACAGAAAGAAGCGGAATTGAAAAGAGGTATGGAACCAGTCACGACACTCATCACACCTCCCATCTCCATTAGGCATAGTTGAATTGGGATCAAAACAACAATACCATATTAGCATATCAAGATTACCTTCCAGTTTTTCTTCCTTTTTGGAATGTTTAAAATTTCAATGCACGCTTGAAAAATGTGTAAATTTTTATGCCGAAATAAAAAAGAAAGGATTAAAGGGGACGATGCAGAACATTCAATCAAGATTTGATCAATCCTTCCTCTCTTACTTTCCTTCTCTTTCAGTTTTCATCACGACATGAAGAATTACACCGAAGAATTCGTTCTACATTTAATCCAAACAGACAACAACTTCTGTGTTCAGGCTCGATACGACCAATTTCTGCTGTGTCGACAATGGCTGTGGATAAGTCGACTTACACATCCAGTTGTGATTGTACAGCCGAAGTCAATAAAAAATTGAATGGAATGAAATAGTTCGGATTCGTTGAATCACTTCACACTCCTATATTATCATTTCAATTCATCCCTTATTTCACATACATTTCACAATTCCTCCTCATCGAAATGTAAGGCTAATTCCCTATAGTTCTAACAGAAACAGATGGGTACTGTACGGGTAATGAAGGAATGCATGCATTTCGTCCGGATCAACAGATACAGTTCGATCATTCACCATATTCAAAATCATTGCTTCGATATTTTGTAACCTTTCTCGAAAAGAAACTCTAATCTGCTACTTTATTTTGCTTTTTAATTCATCGATGAGAATTTATTTTTGGATACTTTCTATGGCTTTCCGACAGGTGAAATTTTTATCCAGAATTTGGCAGAACTTTCAAGAATTCAAAGACACATAAAAAATAGGATTGAAAGCTGAACTTCTTCCCTCCGACAACAAATTATGTCATTCTCATTTGAGAGGACCTCAACCTTTGTTCATCATACTTTATCGTATCGTTAGACTGTCCCTGGATCGCACTATTCACTATTCAGAATGCGTGATTCATATAAGCAAGAATCTCCACGGACAAGTTGAATCCGTTTCTTTGTTTTTCATTCAGAAACGTTAATATGGAAAGGAAAATAATAGTTTCTTAGATATTCAGATAGCATACTTTCACTCACACAACTGTCCTATTACCTTTTTCTCCTTTTCAATTTCTTTAGTAAGAACTAAAAATATTCCCTCAACTCTCGAAATCCGAAATGCATCTGCTCTAAAGAACAACGTCGAAATGAATCAGCAGATCGATGTGTTCTTTGGTCGGAACCGTAAGTGCGAAATGCAACACATTTCCTGCGAGATAATGTTCCTGCGCCATTACAATGGAACTGCGAGTCTATGATCGGTAAACGGAAAGGTAATCACTCAGTTTCGGAGTATTCAAGACTGCAGAAATCGACACACTTAACCAGACAACTTTACCACATTTCCTTCCTATCCACGGCTATTCTCAATTGAAAATGTCTATGCAGTTCCGTTCAAATTTTCCGAACCCACCATTTACTGTGATTTGAGAGCATACATCATTTAACATAAAAATTTTTTCACGACGAACTGTAAAAATATTTGAAATGCTCAAAAATGTTGGAAACTGTTAAACATTTATTCGCAATCAGATCAGAATCAACGGTAGCATTTTTATGAGCTCATTTAGTAAATTTATTTAGATGAGTGGTATGTTTGTAGGATAATGCAAAGCTATGTTAGTGTTACACAGTTATTAACAATCATATTTTTCTATATTTATATTTCCAACCTGCACTTATACTGCCACCAATGAGAATTCAGTTCGACATGTTCAAGAAGCAAAATATTTGTCTAATTGAATCGCTTACATGTTCGCACCTTCAAAATGACTCAAAAAGTCCCTCTTTCAGTTCGCATACACGTTCTACTCGTTACTTACAAACATGCTTATGCATTACAGTTCTCATACTAGTAATAATAATAATAATGAAACAACTTAATAATAATAATAATAATAATAAACAACTACCGAATTATAGTGATATGACATAAAGTCTATGTGAATAGCTACTATATAAATAAAACTTAATTTTTAAAGATAAATTTCATATATTGTCAATGGTAGCAAAGATGGCAGTAAAAAACTTCGAACTTGAGATAAATAAATAAATATGACTGATAATGTAAACAAGAAAAAAAACTAAACGATGAGTGACTGATAGTATTCATCTTACTCGAATCATGTGGTTTAAGCTGCGTAATCCAAAACATTTAATGGTAAAAAATTTCTTTAAGATTCTCACGCCTGATTGCTATGACATACAACCAAAAAAAAATCACGTCAGTCACCAAAACACTGATTTGCTGTATTTCAATTATTTCCAATATTAAATTAGAAAAGTAAGCCATCTTTTTAATTAAGCAAAATTACAATATCAATTGAAAATTTCTTTGAGGAAGATTCAGACAATCTGATATACTCCCCCAAGAATAAATAAAAGTGTAAACACATATAACGATCATCTGATATGTGGAATGAGAATCCGCAAATTTACCAAATCTACGAAACATATTATTTTGATTTGGCTGATAAAATGAAAATTATATAGTGGTAGATCTTTCCATATCACTGTAGTAGTTTTACTCTTTACAGCGAAATATGAAAAGATGCTAAGTACTGCCACAAGAATCTCACTTCTTAGCAGCACGTATCAGATACTGCGAGCAAGAGTGAAAAAGAGAAACATCAATAATTTTAACAACAACTAAATATCACGTTATTCATGAACAAATAATTGCAAAATGTTATCTGAAGTTTTCATTACGTCAAGATCTGTATATTTACTAAAGAGGGAAACTGAAAATCAAAAACTTACACAAAAGGACTATTCAACTAATCGCAGGAAACTATTCAATTACTCCAAAGATGAAAGCATAAGCAACTGCTTTAGCACCTTAGTTTGTGAAGTCTCACGTATTTCGCCAGCCAAAAACATTTCATCCACTACTGTATAAACCTAAAATAAGATTTCGGAACGACCATTATGGATAAATATTTACTTGAAAAAAAACACATAAATAAATAAAACATGCTAAGTACGATTACTAAAAAAAAATGAAAATTTATCAATCTAATAAGTTAGAATTATAGAGGTTTCATAGTTTTATCACGCTGGAATCTGTCTACTAGACGCATCAAACACTGTTATGGATACAGAGCAGAAATGTTCAGAAACATGATTCACAATGTACTGAAATATGATACAGAGTTTAGCGCTCCTCTTCAAAACTATTCTGATGAATATCCAAGCAACACTATGGCACAAAAAGGAGTTTTTCCAGGGACATGTCTTACAACACATTTAAGAAAAAC